TGCCTGCTGGATCTATTACATTGTCATGTACATAGAATAAAATTTAAAAAATTTTAATTAATAAAAATTGCAATCTTATTGAAAAAAAAAATTAAAGGTAAAAGATGTTTACGAAAAATGATGAATTCTTAACTAGAATGCAACTTTGAAAAAAATAATAATTACACACTAAACTAACATTATTATTGTTTATCAAATATGTATCTTGCGGACATTTTTATTTTCTTACGCAAATATATTTGAGATGAACGTAGGTAGCGGATTAAAATTCTATTCTCTCATTACTTTCAATTAGCAAAGTCATTGACAATACGCGTATGAACTCTTTTAAAATGACGCTCATCAGAAAGAAAAATGCGACATTGATTTCATAATTTATTAAACGATATATATAAAAAAAATTATTTTTTTTTTTGATGTTGAGTCATGATCTGTATATGCAATTTAAACCTGTATGCAAATAAAGTATCGTTTTGTATAGGACATTCATAATGTGCCAATTTATCCAGATAATATTTATCTCATATATAAATTCTTCAATAACTAATTTTCTCGATTTGCAAACATTGACCTTGAAAGTGATTTGATTTACCTTGATAATTATTTGCAAAAATTATATTATAGCAAAAAATGAAAAATAATTTTCGCAAAAAAAATTAGGAAGAAAATTTTTATTTTTTCTTTCAAAAAAATATTAATTAAAAACAATTATTAATTTAATTAATTAAATTTAATTATTAGATTGATTATTTATTATAATAATGATCTTAGTTATTAAATTAGTCTATTATAATCGCAAATCTATTGTATTAATATATTACACATCATTTTATCGATGACGTTATTTCATTCTTCTAAACTTTTTATAATTGCATATCTATATATATTTTATTGCATCGATTATTACATAAGTCCATTTTGCTGAAGGCATTTTACCTTATTAATTTTATCTTCAATAAAAAAAAGAATATTTTGTTTTCAACAAAACAATCGTTAGCGGAAATTTTAATTAAAATTATTTTTAAAAATTGAATATTTTATGAAAACATTATACTTTTTTTTATTTTGAAAAAAAATTTACGTCAAAGGACATTTAAATAAAAACAAAAATAGGAAAAAGTTTCTTTTTTTTAATTCCAGATAATGTTTTTTTTAGAAATTATTTGTATACGCTTGAGTAAACTAATTGAAAATTCTTCAGTGATTTTAAAAAGGACAAAGTAAATGGAAAAATACTTTAAAATATCTGATGTCAGTCATTTTTCCTATTTTCTGACATAAGCCATTGTTATTTTAGGATTAAGCTGAAAAATAAGAATTTAAAGAATCCCTAATAAGATGTATAACATTCCTCTTGTACCCCAATTTTCACACGCCAAAAATCGTAATAATAATAAAATTATTATTTTTAATTTAAATATTCTTTTGAATTGTTATAATAATTCATAGAATCTTTCGTGTTTATAAATATATTTCTTCAAAAGGATATAAATGCGGAAGAGATTTCCTCTTTTAGTTCCTTTTTTTATTTCGTCTCGTGATATGTTTGCATGAATCTTTCTTTTGCCGCAAAAATATGTCGTGTGTTCCCACAGAAATAATGTGGCACATTCAAACAGATATCGTGTTCCGAAAACCGCATTTTTCGTTTCTTTTTTTGGTCACATCTGTTTTTTTCCGAAAATTATGGCTTTAAAAAAATATAATACATATAACATCAATTAAAATTTCTTTCTTTTAAAATTAAATAATATCTTTTAATTTGAAGGTAAATAATCTTATTTTGAGAGGATAAGTTCAATAGAAGAATTTTCCTAACAATAAGAGATTATTTGTTTCCTAAATACCAGAGCATATTTATATATTAAATAGAAAGAGAAAAAAAAACGTGGTAAATGTTCCGAAAAGAATTTTCAGATTTGGATGAAAAAAAAACTTAGGCAATTTGCTGCTTCTTTATATTATAGTTGACAAAGAATTCCTTTTCTTTAGGCCCTTTTACATTTTGTCAAACGCTTGTAAAAGTTAGTCACAATATTTTCAATGGACAGGAAACTTGAAAAAGATGCTCTTGCGAAAAATACGATTACCAGTTGTTTTGTGTGTCCTTCTACCGACTATATGGTCCTTTTTGAATGAGTGGAAAAAATTTCTTTAAGACCCTTTTCCGATACAGTATATAAAAACTCAAGGACATAAGTTTAGGAACTCGAAATATGTCAAAACATTCTTATCCATGATAAAGAGATACAGATGAAACAAAAATTACCGAATTTTCCGTAAGTGGTTCTTAGAAAAAAAAAATTGAAAAAGGAATTTTTGTACATGATTTTCTCATTTTTATTGTATTTTCTCAAATTACGTCACAAAATTCTCACATAATTGAAAATCAGTTTTACATAAGACCGAAAAATAATCCGCGATGTAAAACCAGTAAAATTTTATGAAGACGCAAACTTTTCCTCTTGAAATGAGATTATTTTATTTCTGAATAAGAAAATTCGAGAAATGAAAAACTTTTTAAAATAGGTGATTTTAATATGATGATATTTAAGTAGATTGTATAGAAAGGTTCCTTAATTTAAAACCACGTAGTCAGGACAGTGAAAAAAGATTTAGTGAAGCCCAGTAAGTAAAACGAGGGCCCCATTTTTTCTTCCTTCGAGCCCATCAGGATCAGAGCAAATGCGGGAATGGGACCACCTGCGCTTATAGTTTCGCTCAGGTAACTTTACCTGACCGATCGGACCATGTTTAACACAGTGAACAAAGGAGCGGACCGCCGTGCCTGTATCGTCGTGCCCCAGCTGGTGCACACTTCTCTTGTGCATCTCGACGAACTATACTCAAAATCAGAAAATGCCATTCTACACCCAATATATCCCACTATGGGATTCCCCTCTTCACTCATCTCTATCTTTCTCTCTCTCTCTCTCTCTCTAGACAAGAATAAGGAAACTTTCGCTTCAACGCAAAATGAAACTCGAGACGTAACGAAATTCCTTCTTCCTCAAAAGAATACGACGTATGTCTAACTAGAGTTATATATAGGAAGCCGAGTAGGAAGGGTTCTTTTTACAGGATCAAGATAAAGGTTTTTAGCCTAAAAAAAATTAGACCAAATAGCACAACATATGGTCACAATATTGCGAATATTGCACGACAATATTGCTGCAACATTGATTATGTCCGCCCTGCAGAAATATTGCCCGAAGTTTCCAATGAGAGTATCTAAACGAAACTGCGCATGCTCCACAATAATTCATTGTCAAGAAAAGGCGGGCTTATGTGAAATGCTTTATTATAAGAAAATATGTTTTTATTAGTTAATTACAATACTTTCTAATCAATATTAATTTTTTCAACGTACTTAAGTATATAATAATCATAATGTTACTTAAGTACGTTAAAAAAATTAACATCCATTATTATGGAGCACAACGATCATTGTAGTCAATTTATAATAAATCTTGAAATAGATGAAAAGGAAGGATGATTTTCAACAGGTGTCAGTTACAATTGACGATTGAATAGTCCGAGTATATAATATATATTCCGCCAATGCCATCAAGGTTATTTGGCCTCAAATATGTAATATACACTAATACTTTTGTGCGAGCAAAACTATTCTTTTCTTATTCTAGAAGTAGAAGGTTCAATTGTGTGATGAAATAATCTTATTATGATTGATGCTGCAAGAATTTTTATTCTCTATTAATATATCATAAAAATTAGTCATTCTCTTCTTTATTTGTTTATAATATTTTATTTTTATTTAATAAAATTTCAAATTGAATTATTAAAATTTACTAAGAATTATTTGAAAATTTAAATGATTTAAAAAGTGCGTAAAATCTTAAATTAGCAGTAAATTTGCAAATTTCACAAAAAAAAAATCTTTTGAAAGAAATCTCCAGAAATTTATAAATATAGGCTTGAGTTTCCTGTCTTTAAAATTGCAAAGGCTAAACTAAAGTATAAGATATCCTCCATTGTTATCAGCAAGCTCAGGTGACTACTGCGTGAAACTTGCTTGACGTGTCAGTCGTATAAATTATCACAGATAGAAATTTTTTTTCTAAAAGCAAAAAATAAAATAAAAAGGAGAAAAACGCAAAAGTTTTATTAACTTCTGAGTAATATAAAATTTTAAAATGATCATTTTCGAGTATAGTAACTTTTACATATTAATATTAATTTTAAATAATTTATATACATATATACGATTATTTCTAAAAATAACTCATTAAATATAAAAATAAATATTAATTTTTAACTTTTATTTATTTTATATTATTTTTCTTTTAAACAAAAAGGGTCGACAAGAATTATTCGTCATATTGATTGTTAGCTGGATCAAAAACCTGAGTCATTTCTTAGATAAGCATTGAAAGTAATAGATAAAAAAATATATAAAGGTGTCTTTTTTTAACCGTAATCCAGAGAAAAAGTTATTCTATATATTTATTTATATACGTTTATAGTTGACGTATTTTAAATATCCGTACAAAGACTTTTTTTTAATTTCCTACTGTTTTTGTTTAAAAAAGAAAAAAAATTACCTTTTTTAAGAAACTATTAGAATTTTTACATTATTTACAAAAAAGCAGTGTAGTTTTTAATTCTACTTTTTTTCACTAAATGTTTTTAATAAGGATACACAAATTTTTTAATATTAACCATAATTTTTTATTTAATATAAAAAAAATTATAAAATTTGTTTATAAAAATTTTCTTTTAAAAAAATTCTTATAAATAAAATTTTATATAATATTGTAATTAAAAAAATTAAGAAAAATTTTATATAATGAGAAACGAAAAAATATTGAAACAATGCACATCTGTTATTCGTTTTAGTATTATCAGACATCTGTGTGAGTGTATGTATGGATGTATGTATATGTAATTCAATGAAAAAGTGGGTGGTATTAGAAGAGGGTGTAGTTGTAAACATTCGTCTCGAAGCGTAGAATCCGGTTGGTGTAATTCAGTCATATTCGAACAATATCGGTGTACAAATCGAAACTTCCGTGGCCATTTTTGATTTCCGCTTTTGTATATAGAGGAAAAATAAATTAAAATTATATATCCAATGTTTTTGTATATTATTGCTTTTTATTTTAATAAAGTGTAAATTTCCTGTTTTTATATATGAAACATTTAAATTTTAATTTCCGGCTGAAGGTGTAATTTCGATAATCATACAAATTATAATTACAATAATAAAAGAAACGTTTTTATTTATTCCATAAGTTTTGTGCATTTAACAATTGAGAACAATAAATGCATTCTTTTTTTTCTGTTAGTGGATTAATAAAAATGAGAAAACAAAAATTTATCAACTGAAGGATTCTGCGAATGAATAAATAATTGTAATTTTATCATGTTTATTGTAGTTGTTGGCTGTTCAATATTATAATTTATTACATATGCCAAATCATCAGTATTAATAATCGGATATTTTCTTTTTTATTTAGTAATATCTATTTTATTATTATTCTAAACCAATTTACATTGTTTTAGAGTAGTCAAAATGGAGCGGAGGGCAGCTCTGCTGCTGCTTTTATTAGGAACAGTAGCAGTAGTTTCTTCTGAGTCGACAACAGAAGAGAATTTACATGAAACTTTTGAAAAATTTAAAACAACATTGACTTCAAATGCTAAGGAGGTTAAAACCACAACTGAGGAAGTATTTTCCATGAAAAATGTCGATTACAAAAAGCTCATTAATCCCAAACAAACACTTCTTGAAGAAATTCGTTCATTGGACGAAGAAATTTCTACCGATAAGGTTTTTAGATTTAATTTTTGTTAATTATAATCTATATTCGAAGTTTTTAATAATCGTAATTTTATTTCTCTTAGTTCCCGGAAGAGGAAGTTGCTAAAGTAATTAAAGCTGAAGCTCAGAAGATTAAACCAATTGCAAAATTACCATTGCTTCGAAAAACTCCAATTGTTAGTTTTAAGACAATCAACAGTACCACGGATAAAAATAATCCTAAACATTTCGTCGAATCTGATGACATGACCTATGATCTTGATGACGATGATAATGAGGATGAGGATGATGACGAAGAATACGATGATGATGATGACGATGAGGATGAAGATGATGATGATGATGAGGATGATGATGAAGATGAAGGTGAAGATGATCCTAATCATCTCAATGAGGATGAAATTATGAATCAATGTCCCGCAAACTGCAAATGTGTCGCACAAATTGCGTCTGCTACTACTGCCAAGTAATTCTTTTTCACATTTCAAATCAGATTTTTAATTCAATTCAGTACCTACTGTTAAATTTATTGATAATTCCCTTTTTTCAATTGTTAATTAAAAAATAATAATTACAGATGCACGAAATTGGACGATAATCAAATATTTGGTCCAGGAATCGCTCATCTTAAGATCGAGAATGCTGGTCCCATTCAATTTGGTCCTCATGCTTTCAAATTAAGAGGTCTTCAACAATTGGAATCCATTACTTTCATAGATACTCCAATTTTGGAAGCGGATAAAACTGCCTTCGAGGGAATTCCTTATCTTTTTGCTGTGAATTTTACGAGAAGTTACTTGGAAGACATTCCAGTGGACATTTTCCAAAACAACAGCCAATTGAGTTTGATCACCATTTCAGGAAATCCAATGAAACGTTTTCAGACCCTTGTCAAGACAAAAACTAGAGATTATCTTTTGAATGCACCAAGTGTCTCGGAACTGGATTTCTCTGATAATTCCATATCAAGATTACCACACACGGCCTTCAACAAAATGCCCAATCTTGTCTTTATTAATCTAAAGAAAAATAAGTTAAAAACAATTGATAAAGCCCACTTTAGTTCATTGGAATCACTCACCGAACTGGATCTTTCCTATAATGATTTACAAGAAATGTCCATTGATCTTTTTGAAGGAAACGCAAAAAATGTTCAAATCTTGAGAGTTGTTGGTAGGGTATTTGGTTTTTTTATTTTTCATTTAATTGCTCCAATAAGAATAATTAAATATTGATTTGAGAATTTTTCATTCTTAGGAAACAATTTATCAACTTTGAGTACAATCATTGCTACAAAAATGACCATTTTGGATGCTTCAAGCAACAGAATTAAAATTATTCATAAAGATGATTTGATTGGATTGCCAAATCTTGAACAGCTTCATCTTAAATCAAATGGTCTTAAGAGAATTCATCAACATTCTTTTAGTCAAAATGATGAGTTAATTCATCTCGATATCAGCGACAATAAACTTGTTTCTTTAACTGATCATCATTTCCGCACCAATTCGAGATTGCAGACCATCGTGATGAACGACAATCCAGGACTTCAAACACTTCCTGTTTTTAGAACTAATGATCAGGAGTATAACACATTCAGGTAAATTTAAGTATTAAATAAACTCAAATTAAATCTAGATCTTAAATTTTAATCCCTTAATCCTTTTTTCTAGCGTTTATCGATTTGAATGCTCCAATTGTGGCCTATACTCCCTTCTGGAAGGAACATTTGACGCAATGCCAGCATTAACAACATTGAATCTTGCCAAAAATCATTTGACAGGACTACCAAGAAATTTGCTCAAATTTCATTCATCACTTATTGAAATTAATTTGTCTAATAATCGAATTAAAACTCTTGAAAATAATATGTTCCAAGGTGCCACATCACTAACAAAATTGAATCTTGCTGGAAATCTTTTGGTTTCCCTCCAAGTTACACCATTCTTGGTAACGCCAAATCTCTCCAAACTTAATGTCAGCAGAAATATTCTTGAGAGAGTCTGGAGTGAAGCTCGAGTACCACTTAAGAATCTTGAGTAAGTAAATATTCTAAAAGTAGAAATAAAACAACAATCTAGGATTTTTTGCACTTATTAGATTTCCATAGATAACAAATTCATCTTAGGAAGTATTAGTATTATCTCTAGTGATTTGATATTACAATATTGACCGAAGTTTAACTTAGACTTCTTTTAATTCTTATTTCAAGGATTCTCTCCAAAGGTCATTTCATAATGTTTGATATGACTTCTTGCAAACAACCCATTTATCGCCAAGATAGTTGCAATTGTTAAATCAAGGATAGATCCTGATTCTTCCCGTCTAAATACGAACTCCCGTTCCCGGTTTAGAAGCACCAGATAATTTATTGAAACTATCTCGGTGACTAAGGCCCTCCTGTCTAGACAAGTCTCCCCTTATTCCGACGACTTACTATTGAAGTTTCCCGCAATGAGGATAGCCCCGCCGAAAGTCTTAAGTCTTTCTTGAAGAGAGCAAATTTTGGCATCGAACTTTGCAATGCGATTGTTCAGGGAGAAATAGCAGCTGTATATACGTACACCTGCCACCCGGACACAAATAAAACCACTGTCTGTCTCCAGAAAATCGCTGATGGTGAGATCCGTTTGAGTTTGAATTTGTTTGAGAATCCTTGCATCCTGTATTGCGTCTGCATCAGATGATCCTATGCTACAATAGGATTGCTACTAGCAGACGAAAAATGTCTCTTGGCACTTTAACGCTGCCAAGAAAGATGGCAGCTATTCCAAAAGCTGAAGAGGCGCTAACTCTATTTAACACACTCGTAGGTAAAGCAGTGCAACTTCCTTGCCCACAGGAATTAAAAATTAAAGTTTTAGAGTTTTTAATGAAGTTATCCGACTAAAGAAAATTTTTTTTTCAACCTTCTTACAAAACCTGAGCTATACTGATCTGCATTATTAACTATTGATGCAAATACATAAATCTAGTTAGTTCCAAAAAACCAAAGACCTCGTCGTCGTTCTCCGAAATCAGTTCTGAAATCTAGTCAACCCTAAAATATACATAAATTTTTTTAAATATTTCTTTTAACAATATATTTACAATTTTCACTAATTTTTAATAATCTATAGATTCCTGGCGGTTCGCGATAACCGTCTTCAGCGAATCACATTAGAAGAATTGAAAGCAACTCCAAAATTGACTGGTTTGGATTTAACGCACAATCCCTTAAAGTGTGATCAAGATTTCAATGATGCTATTCAATGGCTCACGGATCATAGAGTCATGGCTGGTGAAAATCCCAAGTCAATGAATTATATTGTCGCTAAAGATTATTCTGAATCAGGAAGAAGAACACAATGGGCAAATTTGGCAAAAATTGTTTGTGACAGCATTGATGATGGACCACCACCGCGACCAATACCACACAAACCTAAACTCGAGGATATTTTGAAGAATGATTTATCTGACGACATTGCAGTGAGTTTTTGATTATTTTTATTAATAGCATATTTAAAAAAAAGAAAATATTAAACATTTTTACTTGTCTACAGATCGATCACGGCCAAAATCATCTGGATGAATTTGACTTAGATACGTACGATGATCAAGAATATGAGGATGAAATACCGGAGGCAACTGTTAGTTATCATCCATTTTATCGACGATCACTTTGGCCAGTTTTAACAGTAATTGTCGTGACTGTAATTCTTTTAATGTCCATTGTTCATTTTGCTCTCTATTTGGCAAAACGCAGAGGTCGTGGACCAGTCATTAGGCCACCAATGATTCTTCGTCAAGGTCTTGTCGATAACAAAAATTGTGGTTTAGTATACAAACCTCTTCAGGAAGAGATACCAACACCTCATATGCCGAAAAGAGGCGCTTTCTATTCCAGTAGTACTTTTCATTATGACAAAATTGTACCAGAAAGTGTCTAATTCATAATAAAAAAAATTGTCTTCCAAATATGTATTTCTATTGAAATGCAAAAAAAAAAAAAATTGCGGAAGATATTTTTTTTGTATTGTTTATAATTATATAAGAGGATACAAAAACAATGTAGACTTCTGAGACTGAGAATATTACGAATTCGAACTTTTCGTACTGCCCTGAGAGAATGTCTTCGAGGATATATTTATATATATATAAACACATATTTGTGATCAATTGTTATTTTTTTGCTATTCGTGAAAAATGTTGATTCAGGTAGCAAATAAATTTTTTCAAATAAAAAAAAAGTGATATATTTTCAAATTTTTACCTCGTAAATCATTCTCTCGCGCAGGTAAATGATCCTCCTCTTGTCAAGAGTTTCGTTAATTATACGAACAAATGATCATAAATATTACGATATAATAAACAATCGATCAAAGTTTATTTTTTCTATTTTTATCTTTTTTTTGAAAACGTAAACAATGTCGAGAAATTCATGGCATCAAATCTGCTTATAAAGTTCCTTAAAAGACAAAAAAAAACTTCAAAACGTTATTTGTAAATCTAAAAAAATGTGTTTAACTTTTAAAAATTGAACTTTATTGGTTTGTTTTATAATGAAATCCAGTGGCTTCTTATCCAGTATGATTCATGGCGTAAATATATTTATATAATAAATTCGTGGCATAAAATACTTATAATAACTTATATAGTTTTATAAGTTTATAGCGAGTATATTAAAAAAAATCTTTCTTTTAAGATTTAAGACGCGGTCACTATCTGGGTAGTGTTAATAATTTTAAATAATTTGTCAAGAATTTTTTTTAATCCATTTTTTTGTGCAAAAAAAAATCATTCAAAGTGAGAGTTCTGGACTGTTTATAAATGAAGAGAGTTGCCCAGTCATAGTAATATATGATAACAATTATTATTTATGAACCCACTTTTCTTTTTTAAATTTTTATTTAAAAGTACAAAAGTAGAAGATTTTAAGAAACATATAAGAATACAGTAGACAAATTATTGATATAAAAACAAAATAATAATAATTAATTAAAAATTTATTTAAAATTATTAAATTATTATCTATCTTTGAAAATAAAGTTTTAAATATTCATCATATATAATTAATGAAAAACTTTTTAGCCATAGAATGTACTTTTAGATAGAAAAGAAAGTGAGGATAAATAATAAGGGATAATATTTTAGATAAGATTACAAATAAAAGTTTTTTTTTTAATTGTTAAGTGCCTTTTATTAATAAAATTATTGTTAACAAAACTTAGCTTGTCAACGTGTATGCCACGCAATAAGCTGTAAATAATATTTTAATAAAAGATTATATTAATAATATGAGTTGATTATTTAAAACAATTTCAATATAATATTTATTATTAAGTCGAATAATTATTATAAATATATTTTAGTACCATATATAATTTAAAAATTTCAACCAACTTTTCCCCCTTTTATAATCAGTTATTCGTCTCTAAAAATTGTGACGTTTGCATTTGATACGCATACTATAAAAAAATTCAAGTCACAAACAAATATTATGTGGAATGTATTTTATGATACGTATATGTATGTGAAAGTCAATGTAGGAGGGAAAAATCTTCTGGTGGGGCGAACAGCCGGTTTCAAGAATCAAGAGACTACGAGAAGTCAATTCGACAGTCCTAAGTCCACAAAGAGTTTATAAAAGTGATAACTGAGCAGAATTCCAAAAAGACTGTTCAAAGAATTTCTTAGACAAATAAATTTATTTTTTTTTACAATCATGTTGCCAAGAAGACGTGTCGTTGATCTACTGCAGATTATTTCGTCACAATCGTGAGATTTTTAATTATAAAAAAATTACATGTAGAAAGTAAATGGGGTCAAAAATTTCTAGCATTATATGTTATGATTTTATATATTAATTAGGATTGAAACAATTATTAAAAAATTTTAAAGTAGAATTATATGGCAGTAATTAGTATTTTTTTTATTACCTATACAATACAAATTGTTTCTTAAAATAAAGAATCTTGTTGGACCACTTTTATTTTATAAAATATTTAATAAAACATTTTTAAATTAATTTTTTTATTTTCCCAGATGCAAATGTCCAGCTCATGGAAATCCAGGGGGAAATGGTATAATAAATCATGGGAAAACTCGTAGCACTACTAGCACTACAGTTCCAACGAAAGAATATGCTTTCGAGGTAGACATTGTTTTTTAATTTAAAAAATTTTCGCCTAAATTTTGTTAGAAAAAAATTGTAATATTTTCTTTCATTAACTTATTTGTCCTCTTAAATTAAAAATCAGGTGCATATCGAATCGGAGATAATACGCTCTATACAGATAGTGTAATTTTTTAACAATATTAGACTTTGAAGTTATACAAAAAAAAATGAAATAATTATTTTTTCTATTTTATTTATAATTTAAATTAGATTAAAAAACAAAATAGAATATTTATATAATTATTGCAGATAATAATAAATATTGACAATAATTACTGTAGATGGCTTGTTCGACTGTTCGCTATGGAATTGGAGTAACGAGGGAATTAGGCATGGATGCACAAAATTTAGGAGCGAAAAAAATTTGCCTAATGACAGATTCAAATTTAGTGAAATTATCACCTGTTAAGAAGGCTCTTGATAGTCTGACAAAACATGGAGTAAACGTTGAAATTTATGATAAAGTACGAGTTGAACCAACTGAAGCAAGTCTTCAAGATGCGATAGAATTTGCCCAGAAAGGAAATTTTGATGCTTACATAGCTGTAAGTTAATTTCTTCATTTAAAATACAATTTTAGTATTTTCCATTGGTTGAGAACACTGCGCGCGCAGCATGCGAGAAGTAGGGATGACACATACGCACCAATGAACGCGCGCTTCTTCCACTCTTACCAAGTGACGCTCCCAGTGTTCTCAACTCGGACTCACTAGAAGCTTTCAACCAGAATAATAATATTGATTTGGTTTTAAAATACCACAGGTTGGAGGTGGTTCTGTTATGGATACATGCAAAGCTGCAAATCTCTATGCATGTGATCCAAAAGCAGATTTTCTAGATTACGTAAACGCACCAATTGGAAGGGGTAAGCCAATATTGGTTGCATTGAAACCATTGATTGCAGTGCCCACAACTTCCGGTACTGGTTCAGAAACTACTGGTGTTTCTATTTTTGACTATAGACCACTTAAGGCAAAAACTGGTATTGCTAATAGGTTAGCTCGAAGAAAATGTTCCTTATAATATAAACAGTTATACATAGTTTTATTAACAAAAATTGTTATTAAAATTTCAGAGCATTGAGACCAACTTTGGGTATAATAGACCCTGAGCATACATTGACACTACCGGAGAAGGTATGTGCTTATTCTGGATTCGATGTACTTTGTCATGCACTTGAATCTTTTACTGCCATTCCATACACTGAAAGGACACCGTGCCCAACGAATCCTATTTTGAGACCTGCTTATCAGGGAAGTAATCCCGTTAGTGATGTTTGGGCAAGATTTGCACTTCAAGTAATGCGAAAGTAATTAACGATATTTTTGATTATTATTTTAACTTTTAGAAAGAAAGAATTTGTATTTTTCATGGCAGTAGTATCGCTTCTTCAATGCGATTAGGTTGAGAACATTGAACGCGTTGCATGGAAAGAGTGGGGGTAGTGCAGTGTGATTAGTTCTCGCACACTCCCTCCACTATTCGCGCAGGTGTTCTCAACTTATACTTCTGTGGACAAAACACAACTAACAAGATTAGTCAAGACTTTAAAATTTTAATTTAAATATTTAATTTCACTGACAGATATTTTGAACGAGCAGTTTATAATTCTGATGATCTAGAAGCAAGAAGTAATATGCATTTAGCTAGTACAATGGCTGGTGTGGGATTTGGAAATGCTGGTGTTCATTTGTGTCACGGTCTTTCCTATCCCATTAGTGGGAACGTTCGTAATTTCCAGCCAAAGGTTTTTGAATTTATTATAAATTTATTTTTTTGAACCAAAATCATTTTGTAAACAAGTATCATCAAGGAAATATTTATAGGGCTACAGTGATGATCATCCAATTGTACCTCATGGACTTTCAGTTGTTATTTCGGCTCCAGCTGTATTTTCCTTTACCGGAAGTGCCTGTCCAGAAAGGCATTTAGAAGCAGCTCAACTTCTTGGTGTCGATATCACTAATGCAAAACGTGAAGATGCTGGCAAAATTTTAGCCGACACTGTTAGAGAATATATGAGAATTATGAAAGTTGAAAATGGATTAGCAGAACTTGGTTTTAAGAAAGATGATATTCCAACTCTTGTTCAAGGAACATTGCCTCAGGTAGAAAACAAATTTTTTTTTAATTTATTATTTATTTACAAATTTTTACCTATAATTTTTTTTAAAAGATAATCTTAATTAATTTTTATAAATATTAAATTTTAGCATCGCATTACGAAATTGGCGCCTCGAGAACAAAGTGAAGAAGATCTCGCAAAACTTTTTGAAAATTCTTTTCAAATCTATTGAAATTTAAATATAGAGAAATGAAATTTATAAAAAATTAAATGTAAATAATATTACAATTATTTTTATATTCTTTGGGAATTTATTTTTATGTTATTAAATAATCAGGAAATTATAGTTTTTTTTTACAAACATTTTTTATTGAAATATAAATTTATAAAGTATAACATATTGTAAATAGTGTTCGAATTGACAATTTTTTTTGTTAATAACATTATTAATATACATATATAAAAATATAAAAAATATCGTCTACTATAAAAAAATATTCGTATCACGAGAAATATTTACATGACTGTTTTTGGAAAAATTTTCAACTTTCCGATTTTTTTTTTACATTTGTACAAACAACTTACATTAAATATATATATACAATATTTGTTTCTAGATGACAAATAAAAATTTTATCAGAAATATGTTTTTTTTATGAATAATTTTCAATTTCAATTTTTTAATATCTTGAAATATAAGTCGGGATTAATAACTTTATTTAAGATATAAAAAATTGAGGGGAAAAAATGATTTCATAAAAAAAGAAAACATATTAGTCTCTGATTTTAAAAATTACACATGACAAAGTCGTTTGAAATTTCAGGCCAATTGTTTGACGAGTGATAATTATTATTTTCACTTTTTTCTGTATCATTAATAAAGAAAAGGCTCACAACTTTTGATCGTCCTAATGGATTAAAAAAAACGTAACCATGTCTTGTCCCAGATACATTTCTGGCATCACTAAAAAAAAGAAAGTTTTTTTTGGTTTAAAATTGAAAAATTTTAGTTCAATGTTAATGATAAAAATAAATCGTTACAAAAAAAATAATTTGAACTAGTGCCATTTTTTGTAGCAGGCTTTTTACAACAAAAAATGACGCTAATCCGAATCTAAAAAAAAGAAATCTTACTTTTGAAAATAATCATAATTGACTTCCTCGATGTCAGTTAATAATTCCTTATGAAAATCAATGAATTTATAAGAAAATTTTCTTTGCCTTATTTCATCATATCTGTTATCAATTAAATATCGCAGCCAGTTATTAAAGCACACTAGTGTGCTAAATTCTTCGTAATGCATTCTAAAAGATATATTTGCTAATGGAGGAATTGTTCCAATTGTTATTGATGATTTTGATAGACAAAAATTTTCTTCTAAAGTTTTCAGAAGCTCCAAATAATCCTCTTTCATTTGTTTTAAAGTTCTTCCCTGAAATATATTCATAATTAGAAAAATGATTATATTGATATAAATAAATCAGAATAAGATATAATTAACTAAACAAATAATTATTATTGTGAATTATTAATTATACTAATCTCCGTTAATTAAAATAATTATTTATTTATATACTTTTACACTTATTCAATAATAATAATAAATAATTTTTTTAAACAATTGAATATGATTAGCTAATTTTAATATACATACCTCATATATATCGACGGATCCTAACATTATTGTCACTTTATTTGAAATAGAAAACGTGTTTTTCAATCTTCTTGTGCAAGCTCTAATTGATTGTCCGGAGACGCATAAACCGCTATATAATGGGGCTTTTTCTAAAATAAAAATGTTATTTACCAAATTAATTAAAAAAATTTCATTACAAAAAATAGCAATAAATTTCAAAAACTCACCTGATTTCCTATAAAGTTTGGAATCTAAGGTTTTAATTGCAATTTGAAGGGCAAAATCATCTCCAATTAATTGTTGACCGTTCAAAATTGGTTCATTAACATTTTCCTATATTTTAAAAGCAATTAAATTAATTCATTTGAATTCCTTTATTTTATTTAGTTTTGTATCAGGATAAATAATAAGTAAATAAATTACAATAATTAAATTATTAATGAAAAACAACGTACCATTGATTTATGTGGATCAATTGTAATGTCAGGTGTTTGTGATCTTCTGCTTTTGTAAGAAGACGTTGTACGTACAGATGAAGAAGAACTTGGACGAAAAGAAGGACTTGAGCGAAATGAATCTACATATTGAAAAAAATTGTATTAAATTAATTTATTAATTATTTATTATATTAAAATTTACCTTTCGAAGAAGAGTAATCTAAATTTACAGGTGTCACTGTTCTACGAGGCATAGATGTTCGAGCTTTTTTATAAGGCATGAATCTTCCATCTTTTCTATTATTCTAAAAAATAGATTTATTAGAAATGAAATTAAATAAAAAAAAATAATATTTAAAAAATTTAAATGTTATGTAAATTACAATTAAAATGTAAAAATAATAATATTTAAATACCCTTTTCTCATATCTGGGTTTAGTTGGTTTATATACCACCGTAAAAACACTCTCCGTCTGTTTATTTTTAGTAGTTTTTATTTCAGGATAATTTCTTAATAATTCATTTAAACTATTATAACCAAATGCAAGATATGGAATGGTGCTCTTCCCCCATATTTCATATTGATCTGAAAATAATTAATTTATTGAATTAAGTATTAATAAAATTAAAAATTTAATTAAAATAATTCAATTTTAAAATTTATTATTATAATAAATTACCTTCCAATTGTTCAATAGGTAGACCATCATCAAATGATGAAATGATGGCTTTGATCATATTCACTACTTCAACTTCAGACATGGTTACTTTGTCGCGATTTCTTTAATACTAAATTAAATTTTTCGATTATCAAATATTTGAAGGTACAATATTGTTAGAATTCTATTTATACTATTACATATACAGAAAACAATTAAGCACACATTTATTATTCATCTTTTGTCTTTCCGTCATAGTGTCGAAATATTAAAATATGTAAATAAAAACAGTTTACATTTATTTTTCAGTTCAATTAAAATTTAAGAAAATTACTTGATAATATATTAATTTAGATATTAATATATAATGCATAAAATAATTATAAAAAAAATTGATAATTATAATTTTTTATTTCATTGTTATTGAAATTGTTTAAATCAAAATATAATTATTTTTATTTTTAACCATAAAAACAAATGAATTATTATTTATTCTTATCTACATTCAGTGCTCAAATTTCTCAAGTTTGACATATAAAATATAACCTTTTTTAAAAATATTTTTAATAGACATAAAATTCTTTGTTATTAATCAAAATGGCTAAAATAGGTATTAATGGATTTGGACGAATAGGAAGGATGTGTTTGCGAATTTGTCTTGAACAAAATTTGGAGGTGAAATTTTAGAAGAAAAATATTTTCAAAAGTTAAAAGCTAAAGAAAATATTTTTTTTTTTATATTTCAATTTTATTGAATTTTTATTATTTAAAAAAAACAACTATTTTTTGAAATTAACTCAATTATGTTGGAATAATTAAATTTTATACAGGTGAAGCATATTAATGATCCTTTTATTGACATTGATTATATGATATATTTATTTAAATATGATTCAACTCATGGGACATTCACAGAATCCATTGAATGTGATTCTGGAAAAATAATTATTGGTGGTAATTATTTATTGTCTTTTATTATTACAGTTATTTTAAAATTAAATATTAAATTTATTGTAAATATATATATTAAGTTAATATAATTGTTAATACATTGTAAGATATAATTGACGTAAAATTTTGAGAATAATCATAAAAAAAAATTTTATTTTTTTAATGCCTGAGAGAGACAAATAACAACTTCTCATGAGAAAGATCCCTGTAAATTAAAATGGTCCAATGTCGATGTTACATTTGTGATAGAAGCAACTGGAATTTTCACCACCATAGAAAAAGCCGGGGTAAATAGGAATGTTTGATCAGATTTTCAAAATTCAAAATGGCGGATCTAATATGGCGGACGTTTTTTTAAAATTTATCTTTTTTTATCAGTATTAACATTTGATTGAAACAAAATGCTTGTATTTGAAAATATATTTTCTTATTTTGACACATTTTTCTCTAGTCCGGATATATATTAATGGAATAAAAATTTGATTAGCGTCATTTGGATGCTGGAGCAAAACGTGTCATTATCACAGCACCTTCTATTGATGCTCCAATGTATGTTTATGGAGTGAATCATAAATGTTACACACCAGAGAAAGGAGGACAAGTTGTTTCAGCAACTTCTTGTACAACAAATTGTTGTGCTCCTTTAATTAAGGTGATAAACGATCAATTTAAAATCGATCAAACAACAGTCACAACAATTCATGCTGTCACTCCAACGCAAAAAACTCTTGATGGTCCCAGTGGAAAAGTTAGTTGTTTTGAATTTTAATTTTTAATTAAATTGTATACACATAATAATAAAAAAAAATAATTATATATAGAAATGGAGAGATGGACGTGGATGTTTACAGAATATTATTCCAACTTCAACGGGAGCAGCCAAATGTGTTGCAAAAGTTATTCCTGAATTAAGGGATAAAATAACGGCATTGGCATTTAGAGTACCGGTTCCAAATGTTTCAGTGTGTGATATAACATTCAAGTATAAGAAAATAATTGTTTTAATTAATTTAATTTGAATTTTTTTTTAGAAATAATGATAATAAATAATAATTTTTCAAATATAAAGAGGTGAATAATAATTTGCAGATTACATGAAGAAGCAACATACGAAGATGTAAAGAAGTGTGTGAAAAATGCAACTGAAGGAGAAATGAAAAATATTCTTGCATACGTTGAAGACGATTGTGTTTCATCAGATTTTAATAATTCTCCGTTTTCATGTATATTTGATGCAAAAGCTGGAATTCCACAAACAAATAATTTTATGAAAGTTGTCGCATGGTATATAATGTTTTATTATACTATAAATATATTAATACTTGTAATTACAATTCTTTACATTATATGACATTGCATAACATTCATGTAATAAATGTTAAATGAATGTTACACAATTACTTAAAAAAAAATTAATCAATACGTTTCAGGTATGACAATGAATACGGCTATTCTCATCGGGTCATTGATTTACTGAATTATATGTATAATATTGAATTTAACAATGAAAATGCTCAGACTTCCGTTTCCGCTGATGAATATAGTTAAATTATTATTACTTATATTTTACGTAATAATTGATTATTGATTTTTATATGAAATTTTATTTATAAAATTAAAAGGCCAAAATCTGCAAGTAAAATAAAATGTTTCACAAAATGTATATTTTATTTTCGAAACTTTCAGAAATATAAATAAAATAGTTAAACCTTTTCGAACAATATCAATAAGGGAATAAACGTATGCTGACATCTATCATTTAAAATGCGCAAAAATAATATTATTGGTAATGTCACTTACTATTTAAAAACTATTCATAAATGTATACAAGAATTTTATTTATTATTATAATTATACGTCAAATATTGAATAATTTTTGTGTTTATTAGAAATAATTCTTTTTTTATTTTATTATTAATAAGATAATTTAACTAGTTTTTTCTCTTTAATTTTGAACCCGGTAATTTTTGAAATAAACCGCTTTCAAATGGTCAATACAAATTTTTTGAACACGTGACGTTCTTGTCGACCAATGAGAAAGAATATGTTCCGCGCATTCGCACAAGTTTCACACCGGTTATATTACCGTTTCCTGCCCTTCAAATGACACTGTTCCTGTGATTATCATAGTGTGTGGTTCTATCTGTATCTCTCTGTAAGTATAAAAAAAATTGTCTCCCCTTAAATATTTATATTTCCAAAAAATTTTAGATCCATTTTTCTTTTATAAATTTCTCTAATTTCGACAAATATGTATTTCTTTAGATAAAAGTGTTTCTTTACATATACTGACGAAATTTTATAATCAAAATGACTAATACTAACGGGCGTGATTCGTTTTTTTTCTGAAGTATACGTAATTTTTTTTATCTTTAATATACCGGCTGTTTGTGACGTCAGGACTGGAATCTCCTAATGAATTCATTATATTGAATGATTTAATAGTTTATGAAAGTAAAAAAAAATTGTTTAGAAATTGCGTTCGACCCCCAGGACTGTTAAAATTTTTAGTTACGTGTCTGTATACTTGTAAAGGTTCCATTTTTGGATCATCACCTTCTAGACTTGGCCAGTTGAACTCATTGAGTAATGATTTATTATTTTTAATTATTAATAGAGAATTATATAACTTGGATTACGATCAAAACTATTTTTACATTTTTTTTTTCAAAATTTTCTTTTCACTTTAAGGACGACATTTACTTAATCCAGAGCAGACGATTTTAACCGAATTCTTCACCCAATTTATTGTAAACTACCGCTAATCACGTGATTACATTTTAACGATCTTTTCCTTTAAAAATTTATTAACAATATTTTTATTAGTATAAAAAAGATTAAAATTCAATTTTACACTTTTATGACTTACAATTACATATATATATTCTCACATAATTGAAGGTCTTTTAAAGGAAATTAAAAATGGTGGCTTTAATATTCCTGAATCTTTATTTAATATTTCTTTGTATTATATTGACATAATTATTACATAATCTTGAACTTGAAACTGCTTTTTGATTATAAGATTCGAATGAATCTACCATAGGTACTTTTTTTGATGAAAATGTAAAATTTCTTTTAATTTTTTGAATCTTTATTCTATATAATTTATTGACATTGAGATGGGGAGGGGTAATACAGTTAAATTCGTTGCAAGGTCACAGTGAGGGAGGTATTCAAATTCTGTGACCTTGTATGACCTTCAAAATCAACTGAAGCTCCTGAATTTCTTCTTTTGATGATGCTCAAATTTATTTTAGCCTAATATTAAATTAATTAATATTTATTCATTTTTTTGAGAAGGAATAACTTTTTCAAACTAGAAAATTTGTATGGAACAGATGCATGTTCTGTATTGATTTCCAAGAATGTAGATTTGAGAGGGGGGAAACATTGCATCAGATATTTAGAAATATATATTCATTAACGTAGCTTTATTTATTTATAGACCTTCTATTAAATAATTGGAAATTTTTTGTTGTTTTCTATTTTTTAATTTGCAATATATAGCAGACAACTTGTTATACTTTGTGGCGTTTGCGCCGGTATGTGCATGCGTTCTAATCATCAGCCAATGAGAGTATGTTTTACAAACCGCGCGTATTTTGAAAAGTAGAATAGTAAAACTTAAATTTAAATAATAAATTATTATCAATTAGTTATTATTAATAATTACTATTATTTAAATAATAATATAAAATACAAAAATTTAAAGTAAATAATAAAAACAATTTTGTTGCAGTTTTACAAACAACAAAATGAGTAAAATCGGTATCAACGGATTTGGCCGTATTGGTCGTTTGGTATTGAGAGCTTCCGTTGAAAAAGGCGCAAAGGTATTATATATTATTTGATTTTTATCATCTAAATGTTTGTATCTAGTAATACCCTTTTGAAAATTCCTTTCAGGATCCTTTATAGGATCCCTTATATTAGAAAGGCTGCTATAAAGAATTCCTTTTTTCATATTTACAGGTCGTTGCCATCAATGATCCTTTCATTACAGTTGACTATATGGTCTATCTTTTTAAATACGACTCAACTCACGGCAAATTTAAGGGAGAAGTCAAACATGAGGGCGACTGTTTGGTTGTGAACGGTAACAAAATCAAAGTATTCAGTGAACGTGACCCAAAAGCTATTCCATGGGCATCAGCTGGTGCTGAATATGTTGTAGAATCAACTGGTGTCTTTACCACCATTGACAAGGCTTCGGTTAGTAAATTTTCAGTTAGAATTGTAAATTATCTTTTGTAAAAAGAAGAGGAGAAAAATATTTAGAAACAAAATGTATTTATTTTCCAATTGTCTGACAATATTTTCAGGCTCACTTGGAAGGAGGAGCAAAGAAAGTTATTATCTCAGCTCCTTCGGCTGATGCGCCCATGTACGTTGTTGGTGTCAATCTTGATGCCTACGATCCAAGCGCTAAAGTCGTTTCGAATGCTTCATGCACAACCAATTGTTTGGCTCCTCTTGCTAAAGTCATTCATGACAATTTTGAAATTGTAGAGGGTTTAATGACCACCGTTCACGCAACAACTGCCACTCAAAAAACCGTTGATGGACCCTCTGGAAAGGTTTGTGGTTTTAATTTTTTTTGCGCTTCATTCTTGAATAGAATTATTACAATCATTTTGAATTTTCCAGTTGTGGCGTGATGGACGTGGCGCTGCACAAAACATCATTCCAGCCGCGACAGGCGCAGCGAAAGCTGTTGGAAAAGTAATTCCATCGTTAAATGGAAAATTAACAGGAATGGCCTTCCGTGTTCCAGTTGCTAATGTATCCGTTGTTGATTTGACAGTACGTCTTGGTAAGCCAGCGACATATGATGAAATTAAAGCCAAAGTAAAGGAGGCTGCGACCGCAGGTCCACTTAAAGGAATTCTCGCCTACACTGAAGATCAAGTTGTCTCATCTGATTTTATCGGTGACAATCATTCCAGTATTTTTGATGCCGATGCTGGAATTCAATTGAGTAATCAATTTGTTAAACTCATCTCATGGTACGACAATGAATATGGTTATTCCAATCGTGTTATTGACCTCATCACATTTATGCAATCCAAAGATCAGTAAAAATTTTGAAACATAAAAAAAAATAAAAACTAGAAGAGATTTCATTCTGAAGCAAAATGGTCTCCGCAATGGCTGCAAAGGACGATTTACAAATTCTGGTCACAATATTAATAAAAAAAAATAGTTGTTATCTTTGAGAGAAAACAAAAATATAACAAAATCACGAATTAATGACAATTTAGAATTTTGCTGTTTTAACTGTTTAGAGATTTAAAATTGACATGATAATTAAATTTTAGTCCTTTATTCCTTTTGATTTGTCATGCTGTGAAATTTTCTTGAAATTAATGTATATCTTTTTGTCATTGTGAAAAGTTGTTCTTCATTTTGTAATGTATCTTACGTGTTACATCGAGTTCACTATGTCAGTAAGATTTTTTTTTTAATTCAGTCGTTGACTTCAATAAACGTTAATTACAACGTACATTTGTCTTTTTAATGTCTCCCAATAATTTAAGTTGTACAATTTGTACTAATTTTGGAATATTTTTGATAAGAAGGAAACAAATAAAATGAAGTTAACTTCATTTTATTAAAATCATTACCTATCAACAAATTGTAAGGGTTAAGTTAACCAAAGTTACCAATTTTTCCTTACTTTCAGTAGTAATTAAAATTAATTAATGAAAATCAAGTATTCTTCAATATGTGCAACGTTGGACTTAATGGTTTTGGCCGCATCAGTCGAATGGTTTTGAGAGCTTCCATTGATAAAAATGTTCAAGTATAATTTTCAATTTTTAATGACATGATAATCAAACATGTTTTTAAATAAATATCAAATTAAAGAAAACTGTTTAAATATTATATTACAGATAGTTGCAATTAATGATCCATTCGCTAATGTTGAATACATGGCCCATTTGTTCAAATACGATTCATCGCATAATAAATTTAAAGGTGATGTTAAAGTCAATAATAATTGCTTATTAATCAACGGCTGTAAAATTCATGTCTATAAAGAGGCAGATCCCAAAAAAATCCCTTGGAAAAATGCTTCTGCTGAATATATAATTGAATCATCGGGTGCTTTTACTAACGTTGAAAAAGCTTCGGTAAATCAGTGAAATTCTAAAATTCTTTCTTAATTAAAAATTGAAGGAAGGGAACAAAACGGTTTTTATAGGGACATTTGACAGGAGGTGCCAAAAAGGTGATCATTTCTGCACCATCTGAAGATGCACCAATGTTTGTTTTTGGCGTCAATCATGAATCATATGAACCAAGTGTTAATATTGTTTCCAATGCTTCCTGCACCACTAATTGTCTAGCTCCACTTGCCAAAGTAATCAATGATAATTTTCAAATTTCCGAAGGACTCATGACCACTGTTCACGCAATTACTTCAACACAAAAAACAGTAGACGCACTTTCTGACAAAGTAAAGTATATCAATATTATCCTACTGATGTTAAATCATTGAAAACTTTTATTACATGAATGAGTTTTTACTTTTCTAAAAAGTCTGTAGGGTAGTAAACAGTTAAATATTTAAAGAAAAAGAAATTTTAGGATTGGCGATCAGGACGCGGTGCCTTGCAAAATATCATACCAGCATCAACTGGAGCCGCTAAAGCCTTAGGAAAGATAATTCCTTCATTAAATGGAAAATTAACGGGAATGGCATTTCGTGTACCAGTTGCAAATGTTTCGGTAATTGATTTAACAGTAAGACTCTGTAAAGCGGCAAGCTTTGATGAAATCAAAAATAAAATCAAAGAATCAACATGCGAGGGAAGTCCTCTATGTGGAATTTTGGGTTATACCAATGATGATGTTGTTTCTTCGGATTTTATGACCAGCACTTATTCCAGTGTTTTTGACGCCAAAGCCAGTATTGCATTGAATGAGCAATTTGTCAAACTTATTTCATGGTATGATAATGAGTATGGTTACTCAGTACGACTTCTTGATCTCATTAAATTTATGGAAAGCAAAAATTAATTTTAGAAATTATGTAAAGTATTTTTTAAAATTTATTTTATTAAAAAGAATCACCTTTTTAGTAGACAATATTGTATTTTAAACATGAAAAATGGAAAAAAGTCGAAAGTTTACAATAATTAGGCAGATTTCAGAACCTGGGGGTTAACGACACCAGTGACACTGTATTCCTTTGATTTTCCTGATAATGCCAAAAATTGTTCAGCAACTTCAAGGGCAACTCTTTGTTGTGCCTCTGCTGTGCTTGCGCCTGTAATTAAATTTTTTATTGTTTCATATTAATTACAAAAATAACAAATATATTTCGAAAATTTAATTACCAAGGTGAGGAGTGGCAACAACTTTTGGATGTTTAATAAGTTCCAAAGTAATTGGATTCTTTGGCGGCTCCTCCATATAAACATCTAAACCAGCTCCTCCGCAATGACCAGTTTTTATTGAATTTAATAAATCTTCCTCATTAATTATTCCACCTCTTGCAGCATTAATTATATAAACTCCTTGTTTACATTTTGCCAATGTCGTTGCATTGATCAAATCTAAAATCAATAAATAAGAAAATTTTCTTTTCCTTGAAAAAATTAAAATGTAAAGATATAGTTTTTTGATATTTACTCTTTGTTTGAGGAATTAGAGGAGTATGTACAGTGATGTAATCAGCAACAGGCCAAACTTCATCTAAATTAGCTTTTTGAATTCCTAATTCTTTAGCATCATTATTCTGAAGCAATGGATCGAAAGCAATAATTTTCATTCCAAACGATTTCATACGAATTGCAACCTCACGACCAATACGTCCCATTCCTACAATACCGAGTGTTTTTCCATACAATTCAAATCCGGAATATAATTTACGATCCCAACGGCCTTCCTTTAAAGAGTGACTCGCTTGAACGACATTTCGCGCAAGTGAAGATATTAGGGCACATGTCAATTCACAAGCACTAATACTATTTGCAGCTGGTGTACTGTTGACCAAAAGAAATTTTTTGTGATTTACTGTAATGTCAGGGAAAAAGTTGATTTATACAATTCAGGCGTTTTACAGTCACTTTACGCTATGTGTTTAGCATGTATGAAGTTCCCATTTTAATGCCCAATGGTGGGGTAAAAAGTAGGATAAAGTGATCATAGAACGCTTTTCTGCACATTATACTGTTGTACAAATAAATAAAAAAAATACATTTACTTTAAAACGATAATTCCATTTTTCGTGGCGGCTGTGACATCAATATTATCAACTCCCGTACCGGCTCTTCCAACGACTTTAAGATTAGAAACACCTTCTAGAACTTCGGCTGTAACTTTTGTCTCTGATCTTACAATTAAAGCTTGATGATTCTAAAAACAATGAAATAATTTTATTTAGGTTTAACCCAATTTTTCTGTTTAATGGCATTTGTTGAAGACAATAAAGCATCATCTGCTACAGGACCTTCATAGATCAGAAATCCTAATGAAGGTTTTATTGAAGTAACAGATTTTGTACTAGAAATTACCTCTAATTCCTTAATAAGTTCGTCCTTTGGTAATTTATATTTTGCAGTCACTTGAATTCCATGACTAGTTAAAAGTTTGACACATGATTCGTCCACAGGATCACTTACAAGGACACTTTTGATTTCTACAGACATAATGGTCCTAGAGAAAGTAAAAATTTTTGATAAAATTTTTTTTTAAATATTCAAAATCGAAAAATTGTGAAATTCAATCACATTTTATTTTTGCTGAAGGAATTTAAATAATAAATATTTGTTCCCATGATTAAATTTTATCTATAATCTTATCATCATCAGGTAATTTTTATCAATTTTTCTTTTCGTTAAGCGACAATATTTTAGGGTATAAAAAATATTTTTAAATGATAAATCAAATATAACACAAATTTATCATAAATAAATTTTATATAAATTGTAAAAGGGTGTAAAAAATTGTACAAAAAGTACTAAAAAGAAAAAATTAAATTGTTTCATTTTCAGTGTTAAAACATTTTATTTATCAAAATTATAAAAAGCTTCAAGATTTATTCACTGTGGTTGACTTTGGCCTTGAATTAAATTAGATGAATGTGTGAAAATATACCTTGAGTTTATTGTGCTTTGGCAGAAAGAAAAATAATTTTATTTCGTTAGAGACTTAAAACATTTTTCGAATTTATAAAATGAGTTCTGCATATTTTAATAAATTAATTTAAATTAATCAGTCAATATTGGTAGAATTTGAAGAAAAAAACTGTAATTATAAAAAAAAATTGGTTCTTTTCCTTGTTTTATAAAAATTATTGAGAATTAAAAATTTAATGTTTCTTAACATTAAAATTATAATTCGTGTAGATTTTTATTTATTGTAATAGAATTTTTAACTTGAATCTAAAACTTTAATTTTACTTTACAAATTATGTACATATATTTTTTATTATTCATTATTAACTGTTTTAAAAAATTTAAATATTATCATACATAAGAAAATGTATTTTACAAGAAAAATAATATTTTTTATAATAAATTAATTTTTAATCACCTTGAAAATTCGGCCAAATACTGAAAAATTATTTTCTGATTTAAAGACGTCAGGATCCTTTCCAGTTCGAATTTAGATCCCAGACAGACTGAGGATTCTGGTTTCAATTTGATATATTTCTCTAACGTCCCCTCTACTCCCGGCCACGTCATAACCGGCGATTGGAGTGGAATGTTGTCTGGAGAAATGTTTCAAAGCCGGCCAGGCTCAGTGGCTGGAAAGAAAATTCTAAAACGAATTTAATTCATAAACTCTATATTAAATATATTCTCCAATTTTAAATTAATTAATTAATTAAATTCTATAGCAAATGAAAAATTACATAGTATGTATACAAAAAAAAATTCAAATTTAAATAAAGAAATTTAAGAATTTTTACAAAATCGTGTTGGAAAAAAATTGTTGTTTATTATTGACATTCAAAAATATTTTTCAAATTAAAAACAAAGTGTTATGTTTTATAATAAGTAATTTTAATAAAAACGCGAATTTTTTTTTAAATTTTATAATTATAATTGATTGTCATGAAACTAAGGGTTAAAAAATGTATATATAAAAAAATAAGTCAAATTCAATATATGTATGTAACATTAATGTCTATTTTCTTAGCTTCACCTCTCATTAGATTAAAACCCATTGAGAATCTTTCTCTCTCTCTCTCTCTCTTTATATATATATTACACTGTAATTACATTATAAATTTTCCGTGTAATGCTAGGGTAAAAATTACAAAAAATTATAATACACGTAATTTTGAAACCCTAATAATAATTATTGTGAACGAATAAATTATTTATAAGTATATTTATGATCCTGACTATATATATATATATATGCAAAATTCTGGAGGGCACAAAATTAGTGTGTCAGATACGAGTGAAAAAAAAACGATGACGAAGATACATTTAACAAAATGTCACATCGCATTTTATGGCACAGAAACGTTTAAAAAAATTTAAACGCACTAATCGCAAATTTTTTTAATAAATATATATATATATATTTATTTATTTTATCAACTCCCTCCTCGTTAATGTCAAGGAATTTAATTATTAAAATTGATAAAAATTTACAAATTTAAAATTCATTGTTTCTAATTTTTAAATTTTATAAATCTGACTTCAATAATTTACAGTTCTGTACATGTTACATTTTCATTAAAATTTCCTGCTAAAAATTCAATATTTTCTTCTAGAAATCGATTTACAAATTTAAATTCGTTTAGTGCCTTTGGAAAAGTTGATAATATTAAAAAAAATTCAATTAAACTATAATCAAAATATAAGGCTATAGAATTATAGAAAATTTAAAAATATTTTTATACAATTCGCTATTAAAATTCTAATTATATGTAGATTCATTTTTCTATTATTTCCCGCTGCCCATTTTTGAATATTTTGTTTTCGTAAAAATTCGATATAGGCAGATTTCTATATATGTATATATAATATATTGTACAAAAATCATTTTTAAATTATCGAAAGACTATATATTTATCATAACTAAATTTTTATATATATAGTTGTTAAAAATATTATAAATTCCGAAATTTCAATAGTGATAAATTATTGAATTTTCAAATAATAATAATAATAATAATAATAATAATAATAATAATAATAATAATAATAATAATAATAATAATAATATCAGTTAATAGATTGATGATGAGATGAAAAAATTAATTTGTGTTTATAAAAAATAAATTAAGAATCCGTATATAGAAACCAATAAAATTAAATTAAAAATGACATAATGAAACTTCGGAAACATAAAATTTATGTTCTATTGGTTTCAAACCAATTATAAAGAATTTGTAAAAAAAAGACTCGTAAACTAATTATAACAATATTTTAAAACTTAATTAAGAAATTAACATCGATTAACGTGCGGTAAATTGTACAAATATTGAGAATTAGGTGCTTATGCAAATCGTTAAAATTAAAACTTAAATGTTAAAATTATTTTTAAAACAATAAAAAAGCAGATATTAAGTCTTAATTATAATAAATAAAAACATTTCTATTTAATTAAATCGAAGAAAATAATTTTTTTTTTCTTCTAAATGCAAAAGTTGAAATATTTTGTAAAAAAATAAATTGCCCATCACAGGGTTGTAGAAGAGGGAGGGGACAAAAAAACCTGACTTCGCAACGTATGCGCGATAAAATAAAAATTTAACATAACTTAAAAATAAAGGGAAGATTGACGAAGGGATCATGTCAATAATAAAAGTTTCGCACGCAAATTAATTCGTTCTTGAAGAGCACCAGCTAATTCTTTTGTTAACTCTTCGCAAACTTGCCTCAATTCGGCATTTCTCTCTCGTAATTCCTGTAAAGATAAATTGTTGCTATCTTCAGCATCGTCGATTGCCGCATCATGCTGACCAGCCTCACGCTCTGAAAGGACCAAACCTAAATTGAAAATCAATTCCAATGATTAATTCAAGTTTCTCTTCTCACGATTGGACTTACTTGGACTAGGTTTTCTGTAGATATGAAACGCACCACAAACTCCGGTGAATTGTTGTGAAGCAATATTATCAATTGCTTGTGCCTCCACAACTTCTGGTTTTGTTGAGAACTGCGAAAAATCAGCAACAAATCCTTGACACTCGCTTGCTGTCCTTTGAGTCTCGCCTTCACTTCTTTGACCAACTAATTTCCTTGGAGTAGTCTGTAATTTTGCGAAACAGAAAAACAAAGTATTCATAAAATCGGTAGAAAAAAAGATTTAAAATTAACAACCGATTAGAAAATAGAAAACTTACGATTCCAGGAGATACTCTTGGTGGTACAAGAGGAGGAGCACCTAAAAAGCTCTGGCCATTTTTTCCTGTAAGATAATTTATTTTTAATAAATCAATACAATGGATGTATCAAGAAATTGCGTTATTGTTATTTTTACGTTTAGAAAATGTAATCGGAAACAGGCAAAATACCGTTTACATTTTAAGGAAAAATCAATGGTGAAATTCCTACTCTACTTTTGTATTTTTGTGACGAAAAAAAAATTTCCTACTTACCAAAAATGATCAATATTTTGAAAATATATAATATGAATGTAATCTCCTTTTAACCTTTTATGTTTTAATATTTTTTGAGGGGGGTCAGAAAATCTCAGTTTGCGAGAAACATAATTTTAGTTAGTATTTTTTACAAAATTCGAAATGCCCATGATATATTGTTTTCCGCAAACCAACCCACAGTAAAGAGTATTCATAACCACTTCACCCGATATTTAAGGATATCCTCAGGACATCCATTTGCTTTCGGCAGTTTTGATATCCCTAGGATATACTAAAGATATCTTAGGATATCCTAGGGATACCTAATCCGCCGGAAGCAAATGGATATCCATATGATGTCCCAAGGATATCCTTAAATATCCGTGCTGTGAGGGAAGAAATTCTTATTTTGAATTACATCACGATTTAGTAGATTCTGCACTCATGAGAGTAAAAATTTGTGGCAAAATTATTCAATAGCATATGCTATAGAATTTGTAAAATATAATATAAATTTCTATAACATATGCTTTTGCTTTTTCGCAGTATATGTGAACCATTGTCATACCACCCCACATGGTTCCAAATTAAGGTACAGTCACATGGAGCAGATTAGTAGATTAGATTTCAGCCAATCAACGTTTGATCCGTTAATGCACTATTCTGTTCCATGTGTACTATACCTAAAACAATATTTCTACAAATTTAGATACTGTATGGTCATGTTTAAGGATTTTTTAAATTCGTTAGTGTTACAGTAACTTACCCAATTTATTAAGATCAAGACTAGAACTCCTAGTGTGCGTCCTGTAAGGTCTAGGAGGAGGAGGTGGTGGTGGCTCTTTTTTAGGTGTGACAATGACACTCTCTTCTAGAGGTGGTGGTGGCTTCTTAGCAAGGGGTCTTTGCACTAATGTAGTCGAGGGAATTTGTAATTCGTCATCTCCTAAATTAGATCCAGTACCATTGCTGCCATTGGCACTAGACGCTAAAATTGCAGCATCTGGGGTCAGTCTCAGTGGTACAGGATGCAAAATTTTTGGATCTCTTTCAACAGCTGCTTTTTGAAAGTCAAAATTGACTGGTTTCGGTCCTGGACTTGTCAATGATCCAGTTCCTGTTGGTGAATCCACAAATTTGGTCCACTCTTTACTCTTTTCTTTACTATTGTTCCCAGAATTTGAAGCGACCAATGGAACGTTATTTGGCTTTTGTATTATCAGAGAATTGGACAATGACGTAGGTAATACGTCAGGTAGAGGTATGTGATTTTTTCTCAGTACAACTAAATGCATTGCAACGTAAAATTCCTGAAGGCTCAATGCACCATCTCTTGTCACATCTGCCAATTGCCAAATTCGTCTTAATTCCGCAACTGGAAGACGTGACTTCTCGAAAAATGTTCGAGCCACAGGACCAGCAAGAAGACCTTCAGGATCCGGTTGCAAGAGTGTAAATTGTGCTGCATAATATTCTCTCTGCTCGTCATTGATTGTCCAAACCTCTTCAGGTGGGAATCCATCTACATCGCCATCATCACTGCTGTGACGTTCAGAACTTTCTTCTTCTGTTCCTAAAAGTTGACGTTGTTCCTCAGAGACGAGAAGACCTTGCCATCCACTGGCGACAGTATTGTGAATTGCTTCACTACCAAGAATATTTTCATTTCGTTCTTGAGTTACGCTATTTGTTGGTGTTGGCGAATCTGTACTTCCACCAGTTTCACGTGGTGATTCTGGCTCGCTTTCACTCTCAGTGGTACTCTCAAGAACACGATTTCCTGATTTGATTTTCATCATTCGTACAGAATCAATAGTTCGTTTCTCTTCTTTTTCATCTTCGTTGGACCATGTAAATCTTGGAAGAGCTATCTCATCAAGAACCGATGTTACTGCATCATTATTAACCTCCAATCCTGCTTGATGAGCAGCTACTAATTTTAATATTGCGTAAAATTGTTTACGGCTAATATTACTATTTTTTGATCCTCCGCAAATTTCCAGTATCTGTTGTAATTGAAGAATTAAATTAATTAGATGAATTTAACAATCGATATGGTAAAACCCCTCATAGCACTCGGATATTTAGGATAAACTACGGACATCCTAAGTAAACCTACAGATTACTGTCCGTAAACATCCTAATTCTTAATATCCGCTTGCTATGAGGGACATAACAAAGAATGTAGCAGATGTAATAACTGTTTCTCTAAAATATTTCTCAAAGCAACATAACCTCAAAAATAATCCCCCTCAAGTTTCTGTTATAGAAAATAAATCAGCTTTTGAAATCAATATAACAGTTATTATACCAATTTGAAATTAAAGTAATGTAAATTACAGAAAATGAAGCTCTTAAAATTAAAGAAGAAATGATATTATTACAAAATTGTAATAAATATTTTTTCTATATACATATATACATATATGTGAATGAATTTTAATGTATAGCTAGTGAGTAATTAATGACGCACAATGCAAAAAATCGTGATGAGAAAAAAAATCAACAAACAGAGTAATGTTCTGATTGTATAGATTATACCTTTAATGTGATATTACGAGGTAAATTGGCAGATCGAAGCAAATCAGCGACCTTGACCATCGGCACAGTAGTATCGGTGTCAGAATTTTCACAACAATAGATGAAAATATCACCGTAATATCTGTGCTCAGTTTCAGTAAGTTGTAAACTCGATAATGAAACTGATTCCCAATCCATTTTTTTACTCTGATATGTAACAATTAGGTATTATTCTAAAGCACCAAATTCAATACTACTTTGACCTGAATCTTAAAATCACAAATGAGCTAAAACATGTATATATATACATATATATATACTACTGTAAACGACTACCTAACCTTCCAAAAATTTTGTCTTAAATATTTAATGATGTATTTATAAAATGTTTAATTAAAAATTGGCTCAAATATAAGAAAAGTATTTTGTTGTTGTATTATTTGTAAACTAAAAATGACCAATGACAATAAATAATGATAATTTATTAAAAATTAATAATCATTTGAATTTGTATAAATTATTATAGACTCTTCAATCGTATTCATAGAGATGTTAATATGAAGCATATTAATTTTTTGAAGATAATATTTTACAATTGTTTATAAAATATTTCTATTTTTATAATATGCTCAACAATTTTTAAGTGTAGTCCTTGTGTCCATCTGGTGTCGATATTTTAAGCCTGTCTGAGCTTGTCTAAACTGGTCTAAACCCTATGTAGTCATCTTTGGTGATTCTACTGTAGTAGCAGGTAGTTGGAGGTAGTAGTCAGGCAGGTCGGTAACATATCAACGATTCTTCGTTTGCAACAGTACTGACAGTCGTCGAATCATGTCCTTATTCTATAATAGTCATCAGTTTACTTACTATATAAATTCTTTTATGCTATAAGGTACATTGTAAAGTAATTTTGTTAAACTATTCGTTTACGCAGTGCTAAGACTACAGTGTTTCATATGCTAAAATAAATAGCCAATAGAAAACTACTATTTTAGCATTATGAAACATTTTTAGCATTACCTGAACAGCAACGGACATTTCAGAATATCCTATGGACGTCCTATCCGTATCCAGAAATTTGTATATCTCTAGAATGTTCTCAGGTTATCTATGGATATCCTACTTTCTGATTATACCTAAGACATCCATAGGATATCTTAAATATCCGGATGCTGTTAGGGTTGTAAATGAATATAGTTTAGCGGAAAATCATACAAAAAAAGCAATGTTCCTTTATATAGGTTTTCTTACCTATCTGCAAGGAAAAATGAATTTCTAATAGGGGATCATCTTCTAAATACCGAAGGAGAATTGATAATTATAATTTTTATTCTAGTAAGGGATGCAGCAACAGATATTCTATAGGCATATTCAGTGTCTAGGACATCTAATATGGATATCCTACCCAGTGGGTATCCTTATAGGATATCCTTAATATCCGAATGCTATTAGGGTTACTTTTTGGAAGCCCGCTAGGAGCGTGGCTTAGCAATAATTAAAATTGCACGCAGTAAAATTTAAATTAAAATTTTAATAATCTGCTACTAAAATGTTTTTCCTCGTAATAAATATGTGTAAATAAATAAAATACAGCTTCGATATCTCTTTTATGTTTTTATAAGATTTTATTTTTATACGGTATAAACAGGAAAAATTGATATCTTGGTGATAATTTTAGAAATTTGAACAACGCAGTTTTTTTTATACATATATAGTAGTATATAAACCCCGTTAAACCTCCAGCGAATCAGTTAGTTAAAAAATGTATTTTGAAAAAATTGTAATCTTTGCACTTTTGTGCATATTTGCCTTCACAGTTTCAATAGTTAGTGGCCAATGTCAAGGAAGAACTAAACCATGTGTATTTGATTCAGATTGTTGTAGTAGAAAATGTATACAATGTAAGCCTTATTTTATTTTCAAAATATAAATATAGAATTTATTTTTATACAATAAGAAATTATAAAATTAAAAATTTTTTATTGAAAACAAATAATTTTATTTAAATTACAGATTCTAGTAGATGCGTCTAAAAATTTCCCTTTGGTGATCCTTTAATGAAAAACACATGAAAATGTAATCAAATTTCTATGAATACATATATATATATATATATAGAAAGAATAAATACTATTATCTATTAAAATATTGTAAAATATTTATTGTGAAATAAATGTTAAAATACATGAAAAAAGAATTAATTCGCCGATGAATCATTTTTGTATATAATAATTTAAAGTCCTTCGATGTAAATTCTCATTGTGTCTAGAACAAAGGTACATTTGTTTTATGTTTCTAATTTATAGTTCCCAATATACATAATAAATAATTTTTATAATCTTAACCATGAATTTTTGCCACTTTTCTTTCTTAAGCTTGTAATTCATTTCTAATGTTCATTTCTTTCGAATAAACTCTGCAGAAATCACTAAAAAATAAGACAGCTCCTATAAATGAACACACCTGAAAATAATAATTCGGATTAATTTAATCAATTACATGATAGTTCATTTTGTTAGTTTAGTTCTTTCAATGTAATATTTTTATCTAAAATTCAATTAAATCAATCAAATTTTTAATAAAAAGAACTTACAGATGCTATGAGTAAAGTGAAATCGACGAAAATGTTATATTCGTTAAGCAATAAGTAGGTGTATATTGCTAAATATCCACAAAATATACTCACAAAACATGAAATAGAGTAAAAAAAACATTCCTGAAATGTATGTTTTTTAGTAATTTTTATAAATAATTTAGTTTTTTTAAAATACATGTACTTACAACATAATAAAAAGTCTTATTCTTAATCTTCTCCCTTATTTCAAATACGTCGAACACTATTGTTATATTTGTAAAAAATACAATAGCAAAGGTCAAACATTTGTAGCAATAAAATCCAGTTATTAAAATTCTTTTTGCTTCAATTATTATATATTCTTTTTTAACGTCACTAATAACATAATCATAAGTTGTAAAGTAAAAATTATAATATGCAACAAGAGAAATTAAACTAAACATCTGAAAACAAAATCTGCTTTAAATTATTTTAGTTTACTTTGGTGTTATATAAATATTATAAGAATATGTTTATTTTGATATAAAAATTTCGAATATCACTTACAAATTCAGTAAATTTTAATTGTCCCGAAAGAGATAATAAATACCAATATGGTTTTTTGGAAACTTTTGTTTGAATAGAAAATAAATTAATTTGGCTCGGATTGAACGACGTCATTTTAACACTTATAACACAAAACTACTATGTTTAATTTCTATACTCTATAGACTGAACAGCACAAAGAGAATATGTCCTATGAATAAAATTGTCCCCCACTTTCATAATATAATAAATTTTATTTCATTTCTCCATAAATGTAGTAGAAAATTTGTAATATATAAGTTTCATCAAGGACTTCATTTTTGTAAATGATCCATTGGGGTAATTTTGTAAATAGGATACTTATTGTAATTCGTTTTTTGGCTTGTTGGGAAAGAGGAGGGAAAGGAAATATATCAAAATAAAAAAATATAGAAAAGAAATGACATGATTATAAATCGATATCAAATAATTTCGTATTTTCAAATTATAAATTTTGATTCGATCCAATTTTGATAATTACTTAACTGGTGTTGTTAGTAAAAAGTATATCAATTCGATATATTATATTTCCTGTGTAATGCCACAATAAGAAAAGTAAAATATAAACAATTACTTTAGTTATTGTTTCTTCTGCAAATTAAATTATTCTTTATATCCAAAAAGAAAATCAACTGCATTAAGAAACCAAATACCTGTAAGTTAATAATTAGAATTACAAATATAAATTATATTAATTACAATAAATTATAAATTATTAAGAAATAATTAATGAAAATTCTTACCACCAATGACGAGAGAGGATATGTAATATAAAAATGATACATAAAAATTATTCCAAAAGTGAGCCAAATATATGAGAGAAACATAAATATACAGAATATTAAATCCTAAAAAAAGATAGAAATTTGTATATTTTTGTTATGGGATTTTTATGTTATATATTTCTATTATTATATTTTGCATATACATATAACTCACCCATTTGAATAGATTGTTATTATCAGATTCATTATTTTTCTCTTTAATATAATTGCCTAACAGAATTAGTGTACCGCAAAATCCAACAATGCATATGAGACGAGAATAAAAATCAAAAACGTAAGACATTCTTTTTGGTTGCAGTTCTAAGACAAGTATTAATATTGCGCTAAGAAACTTAAAAAAAACGCCCATTTAATAATTATTAATAATTTTACTAAAGAAAATAATTTATTGAAACATACCATTTCTATAAATTTGATAATTATTTTATTTCTCATGACAGTATTCACTTGACTATTATCATTTTCACGTAATAGAATTTTCCGAATATTCTCAGTTTGTATTTTATAATTATTTTCTGAATTATTTTTTTCTGAACACATTGATTTAATATCCATTATTTCATTTGTCATTGTGTTTCTCTTATTACTGTGAATCATTTTGATGATTATCATCAATTTCATCTTTTCTAATGTACTCTTCAAAATTTGTATTAAGTTATTAATTTTTTGAATTGACATTTTTTCCATAAATGAAAACTTAGTTAATTTTGATTCATCATCACCGAGATTAGAAATATCCGAAACAATAAAATTATTTTCATAATGATTGTCAATAATTGTTAAATCAGACAATTCATTGTCATCAAAAATTGATGAATTTATTTTTATCACCGATTCCCCATTATCTTTTTTTGTTGTATTTTCCTTTGGTACTTTTATCGTTACATCAATTGAATAAGGTGATTGAACTTTATTAAAAACCATGGATTGTTTTGTAGTTAGTAATGAATTTTCCATTGAGCCAAGAATTGATGCTAAATATATATATATATATAATATTTATATTATAATCTTTTAAAAATAAAAAAAAATTGACAGGGAAACACATTTAATTAAAAATGTTTTTGCTAGTAATAAATTTTTGAATGTCACGAATGTTGGCGTTTGAAAGAATAAATTTATTTTTTTATAAATTTTTTTATCAAAAAATAGAAGGAATTTTTGTAATGTACAAACCTTGTCATGTAATTCCCTCTTTTTTTTAATGCAACCTTTTTTCTTCTTTAAAGTATCAACTACAACTGTTCATAACTAAAACTACAAGGTTTTTTTACATCTCTAAAAATACGCATAAACTTTTCTCAATGTCTTTGTGCAGAGTGGGGATTCCGATTATGAAACTAAGTAAATATCTATATATACTCAATTGACTGAATATTATTCGATTTATTTCACTTTTGTTAATTAAATGTAAACGAATTAAAAATAATTTATTTTTTCATGTATTCATATGTTCATTTTTAAATTTTAATTTGTTCTTTTAAAAAAAATTATTTTTAAAAATAATAAATATGAAGAGAAAGAAGAAAATATTTTGTTCTCTTTTGTCTATTGTCGAAGTTAGAAAAAAAGGAGAGAAAAATGTTTAATTAACATTAGGAATCATTATCAATAGGAAATAAAAAAAATATTTCAAGATTAAGGAATTTATTAATTCAAATGTTTATTGTTTTTTGCAATTTTTATTTATTTTTTTCCTTTTTGTTGTTAAGTTTCATTTAAAAATTATCATCTCTTGTAACATGTTCGAATTAAAACAAGTGCATTTCCTGCATAACATCCCATTGCAACAAATCCAAAGATCTGAAAATGTGGTAAACATCATTTACATTTATTTTTCTGGAGATTAAAATTAAATTTTTTTTGAGAGAGAATTTTTAAAAAAATATGCTCACTACAGCAATGGAGGGTCCATTTTTTTTTACTTCCATATGCCATAGTAATAGAGAAGTGGAAGTACACATTAAAATTGTCCATATTATGCAGAAAATGGCATCCTGGAATAAAAATTTTTTTTCGATAATTCTCTCTCTCTCTCTCTCTCTCTCTTTTATAAAATTGCAGAAACATGAGACAAAGAAAGATAGAGAGAGAAGAAGTTTTGAACGGAAAAAAACCCGCAGTCGGGAAGAATCGAACTCTGGACCTTCTTACCGAAAATCCAGTAGAGTAGCCACACGGCTGTCCCACAGGTAAGGATTTAAATTTCAAAATGCTTTATAAAAGAGAGTAATTTCTTGAAATTATGACTTACAAATGAACATACAGTGGGATCAAGTTCATTGATATTGCTGGGTATAGAGATCATCAGGAAACATGCTGATATCGCAAATCCTAGCATGCTGGTTATATTGTAAAAAGTTGTTGTTTCATAATCAGAAGGCTCAGTTGAGAGCTTAAGAAAAAAAAAACCAAAAATGCTAAAAATCTGAAAATCAAATAAAATTTGATAAATTGAAAAAATTCTTTAAATTAAGATTATTCTGCATATATTAAAAAGTATATCCCAATTACCATTTGACATATTTTTAATGATCTCGAGAAAGTATTTGCAAAACGAGTCGATTGCGATTCAATTTCATTTCTTATTGAAATAATTTGTGCTTCAGTTTGTGCAATTCTCAATTTCATTCGATGTGAGCAAATATTTTTAATGCCTATTATTTTTTCAAATATTTCTTCTCTATCGGAATCAGTCATTTTTGAAAAATAAGTTTTACTTATTGTCACGGCATTATTAACTGCTGCCATAAACATATCTCTATCTTCAACTGACGATGATCCTGTGAATGATGATTCAATTTTCCACAAAGCACGTATAATTTCCTCTTTTTCTAAATCAGTTAAACCTAATTTATTTAATGGGACATGATTATTTGATGACAATGTGGAACGTCTAGTGTCTAAAAAATTTAACGAATCAAAACCATTTGAAATGCAAACTTCAGTTTCAAAAAATTCAGCACTTGGCGTATATGATATATTTGGTAAAAGAATTGATGTTACTGGCGTTGTTAACATATCAGCCATTCTAATACCCACTGTTGGTACTGCCATTTTTGTGGGTGTTGTTACTAAAAAAAGGAACAAAATTTATTTTCTATATCATCGAAAAGTTGAATGCTACTTGTCTAATTTTGTAATAAAATTATGTAATTTTCTTTCTATAAATTATTTTGATATTTTTAGGTCAATTTTATTCTATATTTTAGCGAATAATTATAATTTTTGGGTCAATATTATGCAAGTCAACCGACAAATTGTAATTATAGAAACACAATTGGTGAGTGTTCAATTATAGCCATTCTAAAAAATAAAAAATTGAAAATGAAAAAATTTTCAAGACACGTTTTTTTTCATTGAGTTGTCAAAACGTGAAATTCAACAAGTATCAAATATACATGTGTAGCAATTATTTTCTCAAACCAAAAATAAGCCAGGTTCAGATATGAACGACCTTGACACATACGAAAATAGAAAATTTTCAACAGCAAATAGAGCATATATATATATATATAAATATATAAAAAAAAGAAGAAGAAGAAGAAACTTACCAAATATTAGGATTGGCAATTATTTGTTGATTTTGATTAAAGAGGCACTCTGTTCGTTGATCTTACAATCTATTTCATTGATGTAAAATCGATAAAATTTTGTTTTCAATGTAAATTGGAATAATTTATATTTACAAATTGAATTATGATTGTAAATTGATAAATAAATAACTTAAAGTAATTTGTTTAGGCTTCACTGAGTTACTAAAACGAGCTACTGAGTGTTTTTAAAATTTGCTAATGCCGACACGTCTGACTCTCTCTGTTACAAAAATAGAGTATAGTTAAGCACGTGCGTATTGTGTACATGATATTTAAGAATATGGACCCAGCTCTTTGTATAAATCTTTTGCAAATTTTTTTTTTTTTTGTAAGAAAGTAGTGAAAGTAAATTTTAGTCAGACAATAAAAGTATATAGGTAATTTTGATGTAGAACTCAACATTTTTTTTGAATTTTCTAATTAAAAAAAAGTACGTTAAAAAATTATCTATTTGAGTTAAATTTTTTCAAAATGTTTCTAATTTTTGTCAATAAGTAGTCAAAACGAGTTGTAGTCAGACTTTTTTTGATAATTGAAAATTTGATGATTAAGAATCTTATAATTCTATATATATATATATATAAAAAGTAATCACTGGAAAATGATAAAAGAAATCTTGTGCGTTTAATTTTTTGGTCAAAAGTAAATTATAAAGGTCAAGTGTGAAATCTTATGTGCTAGCAAATATTGAGTCTCTAACCGTTTTAATCTCCATTATCTTTTAATTAACAAATTTGTGTTTTTAAATTATTATTAATGACTCTTCATTTAGTATAAAGCATCGTGTCTCAAGATGAAGTTTCTTATGTTCTACATTTTAATTGTTCTAATTGTAAATTTTTCTTATCAAATGGTACAATTGAGTAAGTAATTAAATTTTTTTAGTCACAAATGATTCTCTTTTCTTTCATTGACTAATTCCTCAAGGTCATGAAGTGATATCCAATCATCAGTTCGTGACCCAAATATAAGAAACTTATTTTACTTATTATTATATTATTTTACACAAATTATTATTTTGTAAATTTTATTTATTTTCTTTAATTTTTTTTAAAGTAAAATGTCCTGAAGACTTGATACCAGTAAAAAATCCACAAGAAATTTGCGCTCGAATAACTTGTTTATCTGCTCAGAAACTCGACATGGTGAGGTAATTGTCTTTTTTCAAATTGAAAAATATTTTATAATTTTTTTTCTTTATATCAAATTTGTTATTTATTTATAATATTTTTATTTAGATGTTCAGATATAAAATGTCCTGAAGGAAAACAAATTGGATTCAAGGAAATAGATAATTCAAAACTATATCCTGATTGTTGTGGAGGACCTATTTGTGAAAATTAATAAATAACTAAATCTTGCTTTTTTAAATTAAATTAATTTATTTTTTTACACGAAATTAAGAAAAATGATATAATAAATATTAATAAAAAAATCTTTTTTTTTACATGAAAATATTTTTACGTTTCAATCAAAAACATATATACATATATAATAAATTTACAATAGCCATTTGTATAATAATATTAAACAAAACATTTCTTCGTTGTTTTTATAAAGAAATTATTTATAAATACAAATTTTTTTGTTGTAAAAAATTTTTCTTTTTAATATACACTGAAATGACAATATAATAATCTCATTAGATTTTTTCGTCTCAATATATCACAATAACAATGCTGGAATAAACATTCATTTTTTTCTCTACATTTTCAATTGATTAATTTATAATCGGAAAATAGGTCTTTCTTCTATTATAAGTATTTTAATCCCTGTCATTCTTTCAAAGACGATTAGAAAAATTATTATTATTATTCGAGTCTTGGAATTTTTAAATTTGGGTGATTATTAAATTATGATGTTAATTATTATGTTCTATAATACATAGTCACATTAATTTTCCATATACAGAAAACTCTCTCATTACCTTTAGCTTATTATAACAGTGTAATTTAAACCCAATTGATTTTTTTTGTTTTTTTCCAAAATTCCTTTTTTTTTTGAAAAAAAGTAAAATTTGCTTATTGACAAAAAAAATTGTATTTAAAAAATAATGATACAACCATCGCTTATGGCGTTCAAGTCATAAGAACGTGTCCAATGATCATTTGGATCATTATTGTTGCCATTAGACGAATCTGTACCATTGTATGCTTCACTTGCTGGTTGATTCCATCCTCTAAAATAATCACAAATTTTACTATTTTCACGTTCCACTTGTAATTCCTTGTGTCGTTGAACCATTACTCTACAATTTAAACACGCCTCAATGCTATAAAGTATCATTGAAGCGAACCCGTAAATCTAGAGAGAGAAAGAGAAACATAAATGATGCAATTTTTTTCAATAAATTCAAAAACTAGAATTAGAATTTTTTTCTTATTAAAAAATATATAAACATTTTTTTACGCACTGGTGCTTTGTTGGAATCACTTTTAAAAATTCCATTACTATTGGCTAAAAAACTAGACGCCGCTAAAAACGCACAAGCCCACAATATACAGAACACATATTCCTGTATAAAAACAAAGAAAGTAATTAAAAAAATATATATTTTGTTAATAATAATAAATTAGGAAATTACACTTACAAATGGAAGAACTGTAATACAAGGTTTTTTGAAAGCACCACATGCATATAATGCTAACAAGCAACCGGTAATTGTAAGTCCAAGGGACGAAACCAAACTAAAACATATTCCAGCTGTTGTATTGGCAAAAGGCGATTCTCTCACTGTGATAAAACTAATAACGTTGAACACCTGTTATCCAAAAAAAAGAAATCAATAGTAAACAATAGGTTTAGAAAAAAACAGATTTTAATTCTCTGAATTTAGTATCAGTAGTAAAAGTCCGTTTTCAGTCAGACAAATTTTGCAAATTATTTTTTGTATTAATAGGACAGGACTGTTTTAGCCAGACAAGTTGTTTCAAATCTTTTTAATATAAATCAAGTAAAATATTACTGGAAAACTGATTTTTACTATCAGTAGTAAAAGACAATTTACGTCAGACAAAAAGATGTAACAATTTTTAAAAAAATAGTTTTTAGTTCTAATGTTTGTATTTACGTATCCAAATAGATGATGTCAGTTTATTGTCAAACAAATTAAATTTAAATTTTGTTGTCAGTAGTAAAAGAGCGTCACATACAGACAAAAAAACAGAAAATATAAAAATTCTATTGTAAAAAATAGATTTAGCCTGATTCATCTAATCTTTGTATATACAATTGAATAAATATTTTCACAGAACGTACCATTTCTGCAATTTTTACAATTATCACTCCACTATTCACTTGCGACATATGTATTGTATATTTTAGGCTGTCATTTTCATTTCTTTCTCGTCTTCCAACAGAATCAACAACTGTCAATTCTAATGGATGATTTGTTGTATTTATGGAAGATGCATTTTCTCCCGTTACAGTTGTTTGATAAATTGGCAATTCTGCAATTGGTGTTGTTTGCGATGCTGCTGGTTCACTAACATCTTTAAATTCTATAGCCATTCTTCTTAACACTGAATAACAATAAAAAATTATTAGATTATTAAAATATATTTTTCATATAATGCAACAAAAGATAATAGACTCACCTGTGCTTTATATTTTTCGACATAAAACTGAAAATTGATCCAAATTATATTTTACGTATATGGTTTATTTATTTTTTTCGATTTCACCACTGTCAGTAAATTCAAGAAACATGATGAGAGCAGCTGATGTAGAAACACCAAAATTTTTACAACTGAGGATGCGCAAGACAAGATATAATATATATATTTTTTCAATAAAATTCTAAATGAAAGAAATATAAAGTTATAATAAATTGTAATATCTATATATAAATGAGATGATCCATTTAGTTGTATTTACAATGTACGCAGTTGGAAGACACAAATTAACATACGTTATTCTTTAGTGAGATGAAAATTGTAACTGAAAGAATGACGCCCTCACTTTATTTCAATTTTTTTTCTCTCTGTTCATTCAATGTAAGTAAAAAGAGATCGAAAGATACAATCATATATAAAAGTTACTAGAATGATAAAAGGGGACCCTAAACTCACCCCTAAAGAAAATCGATACTGAACACATAAATATATGTATACTATGAATAAAATATTATCCATAGGGATATTTCTTTTGTCAAAAAATGTAGGTATATAGAAAAAATGTTTATAAAAAAAAAAATTTTAGAAACTTCAAATAATTTAAAAGTTATTTTATCAATATTTAAACTCTCATTTGAAAATAAAACCACGTTAAATATATTCATAGTTAACAATATATTTTATTTTATATTTTCATATTACATGTATACATATATATAAATTTTCATTATTATATACTATTTAAAATTGTTAAAACGTCTAATAAACAACTTTTTGACATAAGTGTTTATTAGAATTTATTGTGGATGAACTACAAATATTTGTATTTATAATTGAAAAAATTTCGCATATAAATATTGTGTATAAGGCTATGATTAACATCATTATTGGTATCATTTAATGGCAGTACTTGTAATCACTTATTTTTTATTTTTATTAGATTAAGGACGGATATTTCAGCATCACAATATTAAGTTACAAATAAATAAAATAAATAATAATAATAATAATAAATTTAAATTTAATAACTTGAATTTATTCAAAACAAAGATTACTATAATAAAATGTAAAATATATCAAACCGCAGAAGAGTATAAAAAATAATGTAATAATCTAAAATATAATTATATAAGCGATAATAGAATAGAATATACTTTGAGCATTTTTGAAAATAACTAGTATAAACAAGCAGTGCTTATTTACTAATTAGCCTTTTATATATGATTATTATATGTATATGTTTAATATCACAGCAAATGTATATTTAGCAATAAAATTTCCAAAGAAAGTCAAGCGCGTAAATTATCATACCAGAAAATGTATATATCTGAAATAAGAATATATTTAGCATTAAATATTTTTTTCAAAAAAATAATGGGTGAAGTAACAAACCAGTAAAATATTAATATACTATAAACAAATTTTTGTAAATTAAAAAAAAATTATTAAATTTGCAAAATATATACAATATATAGGTATCATATTTAAAAATTTACCGAATTTCCATAAAATGGAAAATAATAAGCAGCTATTGCACAGCCTGTTGCACTAAATACACAAAAAATGCAGTCCTAAAAATAAAAAATTATTAAGAATTATTTTTAGAAAATTTTTTTGATAAATATTTAAGTTACTCGTTTTTTTTATAGTGCATTATACTAAACAAAAAGTATATTTACCATTATGCGAATATTGCGTGATTTATTAGCGTCACACCACCAGTAATATACCAAAAAGCATGTTGAAATTATTCCAATTAATTCAAAAAACAATACGAATAAACGTCGATTTAAAGGACGTTTAGAATCAGTTAAATTGACAAAAACTGTAACACTCAATGCCTGTAATTATATTTATATATAAAAATTATTGCTTTCAAATGATATCAGGTTTTTTTTTGTGATAATAATAATAATTTATACCACTTCAAAAATTTTCAGTCCAATTGTCACAAGATTTTGGCGCCATTGAAATTCATTTTGTGTAAGTCCATGATTTTTGACTTTTTCATCGTTTCGTATTTTATTAATTTTCCTTATTTCGGTCAAAAGTTCATCCTTTTCCGAATTGGTAAGTCTCGATTCAACATTATGTAATAATTCAATTACTTCATCTTCAGCAAGAGAAAAATTTCTCTTCTCCTCATGTGATTTCCATAAAACATTGTCCTTCATTTTTGATAATGCAGTTAAAATACAACTTCTTTCATGTTCAGTTAAACCTGTTTTATATTCAATTTCATCAATTGATGGTGCAGTTGGTATTTCTGGATAGAGACGTTTTGTTAATGGTGAATTAACATCACCATTATTGCAATCATCGTCTGTTGATTCGGAAGCATATGGAGGTGGTTTTGTGATTTTTGATGAAAAATTATTGCCATCAGATAAATTTGTTGTATAAGGTGGTGGATTTTGATCAAATGACAAATCTAAATGATATGGAGGTGGAAAAGTATTTTTTGTTTCTGTTTCAGAATTTACTTCATCTGGTAAATAAGATGATAAAAATCCTATTCCTCTTATTGGATCACTTTTCTCATTAATATCATCCATTTTTCTTTTTTTATACTGGTGGACAAATTTTTTTTCCTGAAAAGACAAATTTAAAATTATTATTTTTTATATAGTAAAAAAATGTATATGTGAAACAAAATGTTAATAAATTAATTATAAATTTTAAAGTGCATATTCTTTTTGATTATATCAAGAAAAAGAACTTTCATTTAAAGTAAAATGAAATTAAATTAATTAAAATTATTACCTGTGAATAAAAAACAAATTGTAAATTTAACTGCTATTGATTTTTAAGATCAATGATAATTTTTTAAACATTAAAAATAGAAAAATTCTAATTTTTTGCAAAAGAGATGGAAAATAAATCGACTATTGTGTACAGAGTCTCAAGTTTTACTGAGGAAGTGAATCGATAAATTCCCATAAAATTCGCCATACCCGCTGTTGGATAAATAGAAAATTAATATTCATATAATATTTTTCACTTTCACAATATGAATTATATGTATTTTTTTTACTGTTTTATAGTAATTTTCATTTTACATAAAATATTTCATAATGAGATACGTAATAACGTAATATACACGCATATTAGGTGTATAATATATTCAATGCAAAAGTAGGACAAAAGTACTTTATTGATCTTCTTTATATTTTATGCAATTATTCTTTCTCCTGAGATGTAAAAATAAATTTTAAGAATGTAAAACTAATTTAAAATTTTGAGAAAAAACTTTAGGAATATAAAACAAATTTTATAGTTGTGGAAATAATCATGAAGAATATATATATATTAATCGACGTCGCAGTAATCAGCTTCTTGACATCCAGAATTATCTTCGCAGTTATCATTATTATAATCTCCTCCATAAGAAATATCATTACAAGTGTTATTATAATTTTCTTCAGTATTATAATTTTCTTCATTATTACAATTTTCTTCATTATTATAGTTTTCTTCATTATTCTCTTCATAAGTACAACTATTATCGTCAACTTGAAACTTATCAAATTCGTTGATAGAATATTTGATAAATGATAATTATTAAAAATGTAATTTGTTCGATGGGAACTAGTTTGATTGTATCTCTTACTAGATCCCGAATGATATTTCACGAAATTATGATTTTTTTTATGAAAATTAGAGCTTTTTTGTGGCTCATCAAAAGGCAAAATATAATTGGAATAATTATTTTCTGATGATATTAAATAGATTTGAAAAATTGATTCTCCGAGATATATCACTCCTACCAGGTACATTATTTTCTAAAAAATAAACATTATCTATAATTACATGCATTTTGTGAAAGAATATTAAAAAAACCAAATATCATATAAATAAATTACCTTTATTAAAGAGATTTCAATTTCTGTTGGAAGAAAAAGTATGTAAACCCAACTGAATATAAAGCTGAATATTATGTCCTGTATAAAAACGATAAATTCATGTACTATAGTAAATAAATTATATATAGCAATAGTTTAAAAAAAGAGCTTTGTTATTTGTTAATTTTACATTGTCGATAAATATTTTTTCTTTTATATTTTAAGTTCTGTAAAAAATATTGCCAATACTTACTAATAGAAGAACAGATTATTACCTGTATAATATATTAACAAACAACGAAAAAAATTATAATATTACTTACAATCGAAATAATCTGAATAAAATTTGTTGAATTAATTGGATTGTTAAATTTTATTTTTTCAATTTTTGATTTGGAAATTTTATTTTTATTCATTTTCTTCAACCTAGTCTCTCTCTCTTTTATAACATCATTTCTCTCTGCCATTGTAATTCCTGTTTTATAATTAATTTCCTCAATTGATGGTGCAGTTGCTGTAATTTTATTTACATTGGATGCTGATAGAACATTTTTAGAATTAAAGAAAGGAAATTGCCTCCTCAATAATTCATTATCAATTAAAATAGAAGGAAAAGAGGAGGAATCAATTTTGATTTCCGTTAAAGGATTAAAAGAAGTAGATGAAGTGTTATTAAAGAAAGACGAAGAATTTTGATTTAAATTGTCATTTGGTAAATAATTTGGTAAAAATCCAATGATTGGATTTTTATTAATTGTTCTTATATCATTTAAATTTGAAAATCCTTTTTAATTTTTAAGTTAAAAAAAAGTAATGAAAACATTTGTTTGAATGAATTAAAAAAAATTGGTTAATTGTGTATAATTGTTTTGGATTAATAGAAGAAAATTAAATCCAACAAACATATTTCTATAAGTGAAGATAAGGGAAAGAAAATTTTCATTTCTATGGCGCAACCAATGAAAGTCACGATTGTTCAATCGTGATTATTTGAGAATAATCTCAAAATTAGAATGTATATATAATTTCAATATTTTCAACAACATCTTAAAAAAAACCTACCAATTGAACCTAAATTGCAGTAGACTAAGAATAATCAATTTTATTCCATTTTTTTGAATAGAATGTTTTCCTGGAAAATGAAAAAATTCCTTACAAATTAAAATTAATTAATTAATTTTATCTGTTCCTAAATAATAGAAATAATTTACAATCTACATTTTTTCATTTATGCAATTTTCTACAGAAAAATTGACACTTTTCTTTAAAATTTACTCTTTTCTAATAAATGACTTTTTGTGAATACTGATTAATAAAAAAAAATATTATAAAATAAAAAAGTGTATATTCTTATGAGTTTTAAGTAACATAGAATCACTTATAAAACCATCACGAAACTAAACGCATGTTTTATATATTTTCGAGGCTACTCGAAAAAGAATGATATATATATATATTATTTCCCTGTAGACCAAAAATTGATATAGCTTCTTTTAATTTGTATATATATATGTAGGTAAAACAGGTTTGTTAAAAAAAAGTGTTTCTTCTTTTAAAAAAAGTACACAATTTAAACACCATAATTAGTTTAAAATTTAATATTTAAAATTAATATTTTTCATATTTTTATTGAAATTTTGATAAATAAAAACTATTTTGAACCCTTAAATGCAATATGATAATTTGTCTGTTTAATGAGTATATATGTACAATACTTAAATATTTAATTTGACTTTGAGAATTCAACATCTGCAAACGATTGAAATAAAAAAAAAATAATGATAATAATTTAAATAAAATTCAGCCACTTAGTCTATCATTTAATATTGACATCATAAAAACTTAATTGTGCAATTATATATTTTAAAAATACTCTATAGAAATAGTCCATTATATAATTACGGACAAGTTTTACAGATTTATGTATAACCCTCTAGACGTAAAGACCATACCACATACCATTTTGATATTATTATAAAATTGAAATCTTAAAATTAGTACTTTTAAATAAAAATATATTGGTTAAAATTCTATTCTGTACTATTCTCACTTTATGAGAAATAAAATCTTCTTTTAATTTTTTCTCTTCTTTCACTTTAAACGGTTTAATGTGTAATATTTATTTAATTTTTTTCCTTAATTTATTTAGCTTCATTCAAAATTACAATAGACAATTTTCTATTATAAAAATTGAATTCAATTAATGATTAAACGTTACATGACAAAATGATAAATGAAAAGAAAGTTGATTTAAATATTGAAAAAGTAGATGAAAAAGAATTTAATCCCTTTGAAAATGAAAAGGTTAATTATTATTATATTTTTATATTATACTTTTGTTTAATATTTATTATTATCGATAAAAATCATCAACATTATGACAATATTGCTACTCAAGCGGGATATAACTGTTGTTTACAGCAATATTGACTCAATATTAAATATGATTATAATAAATAATAAAAATCTTTTGTTTAGTATTTTGAATACTATCTTATTTTCTTCGGTGTTTGGCCATTTATCAATAAAAAATATTTGTTTACGATGCGAGTAGTGATTTCTATTCTTTTTATTTCAATAACTATACCTATAGTAAGTATACATATAAAATACATACGTAAATAATTTAATTTAATATTTTTGTAATAATCTAATTTACGACAAATTATACATAGTTGTTTTTCTGCGTATATGTTTCAAATTTTCAAATTTGATTTATTCATTATAATAAATCTATAAGTCGCGAAAACTCAGATTCCAAGTTTAATTATTTTGGATAAATAAAAAAGAAAATATTATTATTTTAAATAACAAAATTCATTTATTCCCATAAATAGTCTTTAAATCTCTATGAGGCTCGCCATGATATGGATTATTTTTGTGAATGCCTGACAATGGGAACAGTTATACCACTGGCATGGATCAGTTTCTATTTTCAAGTTATTAATACATCTTTGGTAAAAATTATTTTATATTTGTTTTGTATTTGAAACATATTTTTAATATATTCGTTTAAAAATTAAATTTTCTGCACTTAATTATTGATTTTTGAGGGTGACCAGACATATCTTGATTTTTTAGCCTACAGTGGTAATGTCCTGATTTTCCAACTAAGAAATATTATTATTTTTTCAATCAATAACCTAACATATGCATTAAATTTTAGATAAGATCTATGTACTTAAGCATTAATAATGATTTTGAAGATATAAAAAAAAACAAAGAAGAATACGAAATATTACTGAAATTTTCAAAAGTAACTAAACAATTTTCTACTATATATATAGGTAAATAACCGAGTTAATCTTTCAATTTAAATTAGTAAAAATTTCAACTAATTTGAATTACCGTTTCACTGTTTGCTTTTGAATTAGTTAAATTTTACTATTTCAAAAGCAAAAAATGATGAGTCACTAATTGAAAAATTTTGATATGTCGCGAGTTGTCAATTAAATAAATTTTTATTTATATTGAATTTTTAATCAGCGTCAATGTTAATTCAAGATTGAATTGAATGGTGCAGTTAAAAAAATAACTCTCAATCTCTAATAAGAATTAGTGCGACAATTTTAACCAATTTGAATTAGTGTCTCACTTTTTGCTTTTGATCTAATTAAATTTTACTAATTCCAATTTAGAGAACAAGTTATAATTTTTTTAAACACAAAATCATTGACCCGTAAATAAAAAATTAAAAAAATTTTTGACATTGTATTCAAATATGTTGAATGAGTTACAAATATTATAAACCGAATTTTTTTATTTGGACACACAATTTTGTATTCTAATCAATTTTTAAAATTGATGTTTTTAATAAAAAATTGTAGTTTGTTATATTTTTAATTTTGTATTAAACCAAGCCCACTTCTGGGCCGAAAGGCTGAAGCTTAATTAATAAATAATAAAAAATTGTATTATTATTATTATTTGAAATTAAGTTTATACTTCAACGACGTGTCTGTTTTATTGTATGTTTGGAGTAATTCCTATATGTTTGGATATTTTCATGCCATTGAATGAATCGCGTCCTAGATATTTGCCAGCTCAACTTGAATACTATTTTTTTGATAGAAATGAGTATTATACATTTACATATATGCATTTTGGTATTATTGGTTCATATGCTGTCATGCTTATTGTAATAAACGATGTTGGACTCTTTACATTTTCTCGACATGCCTGCGCAATGTTTTGTGTCTTACGGTAAAATAATATGCAAATATTTATAAAATCTTGTAGAGTTTGATACATATTTTTTTTGAAAAAATTGATGTAAAATTTTAATAATTTCTTTTAGATACAGATTAAAGAATATTAATAATAATGAAGATGGTGAACGTATTGATGATTCTAACGTTCATAAGATATATAAAAATATACGATCTTGTGCAATACTACATGATAGAATACTTATGTTCGTATAAAATTGAATCTTATAATTTTAATAAAATTAATGAAATATTCAATATAGCTAATTTATAATGCAAAATTAAAAAAAATAAAACAATGACAATTTTAATATATATCTATATATTTATGTATATGATATATATCATTGTAATAATTCTGAATGAAAAATTATTTAATATTTTTTCTTCACTTAACAGATTTTTAGAAAATACTAATTCTTGCTTTGCCATGTGTTTATTGTTTCTAATTTGTGTGACTATAATAATTATGAGTTTTAATGGTTCAATGGTAAGCAAATAGGTTTTTTGTTAAGTTGGACATTTTAGAAATTGAAATAATTATACAAATATGAGGGAAAAAATTGTTTAATGAGATTATATATTTATTATAGATAATCCTAAATATGCACGACAATACGTATTTATTGAGAGGAGTAAGTGTTTCCATGGGACAAATTATCCATGTATTTTTTAATTGTTTTACTGGTCAGATGGTACAATCTCATAGCGCAAATATGCCAAATTATATGTAAGTGAAAAATCATAAATATAATGATTGGTTAAGTAAATATTTCTTAATTTAGTATTATATTACAGATATGATCACGAATGGTATAATTCGAATCATAAAATCAAAATGGTAATATATTTTATGATATTAAAAAGTAAAACTGAATGTTCTTTATGTGTTGGCAAAACTGCAGTTTTAGGTTTAGAATTATTTACCACGGTAAGCATATCACTGTGAAAAGAAAGTACTAAAACATTACCGATTTTAGATATCAAAATAGAACCAAATGACAATTTAGTACCTGAAGTCGGTATTAAATTAATACCTTTCTTTTTACAGTGATAAATTGATGCTATATGAGGTGTTTCAATTTAATAATTATTTTCAATTTTTTTTTCAGATTATGAAAACAATTTTTTCTTATTTAAATCTTCTAAATTCTCGGAATGTTAATTCAAATTAATAATGGATATTTTAAAACAATAAAATAAAAAGTATTTGAAATACAATTATTTTTGTAACTTGTCATTACAAATAAACGGTTTACTTTCGTACCAAGAAAACACTTCTAAGTTTTAATGATATCATAATTAATATATATATTAACAATACAAAAAGAAATTATAATATTATAAAAAATAATACATATAATAGTAAATAATTCCACTTTGAGAATTAAATTTTTTTTGAGATTTTCTCTTCAACAATATTCGTTCAGTATCTGCGATGACTAGAATTTTTTCTTAAACAGATAATTCCAACATTTCCAACATACTTCACTTCCATAAGGTACTGATGCCAAAAATCCAAATGCCTGAAAATATAATTATAATTTATTATAAAAAGAATTATTACAAAAATAATAATGAAATATATATATATTTTTTTGGTTTACTCTGAGTTGTTCATCGTCAGTAGAACAAAATGATACGATCAAGAAGATAAAAGTACACAGGAGACTGTGAAGAAACTCCTAAACAAAATAAATATAAAAATAATAATTTTTTCTTGATTTTTGGACAATAATATTTAAAAATAGTATTAAAAATACTTGCAGAAACACGAGTTCTTTTGGTTCGTCTACATGTACAAAATAATATTAAGTAATATGCTGTAAAAAGTGCAGCGCTTAATGAAATTGTAAAATAAGTTGCGCCTGAAACATTCATTAAACCCTTCATTGCTCCTTTCACACATAACACGATATCAACTACCTGAAATAAAAATTTAAAAACATTGATAGCCATAAGATTAAAATATATTGGTAACGATGAAACTTTAATTTTAATTCAAAAATATTCTTACCAATTGAGGAAATTTGGGTAATAGAGAAGATATATCAAATATACATTTATTATTTGTTTCATTTGCTTCATCACTGCTGTCTTTTCCATCAATTTCTTGTACATTCTCATCACGTACAATTATCTTTCGAATATCATCAATTTCCCTCATTTTTTTTTCAAAATCATTTCGTTCATCGTCAGATAATCTCAATTTAATACTATCAATTTTCATCAGCACTTTATGTTGATCATTTAAAAATGCTCTCTTTTCATCATCAGTTTTACCTAGCATTCGAATTTTCAATTTGGATAATTCTTTTTCAATTTCTTGCTTTTCACTGTTTTTTAGAATTTTTACATCATCAATATCAACAACGTTTGGTGCTGTTGGTAATGTTGAAATTTCATTGAGTTCAATGTCAATGTAATTATTATGATTTAAATTATTAGTTACCATTGGAATGGAACTTGGAATAGGAAATGTTCCACTTGATGAAGCATCAATAGGATATGGCGGAGAGAATTTTCCATTTGATTTAGTAGCAACATTTTTTGATGAATTTGGCAAATAAGATAAAAGAAATCCAATAGGCGATGGTTCTTTATTTGTATTTGTTTCAATTATATCAATAACTTGTGTGTCTCTTGTCATATTTGTTTAATTGAAGCTATTTTAAAATAAAATAGTCTATTATTTAATATGTAAAAGAATTTATTTAATACTTATTTATATTAAATAAAGTAAATTATAATAAATTTAATATATTTACTCACCAATGTGCCGAATTATTGATAAAAAAAACAAATCTCTTCAAGTTTTTGTTTTAACACGAGATAAAATTGTCAGTTTATTTAGTCACATATGAAGTCTATTTTAATAAAAAGTCATTAAATGATAAGTCGGAAAAGCAATAATACCACATTGGAAACTGAACAGGAGAATAATATAGATGACAGATTAATGTTTGCTTTCGCGAAGCTGCCTTCTTTATATCTGAACAAAGTTTGATTACAGGCATCTTACGGAAAGAAATTTTTCCTATCAGTCAATAAATATTATTAGCATATATATTCATGCAACTTGTTCCAGCACAAGTTATTAAATTGTTATATTTAAGAAAATAATTTGTATATTATTATATATAAAGTAAAATATGATTTAAATTTAATATAAAAAATTAATATATTTTTATTATTTTTTATCACGTGTTATCAATTTGACAGTTAACTGCTGTCAAATTATCAGTACGAATAATATCAAAAAATTATACAAATATATTTTTTAAGCTTAACTTTTGTATACAAAAATACTTTGCGTAAAATACTTATTTAAAAGCTTAGTTAATTAACAATTTTCCCTTACATTGATTACATTAATCAAATTAAGAGAGTGCAGATTAAAAACAACATTCATTACAATCTGCACCATCAGGAGTACAAAAATCTCCACAATCAGCACAACAACAATCATCAGGACCCTCACAACAACCTGTACAATCACAACAATCACCATCACAGCAGTCAACATCATTATCATTGGATTCACAACATCCATTATTTCCGTAACAATATAAAAAGGGAAGGCAATCACAATCTGGATTAGATGAAGAATAGCAACAAAAGAAAGAATCGTAACTACTATTGTAGGTAGAATAATTTGTGGTATTGGAAACACCCTGTTGATTTGTGTAACTAATATTCTCAGCAGAATTAAATCTTGTTTGATTTCTATAATCTATACCATTTATCTCAATGAGAAAAGTATTAATCGTAGTCTCCAAAATTTGAATTGCATTTATTCTAGGATCAAGATGATTGTTAGGACTTTGTACAATAACTGAATTTGATAATAATTTATTGTCTCCACTATTCTCATTTGATGATTCACATTTACTTGTAGAAACATTTTTATTCCAGGTATCATGTTTATTTATAATACTAATGTCATTGCATGACTGTCTTCTTCTTTTGGTTCTTTTCGAATTGTTATAATTAAAATAGAATTTTAAACATCCCTGTATAATGCACGTTATCATTGATGTAAATCCGAAAATCTGCAAAACATATTGGAAATTTGTATTTTCGTATAAAGTTATAAATATTTTTCTAAGTTAGAGGCATCATTGTTATACTTTTATTGTTATTGGAGCCTGAGATAAACGTGCAGTAACCATTATTGTAGTAACTCCATAAAGCATCGTCCATATCATACAGAAAATAATTTCCTAAAAAAAAAAATTCAATTTCTAAATCATTATTTATCAAAAATATCAAAAGTTACAAAAACCACGCACTTACAAACTTTCTTTGTTTTGATTCGGAAAGAGTGGATACTATTATAAAACCTGTGAATACAAATCCCAGTATATTCACTCCAAGAATTACCATTGTTAAAGGTATTAATCTATATTGACTGACTAAAACTCCGGACGCAATGTCTAAAATCTGAAACAAATGTCCAAAATTAAAAGGAATATTAAACTCATTGAGACTGTAGTCTCTTATTTCTTTCATAATAGCTATTAATTTATAGTCTCCAATTTTTATTTCAATACATTTGATGAAAAATTATTGTCATCAAAAGTAGCTTATGAAACAAAATTTCACCCCCCCCCCCCTAACCATATTCAAATTTGAATTATATGTAAAATATTTAATATTTACCATTCTTAATAACATTATGGTTATCAGAAAAATAAGGAAGCAACCAGTTGGTATAGTTTCTTTCTCTGTTTGACTGGAATTTTTCAGATGAATTTTTCGTCGTTTTTTCATAATATTATTTAATTCGTCATTTATTAATGTTGCCTGTAATTGAGACATTTTTGATCGTGTTGAAATGATAAAATTATTAATTCCTTCTAGTTCTGCTGTTAATTTTTGTTTCTCTATATCTTTTGATTTTGAATATTTTATTACATACTTTCTTGCTTTTTTCAATGATGATGCTAATGAATTCATTTCACTTGAAGTTATATGGTAATTATTACCCTTTAAAATTTGAGATGTAATTGGAGGTATCGATCGTCTATTAGTGTTGGTAATAATTGAGGTATCAGGTGATGTAGAACTTGTCGGAATTGTTGTTGTGAATGATATCATTGGTGGTTCTGATGACACATTCTTTAAGGTTTCACTTTGTACAGGTAATAAACAATTTGTTTCTATTTCTCTTAATTGCGATGAAGAGGTATCACCAGATTTATGTAATGCATTGGTTGTTGAAGTTATTGGAATTGTTGTTGTCACATTTGTTGAAATGGATGATGTAACAATTGTAGCAACAGAAGTTGTTGGTACCATTGTTGATACCATTGTTGTTGGTACCATAGGTGATGGTGTTGAAGATGATTGGAGAACATTTTCCACAAATTTCATAGTCATGTTATCTACTAATTTAAAAATTTTTTTTATTAATTTTTATTATATATAATTTATTAATTATTAATATGTGAAGCAAGTTAGGAGATTTTTAAGAATCACTGATAACTATTATCAATGATGAGTGGTACACAGTTTTAAAAGAACTTAAAGAAAATTTTATTTCATAAAAATGATTACCACTTATCACCGGTTGCGTAGTTATTTCCAAGGTGAATGCCAAAAAAATACTTCATTATTTTTAAGTAAATACTTTTTATGACTATTTATAAATATGAAATACTATTTTATGACTTTAAATTTATAATAAAAAATAGTATACATCCAGTTTGATGCAATTAATAAATATTAGAATGAAAAGTCCAAATAATAGTTTCATATCTATATATTATTTAAACAATTTTTTAAAGAGTTTATACATTTTTATTTCATTTGTATGGTATTTAATTTAAATAATAAAAAATTAACTACATACCAATAAGAATAATAAAATTATATAGTTTTTATAAAAAAGTTTCTTTTTTATTATACATATTATTTTGATCATTCATATAACGACGAAATTAATATTCAATCTACGTAAATACATAGCCAGTTTCAAATATACACTGCTATATGATTTTAACAAGCTGGCAAGTTTTCAGATATTTCTACAGTGTTGCCATATAAAATCTCAAAAGGATTTAGACAGATGTTCAAACAGAAATTAGGAGTAGGAAAGGGGACTATATGTAGGAGAGTTATCTGTGTTGAATAGAAAAAAAATTCCCATTTATTTCTTAATAAATTAAAAATATTATCAGATTTGATTACTAATTTATTACTATTTAAATTGAGGGATAAGAAATTTATAATAACAATTAAATAAACATTAATGAAGAATTTAAGAATAATTTAATTTAACTTATTCTTCATTATAATATCTATGTAATATCGTGTTTCATTACAATATTCGTCCTTTCTCAATATTTATGAAATTTGCATATATTATTAATAATTATTTTTAAATCAATAATTTTTTTTGATCATCATTTTCTCTTCATTTATTTACATTCACAAATTTTGAATTTATCATCAATTTTTGTACTGCGCATCTTTCCGTCTGCGTCTGCGTGAGAAAAGTCTTCTGCTATGTAAGGTATGTTCATCATGTGTTAAATGTAATAGATGTTATAATTTATTTTACTGTATAAGCGACTAATTTATAAAAATGATTGAAGTAACTGATCAAAATTTCGAGATACTATATCCTAAAATAGAAGAAACTTTAAAGAATGCTACATTTTTTTCTATGGACACAGAATTTAGCGGCATTAAGACAGATTTCTTCGTGAAAGAGAGGTTAGCAGTTTTTATTATAAATTTTTAATTAATTTATTTCTTCTTTTACATGTATATATGTGTAGAGTGTAAAATGTAAAATTGAAATTCTTCTATTAAATCAACTACATAATATTTATAAATTAACAAAAAAAAAAATTTTTTCAGCCTATTTGATTCGCCAAATGAACGATATGCAAAATTAAAGAACAATATTAAACCATTTATTATAATTCAATTTGGTCTCACAGCATTTCAACATGTTCGGGAACAAAATACATATAATGCCCAAACATTTAGCTTCTATCTCTTACCACGATCGATTCCATCAAAAAATAGACATTTTCTTTGGCAAATTACGTCCCTTGAATTTTTATCCATTTATAAATTTGATTTCAACAAAGTAAGTCTTATAAATTAGTGACAATAAATTTATAATTGGATGTTATACATTTTGTTACTATTTTTTTTTATCAGTTTGCTTACGATGGGATCTCATACTTAAATGAAGTAGATGAAATTGATTTAAAAAATAATTTACAAGAAGATATTTTAATGCAAAATTTAGAACGATTACTTTGCAATCGAGATGCAGACGAATTGAAAAATTCTCGTAATGTTGTTGCTGATTGGTTGATTCAAAAAATTGAACCTCCCGCTGTATTGGAAATTGTTTCAGAATCACAATTTTTACAGTATCTTATGGAAAAAGAACTTAGAAATCAATTTCCAGATATTTGGACATATTCTGGAAAGAAGACAGTAAATAATATTTCTTATGTTTAAAGAAGAAATATAAAACTTAGAGTAAATTTTTATTATAACATTTTGCAGGTGACTGTTATGAGAATTGGAAAGGATGAACGACAAGAATTGGAATTAAAAGAAAAAGGAAGACTTGAGGAAAAACTATTAAATTACTATATTGGATTTTCTAAAGTTTTTAAACTTCTAGTCAAGTTAAAAAAACCAATTGTTGGACATAATAGTTTAGTAGATTTAATGTATATGCATCAACAATTTTATAAACCTTTACCAAGTGAGTTTACTTTCAATATAAAGAGAAATTGCTAGAAACTTACTACAAAATGTATATTTTATTTTTCAGAGAAATATACAATTTTCAAGAAGAATATTCATGAACTTTTTCCAACTGTTTTTGATACAAAATTTCTTAGTTACGAGATAAGAAATTTTTTAAAAAAGGAAGGTTTGTCTTTTTTATTATTAATTCTACGACAGTTTTAAATTTCAAGTAATTATTCTAATGGCTGATTTTTTAGAGAAATTTTCTTCTAATTCACTCAACACTTTGTATTATTATTTCAAAAATGAGAAGGGAAGATTTTTGTCTTTACACTCGCCGAAAATATGCTCAGAAACATATTTAAAAAATGGTAACTAGTGAATTTTGTTTGAAACAAAATTTTACTATTAAGATTTTAATTGAAAATAAGAATATATTTTTGTTTCAGATGAGGATAAATTTCATGATGCAGGATGGGATTCATATTGTGCTGGATATTGTTTTATACGATTGGCACATATATTTGCTGCAAAGAAACGTGGAGAGTAAGAAAATTCTTTGTTTATGTCAAAGGAAATATTTCACAAAGACGTTTGCAATATTTTTAACATTTCTTTTTTATGATTATTTATTTTTAATGTAAATTAATTGTTTTATACATTATCTTTTATTTCAGAGGAAGCAATTACAAACCAATGACTAATATTGAAATTTTAAATGGAGTAAAGTCTTTTAGCAATCGTATAAATATTATTCGAGGAAATGTACCTTATTTGGTAAGAAATTAATTTAGTTTGCTAATTTTTTATTTTCTGTTTCAAGTTCGAGAGTTCTCTTCGATAGACAAGAAAATGAACTTACAAAATGTTCTTCATTAATCCTAACAGCATCCAGATATTTAGGATATCCTAAAATATCCGTTACTGTTAGAAAAATCATGAGCCAAGTGATTCACTGCTCAGGGTAATCAAACAAAAAATGATGAAAACATTTTATAGTGTTTCAAAAAGTACTAAAAAAGCGATTTTTTGACACTTTAATCTCGTTTTTTATGGAACTGAACGAATGAAATTTTTTTTTTTTGTATTTTCTTGTTCAGTGAGACCTAAACTTTCAATAAACACAACATCACCATTTTTTTATAACTCAGTGTTATAATATATAAGCCACATGAGTCAGACCATGCCATATTAGTTATAATATATATAAAAATATCCCTAGGAAAGTTAAAAACATTCGGTCCATTACATGGATCTCCTACGAAAGTCCTACACGGAAAGAAGGTTTCATCTATAAACCAGATGTACAATATGATAGCTGAAATCAAATTTCAGAAATTTCAGATGACGCACATAGGGACACTCTAAATTTCATTGCCGTGCAGCTATCGTGGCGCCACCGTATTAACCAGTAAACGTCATGGAAAATTAAGGTTTTTCGGTAACTGCACAATGATTATAGGTGAAACCTTCTTTCCGTTTACTGTCCCGGAACAAAATGATATCCCTATGTCATCAGTAGAACATACTGGTATAGCCCCTTAATGTTAAATAATAGAACAAGCAATATTATTATTTCTATACTATATTGAATTTTTAAATTTGTAGAATTTCGGTGGACCTGATCCAGTTTCAGAGAGACCTCAATGGCTAGTTGTACAGCCAAAAGGTTCAAAAACATTTTGCGTTTCTGAGGTACTTGAACAAATAAGCCGTATAACTTAAGAACTATGTATTTAAAAAAATATTCATTTTTTAAACATAGATTTTCTATTTACGCGTTTTTTTTCATTTTTTAGATCGCAGAATTATTATCATCCTATGGTAGTGTTGATGTTAAACCATTTAATTCGCGCTATGCTCTAGTCGCTGTCTCTAATCATCGAAGGTTAGTCTATTTGTTTAATATTATATAAATTATCCTTCTAATTGTATTCCAATATAAATTTCAAACTCGGAATTTACATGTAAAAATATTTCCTTACTTGAATTGCAGACATTTTTTACTTTTATTAATCGAGAAATAAATTTTAAATGACATAAGTGTTCAACATTTTCAAAAATACACTTTGTAATTCTATTTTATAGCATTTCATGAACTTGTCATCTTAAGAAAATATTATTCACTGCTGTATCTTGTCAAATTGACATCGACTTTTGCTTTCTGAGAAGAGGAGGTCCTTCCCTTTAGTCTGATTTTGTTTTGTGGGTTAACATAATAAAATTGCCCTAAAGTCAATACATATCTCGAAGAAATCTTATTTTTATTTTATTACTGTTTGCTTTCATGTGTTATTTTTGCAGTATCTTAAACCTACAAATCGAGTTGTTGGTGGATATACATACTTCTTAGAATAAGTTTTAAAAATTATATATTTAATGCACATGTAAAGCATAAAGAAAAAAAAGTTTTGCTACTAACATTTCATTTCACTAAAATCTACAAATGTTTAATACGCAGTTTGTATTTAAAAGTATAAACTTTTGCAAAGTAAAGGAAGCGATTTTGGATCTCTTTCAAGGATAACTCGGGTGTTTATTTATCCTCGTATTTGCCGAATTATGATATTAATGTGTCAATTGCTAAAGACAATGTAATTGCTTTTCTTGCAAATTTCTAAAATTGTAATATATAGTATTTTTCTTACATTCTTTTTTTTGAAACAAATAAAATGGAAAACATTCATAATTCCTTTCATTCATTTTTCTTTGCTTCTAGTGCTCGAGATATTTTACAACACTTTAAGTCACATGCAGAAATTCAGATTTTATTTTACAATCCAGTTCGACATTCCACAAAAGTGAAAATCTTCTGTTGGTATGTTTATCAATAAACAATGATAAAATTATTTACAGGCAATTTTGAAATATTTTTTTTTTTAGGTCCAGCTTAATTATTTCTGGATGTATTATCTCTTTAATATTGCATCGGAGAAGTTAATTTTATCAATATGAAAACTGATTGTTAAGGTATTTTGAAAAATTAAAAATATTACTTTTTAATAATAAAAAAAACAGTGATTTCAAATGCAGTTTTTCCTCGAAGAAAAAGACTTCGAAAACGATTGTCATTAAAATTGTCCTCGAGATATAATTAATCATAGGTATTTTTTTATTTATTTTTTTTTTTTATTTTCTGACGTAGGTTGCTCGGATAAAAACTGTCAACATCTTGACAAGTTCTCTAAATAATACGTGACGAAATACTTAAACGAATTCTTTCGAATGTCTTTTTTTTGTTCACTCCGGAAGCACCTGACACAAGAAAAAATGTTTTTTCTCAGATTAAATGTGTTAATAGACTTTTCGAAAATCAAAATATCTCATTTTTTAACTGATCCCCGTAGAACAGAGAGGTGGAAACGAGAATGTCTTCAATTTTTTTTTATTTTGTTGCAGTTATTTAAAATGGAATATCGTATATATAATCAACGAGAAAAAAAGCAAAATATCATGTAAGCCTCTTTTTTAGTTACAGTAGACGACAGGAAAGATGTCGCCGCTGTCACAGTCGTTTAAGATGCAATTTTTTGAAATGTCGAAGAGAAAATTCAAAGACGCAAAGGAGCCGAGTCGTAGCGTTCCCTAATATTTCAAAAGTTTTCTCTGGCCAAGACCCAAGGCCAAAATACTCAAAATAACGCAGCAGAGCAATTCATGTGGGCGAATGGATAACCGTTCTATCGGTCAGATTGATCGCTAAGGCAGGTGGAGAACTCAAGGCTCAATCCTGTCGCATAGAAACATGTCTTTTCACAAAGTGCAGAGGTCACACGTGAATTTTCATCTCTTTCGCGGAAATTTTTTTTAAATTATTTTTTATGTATATATATATATTATTACGACTAGATAATTCATTAAATTTAAATTTATTTTCGAACTATTAACATATATTTATATGTAAATATCTATTGTAACAAGGAGAGAGAAATTGTTATTATTTTTGTATATTTTTATACATTTATAAAAATAAAAATTATCCCGTTCTTTTTTGAAAAATATTTTTACTGTTTCTTTTTATATTACCCAATTGAACTTTTACTCTTACAGGATTTCGACTAAGTTTCAAAAGTTAATTTTTTGATTAAAGTATACCAGTTAAGAAAGAATGTGATACATTCGTCAATAGTTGATATCCCTTTTTACCTTCTACATCGAAAACCACTGTCGAATTATTTTTGTCCATAAGCTAAATGTGCCAAAATAGACTAGCCTAGTCCCTGGCCTAGAGTGTAGGCTTGACCTGTCGCTATATCAACAATAATAATTCAAGGATTCTTAATTTAAAGAAGACCAAAAAATAATTTATAACATATCTCTTTCTTTTTCAGCTATTCAGAATACCATTAGATGGTAGTAATGTTTTCTCAGATCAAAGTAAACTTTCCAAGTTCATTCAACCGTTTTATTCTTGTCCTTCCTTGTTTATTTCCAAAATGTCTCGAGAGATAATTTAAAACACAGTTTTTGAGATAATCGTGTAGCTAGTCAAAAATATATTTGATAAACTATCACAAAAACTGCATTTTTGGATTTTAAACGTTATGGGATTTTTGAACGGCATGTCCGTCCGTCCGTCCATTGTACACATAGTTTGGTTATTATAGCAACCGTTATCATGGCAAGGGAGACCATACCAACCGATTTTTTTTTATTTTATTCATATTGAAAGAGATGCATAATATTTTCGTTGAAGGTATAAAGGAAAAAAAAGAAATAAACTTATGTGAATATTACGAACATTTAAAAATAATTCTGATTGATGATGATTTCAAAAATGTATTTGTCAATGTTTGATGATAAAAAAAAATACATCCATCTTCTTCGAATATTAAGCTTTCAACCTCCAGTATTTGCTCTCTGACAGGTGACACGAAGCGTAACTGATTTTAAATAACTTTTGTCCTTATATTTATTTATAAAAAGAAAAGAATGATTTAATTTTCATTTCTTTTAATAGTTTTGTTCTTTGATGACACGCGTTGTGTCTTAAATTTCGGCAAATGATTTCCGTAATCACACGTGATATCCGTACATCTAACACGTGTGCACCATCTGTTCCTCATGAAAGACAAACGCGAGAATTTATCAATATTTCAGAATTAAAAAAAAAGATTTTTCTTTTATAATAAATTTATCTTTTTCAATGAATTATTGTATATGTTTAATTTTAATAAATAATAATTGTTTGAAAGAATATAAAATTGTAAAAGCATATTCTATAATAGTATATATATATATATATATATATATAAAATTTAAAAGATTTAAGTTATCAGTGCATAGATCAAAAGAATTTATGTTACAAAGTTCAAAAGACGAAAATAATGACTTATTGTTAGTTTTGAGAGAAATAGAGAGGGGACCGGTGCATGACATAAATATCGAGGACGTCGTTTCGGTGCTCACCAGAAAATGCTACAATACCTCTATTTCTGTCCATTTCGGTCCCTTGGCACGAGCCATATACACATATGAACCTTTATAACACTTATTAAAACAACGCCATTATGTAATTAAGAAGAAAATCAAATTTTTTCAATTACAATTTTTTTTGCATATCCAAAGAAATTCGAAAAATTTTTATAAAATTTCATTGATAGAATTTTATCGCAGAATTTATAAATGCTTAATTATTATACAAACTTCAAGTAAAATAATATGAAAAAATATATTATATGGTTTACGAAAAAAATGCTATTATTATAACAAAATCACATCATATTGTTATCAATGAACCATATTGTATATGCGTATTTATTATGTATGAAATATTGAATATCGTTTGAAAATCGCCTTCTACTTAAATCCTATTACACTTGTTGTAAAACAGCAACTAAATACGACCTCGTAATATCCTTGTGACTATTTTCGAGATACATGTTTCGACATGATAGATGAGAGTTTTCTGCGTTTCCACGCGACGACCAAGCGTCCGCTCGGGATCTGCCAAAGTTTCTCGTCGCGTCGTTGAATGCATCGAACAATTTATTATAAGATCGCGAACAATACCTGTGTACTGCGAACTTTATAATAATAAATTATTGTATATAAAAGGAAAAAATAAACCAAAAAAGAAAATTACAATTACAAATTACTTTTTTAAAAAGATTTTTTTTAATCCTCTACCTACGATTAATTACTCCCTTGTCGATTTTTGCCGATAACGATTATCTTCTTCGGCTGAATTTTATTAGATTTTCAAATATTGCCGCGAAAGATGCCTGCGCGTCATATATTGAAGTTCAGCAAATCGCTCATAGGTTGCGTATTTATTCTCTCACAATCGAGATACTCCTTTTATTTGATTAAAGAAGGGATATTGATAACTTTATTTATGAAGTATAATAAAAGAAAATACGTATTATTATATGTAAAATAATTATTTATATTTTTTAAAAATTAAACTTTAGTTTTTTAAAATAATTTTCCAGACTGAGTAGTTTTTGATTCAATGTCCTCGACACGTGGTGACGAGACTCGTGCAAAATGTGAATTACCGGATTGGAATGATTCCGAGACGCTATGCGAGATCCTGGATGAGTAACATTGAGCTGAATATAAATAGGACGACCAGGTAATTTGTATCTTGATTATCTACGAGACTGTGGTAATTCACGATGCGATGGAATCGCATTGCTTGGTCTTAAGCAGAATGATGTAGCGACCTCACTAAAAATACGTGGGTCCAATCAACGGCCAAGTGGACCAAAGTGAAGTAACCGTGTCTCAACCTCCCAAATATAGTCCGACATCTGCGAATGTTATATAGTGCAAATGCTAATAATTGGCATAAGAAAAGCGCGACAAGGAACATTATACTAATGTTTGCCACTATTTACCGAAAGTTGTTAATTACAGCTCATCGATGCAATCAAATTGACTCTTGGCTAATTTTGATCATCCAAATAGGCGACAGATTTTAAAACATTGAATTTGAAAATTTCATCATTTTCAAAGTAACAATTAAGGATTAAAAAAAAATTGTTGATAATTTTGTTTTATTTAAAAAGAAAAAGTCTGAACATGTCCACCCGGAAGACATTAAAGCTAAAATCTTTTGCTCCGGACATTGCGAATTTATACTGAGATCACAATGTTTGGCAAGTGTCCCGTACGGAACTTAAATCACTACAAATCTTAATAAGCTAAGCAGTAAGCTTGAAGGATGTGACACACCAGAAAATATTATTGTTTTTATATACGCAAAAAAAATTCTATATATGTATAAAATAAAGATTTCAAATGAAAAATAAAATATTAGATTTATTTCAACTTTTTGGCTTATAGTTATTAAAATTTCTCTTTTACAAATTAATTAAAAAAAATTGCGAGAAGTATATAAGATATTTCGAATTCCATCGCTGTCACCAAAAATTATTAACAATAATCATAAAAGGTTTTCTAAAAATAAGGATCTTCCGGGTTGTCTCAGACATATTGTGAATCATTTGTCAATAGTCAATTGATGTATGTGCGTACGATAACCCGAAATCTTTCTTCACTCATCGCGCCAATAGAATTGCAAATCACATACCTTTAAGAATACATCGCATACAACATGTATGTCATTCTAACAAATTAATCCTTTAACTGCCTATATAGTGATAGAAAAATTATTTAAGATATATTTTCTATTAAAGAAATTATTAATTAATTTGAAGTCTCTCTAAAATTAATAATTATTAACTATTTATTTTTCTATCCACTAAAATTATTGTGATGAATTTGACATTGATTGAAAATTTGACACTTTTAAAAGTAAATTATAGAAAAATTTTCTTATTTCATAAGGAATAAAAATATCTTTAACTTCGTTAGGCAGGTTATTTTTAAAAAATGTTGATTTAGTCAGACAACCAATATGAATATTTATAGATGTATATACTCGGTAAATTTTTTTAAAAATATTAACAAACTAATTCAATTAAATAAAATAATAAATTTCTTATTTTTGACCCAGTGTAAAAAAATTTAATTAATTTATTTAAACTCTAAAAAGTTTTTAACATTAATTATATAAAATTGCTGAATGGAATGATTTGTGGTTTTTTAGGGTCCTTAATGTAATAAAAATGAAACTAGATGTTTTTTTTTGTTAGACGTTTCGACCCTTCGTTTGGGTCCTCTTCAATAATATTGTATTTTCTGTAAATTACATAGTTTTTAACAGTAAGGAACATAATTCTATTCAGCAATTTTACATTACTATTAATTATATATATATATATAGTACATGAATTTTTTTAAAATTTAATAGTTTACAAGAAAATAACTCTTATTTGTACTTCTATTAATCGCGTTAAATGTTTATAGCTCAATATATTTTTTTTTTGGTAAAAATGCGTTTTTGTTTGAAAGCAATAATGTTCAGTAAATCAATATTAAGCGAGAGATTTACATAACATCCGATGAGTTCAACTAAAAATACAACATCCACGCGTTGAACTACAAAGTCGAAATAAGTGGTGAAATAACGATGTCTATTTCTGCGGTTCATAATGAGCATACCGATAAAACAAGCGATTCGTATAATATAATGTCATTTTAATCAACTTTAATAATTATTAAACAAGTTATTAAATGTTCCTAAATAATTTTTAATTTATATATATAATATTTAATTTAATAATTTAATTTAAATAATTACTAATAAATTCCGCAGCTAAATTTAATTGTCAGATTTATTTACACGATTTTTATTCAATAATAATTTACCTTTGTTTGTTGCTATTCTGAAATTTTGTTTATATTACTAATAATAGTAAAAAAGAAACTAATAATGCTAAATCATAAAATTATATATAGTTAATGTTGAATTTCTTTATACTTTCAAGTGCAAATCTTCAAAATAAAGAAATGAAAATAATAATCAAAGTAAAAGATATGAAAGTGTTATATTTTATGTCCTCATAAAGGTTTTTACGATTCAAACGATAAACGCCGCTAAATACTTCACATTATCGAATAACAAGTAAGCTTTTATATATAGCTTCAGAATTTAAAAAATACCGGACATTTAAAAATTTAAATAAGAAAACTTTCCTTTTTTTTATTTATCAAATTGGCTTTGAAAAAAGGGAGTGAGATTTGAATAATATCAATGAAAATATTAAAAATAAAAAAAAGTTTTCTCTTCCCTTTTTCATAAAATTTTCGATCTAAAGAATTAAAATTTTATTTCTGCCATGTAAAATCAGAAAAAGGTATGATTTTTCCATTCTTTTCTGTGAAGGTTGCATTGAAAACAGAACAGCCTATAAAACAGCCGGGATCACTGGCTCGGGTCCAGACTTTTCCTCGTTTAGTGTCTTGCCACTAGGGTGCGATGTTGATGACTATTTAAACGAATTTCAACGTCGCCCGTCGCCCCGTTTCGTTGAGCAGCGCAGGCGTTGCGACGTTTGTACGATTGTGTGTTTTTTTTTATTTACTCACGCACGACGCACGCAAAAAATGCTCCAAGAGTAATTACGAACACGATTCAGGGGCCTCGTACAAGTGTGATTAATTATTAAATGTTTTTTTGGTTTGTTTATTAATTAAAATATTTCTATATTAAATTGTTCCGATTCGAGGTTTTTTGGATTACTATTGTTCTCGCCGGTGGAACTCTTCGGGTTCTGGTGATTGTTTAAAGAATTTGGTAAGTCCCCCTTAGTGAATTTGTGAATTTTGTTTTTTGTTTTTATGTGAAACATAGTGAAACAAGACGAGAAAATGAAAAGAAAAAAAAGGAAACAGTGATTTGTGAAAAACAACAAAAGCAGGATTTATAATTTGAAGAACAAGAATTTTGTGCTTTGAAAATAAAATTTTTAGCGCGTCCTTCAGTGTGTGATTGAGCATGCGCGAAGGATTATGGAAACAAAAACTCTCGGTGTAACGAGGATTATGTGCAAAAAAAAGGGGATTTACTGCAATTTGTGAGGGGACGGAGGATAAGAATTTCTTAATTTAATTAACATTATATCTACCGAATTAAAATCAATCGTTTAATTTTTTTTTATTTAAAGTATCAATGGTATAAAAAATTTGACAATATAATACTACTTCAAATTTTCTCATATTTTTACTTTTTAATTCATGGAAATAGTACTTAATTCATTGAAATTGTTTTCGATTGAAAATTCTTTAATTTATTTGTAAAAGTTTAAAATAATGAAATAATTTACAAACACTTGGGCAATTAAGAATTGTCTATTAAAAAGAAAATCTTTTAATAACCATTAAAATCAAAACTGAAAATTTTAATAAACTATTTAAATTATGTCATTTTGTAATATGAAATAGAGTTCACTGTATAATCAGACATAAATAGAAAATTTCTCTTAGGGTCATAAGAAGATTGTTTCCAGAGACGAAACAAGATCAATGAAATCTTAGTACTTTATTTAAAAATAGCTTCAGCTTTTATGCTGAAGAATATTATAATAGTGATAATAACTATTATTTATCGTAAATTTAATTGTTTTAAATAAATTTTGATTTATCTTGTAAAGGAAAAAAAAATTTGACGAAACATTGAAGAAGTATTTTTTTAAAAGTACTTTTGAGTATATGTATGTAAAAGAATCTTCGTTGCACTGAGGGTGCATTATTAAAAAGGTAACTCATAAATTACAATTTAAACTTTTAAAACAAAATCAGTTTTAGTTATTCTTACAATCTGCGAACTTATGATCTGCTTTTCTGCACTTGAAGTTGTAGTCTACAGTTTTCTATTTTGTACTTATACCCTAAAAGATTCTTAGTTTCAATAACTGCTAAAATGAGCTTTAGTAGGACTATCAGTTAGACTTCTGGACTATCAGGATTCCTTATTTTCATTAGGGACTTCAAAATAGTAACTCTCCTAAGAATTGAACCAGAAATCTACGATCCTTACGTAAACCAGACTAATCCTAAAACAAACACTAAGAAGTGCATTCATCATTTTCTGCTATTTTCAAATAAACAATGTCAGGTTCAAAAATCTTTCCTTAATCATAATATAGGCGGTCTATAGGACATCACAAGAAGCTATAACTCTTCTTCCTGCGGCTTTGTGCATTTGTTACCTTCTTTGATAAACTGCTGGCTGAACTCTCATCCAGAATTTCTTCCTTCTCCTCCCACGATGATCTATACGATAATACTAATGTTTGAGCAAACTTCATCTTTTAAACTTTCAACTGATTTGATGTATCAATGTCAACCATTGCTTCACTTCCTCTTTCGCGATTACTCCAATTGAATAAACAGAAGATATTTTTGTATACAAAAACAATTTCTTTTTTTCAACTAATGAAAATATTACATTAAAACATTATATATTAAACTACATAGTATACGCTTCTTGCAAGTGTTGTATATTTTCTTCGCTTTTTTTTAATGACGTTGACGAATTGCTTCGTAACTTATAACGACATAAATGACGCGAGTGTAATGCAATGATTGTGTGCGTTTGGCAATGACGTAACTTGGCAAAGCACCACATAAAGTGTAGGTGGCACTTGGTTCTCACAAGTTTTCAAATAAGTGCCAGGAATGCATATATATATAAATTCAAAATTTTATGAAATGTCGTATCTACTTTATTCATTTAGCAACACTGTAACATAACAAAATTTTAATTATATTGCGAAACAAATGTATGTATTTTTGGAAAAACGTATTCAAAGTCAATGTATAACAAAATATTCTTTCTTAAATTCATCCAAAAAGAAGTTTATAATTTCGAACTATAAGGACTAATTTTTTCATATAAGTTAAGCCTGAGGAAATTTTACGATTCGTTCGTGGTGATTGTGATCGAGTCCCTGAGATCGAGTTGGCAGTGTAGTGAGCACGACTATAGTTCTGCCAAAATAATTAGGAAGTCGTCTCGGGATGTGCTAAAAGCGTTCGCTCGGGCACGCGCGATTTGGCTGCGTTAGCCGCGTCCCGGGCGTTTAGAGAAAAGTAATCTTCGTGGGTAGCAGATCCAGACCGGTTCCAAATTCGCCAGTTTGTGTACTGACACCGTATAGTCATTGAATGGTATTGATCTTTACTCTATTTTTTATCTCACTATTTTCACGCGATTTTTCTATAGTGCCCATGATACCCGATTTCATATTTGCCGCGTATCGCGATCTCAGCGCCTCCATATTTAATGACCAAACTTTGAGGTATTTCGATTTTCGATACTTACCTACTGTTGTGTATACCTCTCTCCCTTCAGTTTCACATATATGATTTCTATGAGAAAAAATGTTTTTTTTTTTTTATTTCAATGTCAAACTTATTTCATTTATAAAAAAATTCAATTCAGATATTAATAACTCAAACAAAAATAATTTAAATGACCAAAGTATTGTGTATAAATTACATATTGTATATCTCATGCATTCAAAAGTTGAAAACTAAGATGACAGTGTTTTTACAATATTTTGTATTTTGATACACTGATGTTATTTATCTATAATCTTATTACTATTACGATTTGGCTTTCTAAAACCCACATTAATTGATGATCGTCTTGTTGCACTTGATTACGATACGGTTTTCTAAAACAATCACATTAATCGATGATCTTTTTGTTGCACTTGATTACGATTTGGTTTTCTAACACATTAGTTGATGATCCTCTCGGTGCACTTGATTACGATTTGGTTTTCTAACAAACACATTATTTGATGATCTTCTTGCAGCTGATTACGATTTAGTTTTCTAACAAATACATTAATCGATGATCCTCTTGTTGCACTTGATTACGATTTGGTTTTCTAACACATTAGTTGATGATCTTCTCGGTGCACTTGATTACGATTTGGTTTTCTAACAAACACATTATTTGATGATCTTCATTTTGCAGCTGATTACGATTTGGTTTTCTATAACACATAAACACATTAATCGATGATCCTTTTTGTTCTACATCTAAATGTAAATCCTTAGAATCCTTCAAAGTACCTGTCTTTTCCTTATCGATGATATTGCTATTCCATCTGAAACAAAAAAAAGTAAATTTAGTTTAAAAAAAATTAAGACAAATAAAATTTAATTTCTTCGGCTATAACTGTTACGATTTATATTCTCACTTTTATAATCAATACTTCTGTACTCGTAATACTCTCTTCCTCTAACTGTCTATAATCGTTATGTAATTACAATATAGATAAATTTTCACTTTCAAGTGTGTCAAAGTACGCGCCAAGGAAATAGCCCTAAAATAACAGAACATACTTCCCTCTCTACACCAATCAGATTGCTCCACATGCTCCTGTCTTTTAAAATCATATACGTTAATTCGAATATCTTCCGCCAAAACATGTTAAATGTTATTTTCAATTTAACATCTTTTCTCACATCAAAAATTATGTTTATTGTATTAATGAAATTATAAAACATTATGTTACATTCTTTCATTTGATTTATGTGTGAATATTAAATAATTGATTTATGAAATTCAATAATAGAAATAAATAAATTACTTACCAAGTGGCGTTGCAATCGACATGAATCGTATGTTCCGCGAGGCGGCGCACGTGCGCAGACAATTTTTCCAGAGGGGGATGGAATGATTTGCTGTTCATCGTGTGGTCGTGTCAGTTTTCTGAAAGGAAAGGCAAGCTGGATTGTGTGATAATGCGGTCTAAGTGTTTGCGACGCTTGAAAAAATGACGTATACCTTAGATTTTAGTGAAACCGGCGTCTTGTGATGATTTTGTAAACGTGATTAGTTTAATTATTTGTGGTGAATGTGTGTGAGACTTGTCGTTATCGTCGTTGTGCATTTATAGTGTCACAGAAATAGCAAACAGACAATATAGTCATTTTCTGTCATTGAACTTAAAAATTGAATTTTATTATACGCTTAAATAGTTAAAATATTAGTTTTTCGATATTCTTTACAGAGATTTGCATTTTTTGATGCGTTTCTGTATATAAAAAAACAAAAAACGGTAAGTTTTCTTTGACACGTGCTTACTCCGAAATTTTTTATTACTATCTTATAGTACAGACTTAATATTTATTTATGAAAATATGAAAAAAATGTTTAAATTACATAAAATGGATGATACTATATTGCTCTCTTTATGTTAAACATTATCTGTTACGCTTTATGAATTTATGTAAATGGAGAAAACAGCTGACGTTGATATTAAGTTAGGTTTAAAAATGTAGCGAAATTATTTTCGAAATAAGATTTAGAATTTATTTGCAAAATCTTGATGAATTTATTTCTTTGTTTTGTTTACCTAGTACCATTCGTTATATATATACATGTATATGTATATATATAGTGTAACGAGTACAGGGAACACGGAGGAAGTGAGGTTAGGTATGAAAATAGATTCATCCTTCGTGGCGTGGCTTATAACAAGTTTATCTTTATGTGAAATACATTTACTTTGTCTTGATTCCCTAACCTACCGAAATGCCAAGTTCATTGCCTCGTATCGGTTTAATAGTTTAGATATAGTAAATTATAAGTAAGGAGTAGGTTAAGTAAAAATTTGCATTTTATTAATTTATTTTATTATTTTTTCTGTATTTTACTCCATTTGTCGTAAGATATATTTATTAAGCCTTTACAAAAAAATACTATAATATTTAATGAAAAATTTGTTTCATTTCAGAAATTATTTGGGTGAATGAACGTACATAAACTTTAACAAGACTGGTCACAAAGTAAAAGAAAGCAATAATGGAGGACGGCCACTGTAAAACTGTGGACGAGGTGGTGAATTTTTTCGGTGTTGATTCTGAAAAAGGATTGGCTCCTGATCAAGTGCGAAGAAATCAAGAAAAATATGGTCTTAACGGTAAGTGATTTTATAAATTTATTTACTATTTTATCATCAACTCGCAGATAACTTCGGACATGCGGGGTCTAAGTTTCTACAATCAAATAAACTACAGAGTTTAAACCCTAACAGTAGAGAACATTTCAGAATATCCTATCACTGTAAAAAGTAATATCTTATTTTAAGACGTTTTTGTAGCGTTTTCAAGATATCAAGACATTTTAAACATCTTAATGTCTTAAAAACGCAATAAAACATTTTAAAATAAGGTACTTCTTTTTGCAGTGTATGAATGTCCTATCAGTATCCGGAAAGTAGGATACCTCTAGGATGTTCTTAGGATATCTATGGATATCCCTGAAACATCCTATAGATATCCTACTTTCCGGTTATCCATAGAACATCCGAAATATATCTTGAATATCCGGATGCTGTTAGGAAAGTGTACATACCTACATACATACATACATACATCACAGTACATACAATAAACAGTTTATTTTAAATTAATAAAAGAAATTTTTCATTGTTTTAATCTATCCTTTGAGAGATACAAATAAAAATTTAGTTATTATAGATTTAAATTCTATAGTAAGGTTGAATCAAACAAAATTTGCTTCATTCCATCATATCATGTTTCATTCAACCTTATTTTAGTGTTTATATTTATGATAATCAAAACTTTTGTTTGATTCAACCTAATCTAGATGTAAGATTTTTAAATTATGAACCCTTGAGTGCGAAAGAGACAGATTTATACAAAACGTTTATTTTCCTATATGACAAAAAAGTCATAGTGAAACAAATTCGCATGAGTGAATTTAAAACAATTTTTCATTCCTATAATAATTTTCTAGTACAAAAAAAGAAAGAAATAGCTGATATAGACAACAGAGGGCAGTGACACTCATAATAAATGAAATAGTTTTTTTCGGGATTCGATTTGGGATTCATAAATGATTAAATAAAGGGAAAATAAATTGTGACGATGATAATTAAATTTTCCAGATCCATAAAGTGATAACTAAAGTACTATATGTTCTCTGAACTGTATTATCTTCTGGGTTTGCAGATGCAATATTACTCTAAAAGCGACTGTATTAAGCAATTCAAGGAGTTCGCGTGTACTCCACGTGCTCTGTTTCTGTTTATGTGTTTCACTTTATCAAATGGCGCACACATTTCGTGCTTCCCCTCACCCCCTCTTTTTATCTAACTTGCAGTCATGAAACTTATTAACTAGTTAAGCTCTTTCTTTCTGTCTATATCTATTTCGATAAATATTGAGGAAAATTTTTATAAATTTTTTTCTAAATATAAATACTTTTTTTTATAAAATTCTCATAGAATTAGTAAAAGTTAGTAAACGAATCTAATAAAGACATATGACGCTCCATCAGAGAAGGGATATATTCCCGAAATAACATTAGGCTCAGTTTTCCGTGTACTGTACATGAAAACTAAGCCTAATGTTATTTCAGGGATAGGTCCCTTCGTGGAGCATTACATATATATTTATTAGTTAGAGGTTTACTATTAAGATGTTTGTTAATTAGTTTTAAGAAATTCGAAAAAATTTTAAGTTAAATGATTATATAATAAATACAGATTTTTTTTAATTTATAAAAATTGTAATTTTTAAAATTTTAATTACGTAGTTAAATAGGAATAGAAAATTCATGAAAGTAACATTCGAAATGTCTGTTTCTGCTTTATTTGCAACTTGAGTGTTTCAACTAATACCGGATGTACAGATTAGAAAAGTGGCTCCAAGATCTTACCTTGATGTATTTACGCGTCACATTATATATATATATATTTTTTTTATGCATATACTCTTGGTAAAAGTGGAATATTTTAGATTTTGAAAAGTTTCCTCAGTAAAATGATATTAAATCATAAGTCAAAGTTTATTATTAATGAATTTAATAAATATTTTTGAAAATTATATATCTTTCGCAAAATAGGTATTTCTAGGTAAAGTTTATATTTTCATATAGTAAAAATTATCCCGGCCAAGATTAGTTTCTATTCCTGTGCGAGAAATGTTCTAAAAAGCAATCACGTCATTTTGCCTCTTCTATCATTCGTTGATATTTTTCTTCAGCATTCTCGTGTATCTTATTAACAAAATGTTCGTTTAATAGTTTTTTTTCAATGAAAATTAGAACTTAACAATTTATAAATATTTTCATTTAAAAGAAATAAGTTTAATAATAAAATAAAAGTCTATTATTTAATATTGCTAATAATAACATTAAATCAGTGAAGAAAGTCGGTGCCCTTTATACATATATGAAATAAAAAGAAGATTAGAATAAACGTGTTATAAATAAGAAGATAAAAAATGAAACTAATAATTATCGAGCGTCGTCAGTCAAAAAGCCCCACTAACTTGATGGAACAACGAGCAATGTTCTAATAAAAGGTATCTGCTCGTGTATCTCGTAGGGTTAACTAATGGTAGCTCTCTTATTAATAGACACACTTCTCATTATGTTTAACCAGTATCTGTGTTGTGTTGGCTATATATGTGAGGAAAAAAAAAAAAAAAAAAAAAAAAAAAAAAAAAAAAAAACCCTGAAGCCTTTTCCTGCACGAGCAGATTATACGTTGCAACAACTCGCTGCCATTGCAAACAAAGCTCTCGTGGAGATTTTCAGTACAAAAAAAAGTGCAACGGCCATGAAATACAAACTATGACCGAGACACATTTTTTTGTTACATAATTCAAATGCTCGTTGAATTTATTAAAGTATGCACGCATAAATTATTTTTAATACGAAAATAATATTGTTTTAGTTATGAAAATTTGTAAAATTAAATAGGAATAGAAGAAAAGAAGGGGAAAACGATTAGTTTATTTTTGGCATAGACAAAGTTACTTATAGCGAAAATTTCTTATACTATATAGACGCGATTAAATCTATTATTATGTATATTTGGAAACGAATAAAAATCACGTTTGAAAATTTTTTATATTTATTTCATTCACTAAAATGTATTTGCGCTTTTCAAAGGCTTCACTTAAATTTATTTAATCTGTAAATATACACATGAAAATTATTTCAATTAGCATATACATTTTCCTTGGAAACTTGAGAACTGAAAACAAAATGTTTAAAATAACAAATTTTCAATTTTTAAAAAACAACATTAATATCAATAATTATAGAATGTAGTATAATTTGAAAATTTCATATTAAAAAAAATTGAATTTCATTATTGAATACTTTTTTTTGCTATTTTAAGGAATGACGTTAATGTTATACAGAAGACGTCATATACTTTTTGAAGCAGATTTTTCGTACGGAAATCGCGTGCTAAGTTGTCGACACTTCATTACAGTTCATTGTGCGCGTCAGCGAGACGATTATTGCGGGTTCGAGAAGTCGCTTATAATCTTATTAAAAAGAAAAGAACAACTTTAATAATTTTTGCTTGACATCGTAGAATTATAATTTATAGTTAAATATCATTTGAATGAACAAATTTTCTTTTGTGTATAATTAAATAAATATTTTTATAATAAAATAATTTATAATTTATTATAAAAAAATTTTCATATATTTTTTTATGAAGAATTGGAATATTCTTGTTAATTCACTGAAGAAAATTAATTTCATAATTTTTTAGTTCAGCGAAATTAATTTATATATAGAAATAAGCACTGTTTTGAATCAATCAACGAACTTTATATACGTTTAAAAATCCTTGAGAGCTCTCTGTAAATGAGGTCATTGAACTTCCTTTTGAGAAAATAGTATGTGAAAATTAAATAATTTTGAATTTATTTTTTTAAGGGAAGTACAATATAATATGTTTGTTAAAAAATTATTTTTCCGTTTTATTTACATTTTCATAATACTAATTAAATATATAAATGATTAATTTTTCAAATATTTTAATTTACGCGGGAATATTAATTTTTTTTTTTTTTAAAAAAGAGAATATTTTAATATTGCGAGAAAAAGGAGGAACTGTTTAAAAATTCTTTTGTTCGTTATTTTGAGGCTTGAGGGCTTAAAAGAAACTCGTTATCTCAAGTGCAGTATATATAGTTAGGAAGTATAAGAACATAGTTTTTCTTTCTTATTTTCACATTAAAAATATTAATTCTCAAGAATCTGGGTCGTCATAATTGAAGTTCTTACAATAAATAGCAGTAGTTTATTGGGAAAAGTTTAATTAAACATTCAATAGATTTTTTTAAAAGTATTTCAAAGTTTGGCAATATATATAAATCAGTTAAATTCAAATCAAATATTTCAAAGGATTCTAGTTCACAAGGGGGGAAGGAAACATTCTTTAAGTGACAAAACTAATTAAACTTGCTTTATATTCAAATAGAAAAACTTTAAAAGTTACCAAACTTTGAATGCATTTCGTTTGTATACTATATATATAAGTTGTTGAGAAAAGTTTTAGAGTAAGTTTTATGAGAAACTTAAAAATATAGAATGAAGTTGTTTACATTCTCTTCATTAATTATTATTTACCAAATATAATTTTCATTCAAATTTTATATTTTTAACATGTATTTATTTCATGTTATCAGTGACGAAAATAAGGCCTTCAAATTAATCAATATATCTGCAGATATTGTCGTGTTTCTAAATCAACATCAAGTCACATATATCTACATTTTCACCAATTTACTTAATGTTAATCAAAGGTTAAAGTTCATTGATTTTTTTAAATTTTTTATTCTGAATATTTAGTAGTTTTACCTAATATTTAATATAATTAAAAAGAATTTATCTCTATATTGTCTGATGAAGACTATTTTTCATTAAATATTAATATCGGACATTATTTTTTTTCTTGCAGTGCGTTTGAGAATTTTTTATTCAAAGCGCATTTTAAAAAAAGCGCGCTCTTTTTGGACCAATGAGGTAAATTTTGGTTTTTTTGTCGCGCGCGGGAAATATAACCTCAATATTCAAATTCAAAAAAATAGTTTTCTTTTTACAAATAAATTAAAGGAGATGTCTTTCTGAAATACTCCCAATGGGAATTACGGAAGTACAAACACATATGACGTGGTCAGTCACAAGTAACCACGTCAGGTACATAGTCCCTTGGATGATTCATTATTAATGACAACACGTGTTGTACAAACTGTAACTGTAACAAGCTCTTGTGGTCCAATAAGTTACCATATATATTAATAATATATGTGTCGCGCTCTAAAGAAATGGACCTAAGAAGCCAAAAATTATAGGTTATGTTTTTAAATAAACAAAACAAATTAATTACTTAATTATTAAATTATCATCTTGACACGTTTCTAAATATAGTCAATGTTAAAATTAATCCGCTTTCTACATATTCTATTATGAAATATATCAAGACCGTTAATGATGAAGCTTGAAAAATCGATAAAAATAGAATTTGACCGAAAATTTTACTCTGACTCAGAGGTAAAAGATCTTTGAAGTTTTTTTGCATAATGATCATTAACGATGTGTTATTTTTAAGCTTCCTTTTTGTCTTTCAACTATGTAAATGATTCTATGGCTTGTCAAGTAAAAATAGATTTTGTCAACTTTTTTTGACAATGTAAAAAAAATAACAAGATTTAGAAAAATTTGAATTTCAACGAAATTTGAAAAATTATAAAAAAAAATATTTTATTCTTTTTTTTAATAACATTTGAAGAAGAATTATTTATTTTTTGTCTTTGTAGGAATGGTTCTAATTTGCGGTTTGCCTTCAAGAAAATTTTTATTGCAGGCAAATTTTTTTTTATGTATTTTTCTTTTCGTGTGAAGACGACGAGATTATATAAACCGTGCCTAGTGGTACATTAACGATCTCGTGAAGTTGATCTTAAATCAAACTGGAAGTCGTGGTTAGCCAAATATTTGGACTGATTACAGAAAATTTGCACAAGTTCTTGCTTACGTTTAACTGTGATAGGAAGGAAAATACATTTATATATATATACAATTGAGAACAGTGTTCTTTCATATATATAATTATTCTCGTTTACCTAAATTTCTTAATTCGCATTTCCCTAAAGTGTTTAAAATTTTTTTGATTCGAAATTAATAAACAGTTCCAATAATTTATTGTAATTATCTTATTTATTTACCAAAGTTTAAAAAAAAATTCTTAAATAATATTTTTACATAAAAAGTTACTTTTTTATAGTATTAGCGTAAAAATAGTTGCCATTAATTGCTTTACTTTAAGATTTGTAAGCAAAATGTAGGCGTTTGATTAAAAAAGAAAGACAAAAAAGAGGATTCATTTAAAACCCTTTTTTTTCTTTCTCGCACAGAAACGACTATTTATCGCTTCTTTTTCTGTTTCTGTTTTATGTTATTACAGAAATCTTCTGCACTCTTTTTTTCACGTTCATTTTTGTAAACTGTTTTTAAAATAAAATTTTATTATACTTTCTATGTTTGTAGATTCCATTTATCAGTCAATAAAGGGGTCTTTATTTAACTAATTAAAATTTTTAAGTACAAATGTTATTTTGAAATTTTTTTTTTAATTTTTGTATAATTTCTGTTCTTTTAAAAACAAATTTCTTTGAGAAAAAAAAGAATGTGAGTAAAAAGTTTGTAAGAAATGAGGGGAAAAAAATATTTTTTAGGAATAGTAGAAAAATAGATTTTTTGTTAGTAAAAAATAAAAATAAAAAAAAAATGATTGCTGTTATCAGCTTTGGATTCGTCCTTGCACAGCACAACTCGTTGTCGCGTGATAAATTCGAGCCATGTCGCTTCCAGCAGTGAAAACTCGACCTTCCTATATATCCACTTACAACTTTTCTCACTGGATTAACACCTCTTTTACTTTTGCATACATCCCATCGACGTGTTTATATTTTCCAGTTCCCTGATACAAAAAAATTTCTTAGTTTTTTATTTTCATCAATATATTAAAATTCAACAATGTCTCATTTTTTTTCTCACTAAAAACCTCATTTCAATAGGCCTCTTTTATGTTTCTTGATTAACATAATTATTAATGAAAAAGAGTACTTTTTTTTTACAAAAATTTAGAATTAGGTGAAAAAAATGTTTTTCTTTTGTTCTATTATAGGGTTTTGAAAAAAAATATTGTAAACAAATTTAAATAAGTCTTTTTCTGAGAAGAATAAGAGTGTAATAATATAACAATATAACAAAGTAAAAGAATAACAGTGAAACGATTTTTCTAAAATGGGATATTTCAGTGGTTTTTTTTTAAAGGAAGAAAATGAAAAGGATTCTTATGGGAAATAATTATATAATTTCTTGAAGCGCTTGTCACCCTTAGAAACATGATTAATATACTTTATTGGAATAATACAAGCTATTAGAGTGTATGCAATTGCGATCGATACTGTTTTACCTGATGAACATAAAGTCCATAAAGTGAATTGTTACAAATTATTTAAAAATTATTTTTATATTAAATTTAATTTGTATATTAATAAACAATAATTTTAAATTAAAAAAAAAATATTTTTAAATTCATAAAATTATGCTTGTATTAAAAAACTATTTTTATTTAAACCAAATATTTTCTATCAGGAAATATTTAGATTTACAGAAAATCATTTTTATTTTTAGAAAATAATTCATCATGTTTTTAGTTTCCAAAATTTTTTTTAAAAATTAACTATTACATTTTAGTACTGTGAATCATTATTATAGAAATTTATTTACATCTCAGAAAATTGGGACAATAATTAATAATTTTCGTATTTTATTTTCTGTTTCAGAATTGCCAGCCGAAGAGGGTAAGAATTTATTTTAATTATATAAGCTTTAATTTACTCAACATACGATACATAGAAAATTAAATAATTTTTTAATTAGTCTAAAATAAATGTTAATTAATAATTAAAAATCGAATTTGAAGTTGAGTTCATTTTAAAATTCCACTTAAGAGAAAAAAAGTTTTGTAATTTTCACTTTTAAACTCTCGTTTAATTATTTTGAAATGAATTTGAGGGTGGATTAAATTGATTTATGAACGATTGATAAGAATGAAAGGAATTTCAATAATACAGAATTCACAATGGACGAAAAACGTGCAGAGAAATATTAATAGAATATTATATTCTCTCAAGTAGATTATATATATATAGAACTTTATTTTTCACATGAAAAAAATAACACGTTTTCTTTAAAATTAAAATAAATTTTTCGCATAGTTTTTTTTTCCTTGAAATACGAAAATTTCAAATTATTTGATTTTGTTAGAAATAAATATCGATTTAAGTTTTCGCGTGCTGAAGTTAAATTGAAAAACCAGTTAATCGAAATTTCATTATAATCGTTTTTTTTACTGTTAAAATTAGAATGTGAAATATTATTTGTTACAAAAAAAGGAATAGAATTATTTCTACTCTAATAATTAATTATCACACTGTAAATTATTTTTCAAATTAACAATTATTTTGAAATCTATTTTAAACATTTCAAATTTAATTCTAATGTTTTTCTAATCAAAAGATTAATATCAAATTGATGACGTAACAAGATAAAGATCTTGTGAGGAAGTGTGCCAAGTTTTCTTAAACAGCTGTTTAGATTTACGTCAAGGTGTCGCATCTCTCTCTCTCTCACACACTCTTTCAATCTGCAATATTTTGCGTTGTCGGATTTCTGATTAATTTATGTCGAAAATATCTATTATCGCGTTTAATAATATTTATTCCTCAAAAGGAAGATTTGTTTGAAATTTTGATAATTTAAAATAGCGCAATTATTATACTGTATACTTTGAATTTATAAAATGTAATTTTACAAATATAATTTGCAAAAAGAGAATCGAATATTTTTTTCTTTATTGCAAAATTTAATCATTTAAATTGTTAATAAGAAAAAAGTTTTCATTTTGAAGAAAAAATAATGTTTCAATTGACTTAAGAACTGAAAATTTGATGAAGCTGTCGGTTCAAAGGAGGGAGGAAAAAATGAACATTTCTTTGAGCAAAATACATTTGAGTTTCTGACATTGTCGAAGAAAAAGAAATTTATAAATGTCATGGGATTTGTCGCTATCGAACTAGGTCAGCTTTTATCCAATGCAATTTATGTGGATTGACATGAGCATTACGGATATATCTTATTAATTTAGTTGTACGAGGCATTTGAATGAAAAATAAAAGAGAAAATTTAATAATAAAATTTAATGAAATATTTTCAAAAAATGTTATATATAAATTGCAAAATAAAAAGAAAAACCGCTTTTTTACAATCGCAGTTTGAGTGAATTTTTTGTCAGATAAGATTATATCAACGTGGACAAATAAGTTGAACGCACGTGTTGCACTTTCTTCGATTAAAGTTGAGTCAGTGTTTAATAGGTTTCTAGCCTCATCACTAAATTGTAATTAATGAAATCGGTAAATGCAAACCAAGGAACAATATATGACGTCAATTGCTAATGGTAAAGGCACTTGTCATCAAGGTCATTAGACTTGCTACCATTGTCATTCTACTCTTCTATTGCAAAATTATCTTTTATTCTCTAAATACATTTACAAACAAAAAAAAATTTGCAATAATTTAGAAGAAAATCACATTTTTTATACAACCAAAAACAATAATTTTTTAAATATTGAAAAAAAAATTTAAAGAAGAAATTTTTTTCGATTGTAAAATAAATAAATTCTTTTCATAATAAATTATATATATAAATTAGTATAAATGAGAATTTCGAAAGAGAATTCTTGGAACAAATGAAAATTGCCAGACAAAAGTAAATTAATTTCAAGACAAATTGGTCAAGTGTTTTTCTTTTTTTGTCGAATGAGCAAAATTTGGAACGTTTCATGACTATTAATTTGTGTGTTAAAAGTTTCGAAATTTCTGAAAGCATTCCAATTACACTATAGTCGTTTCAATGTCACGATGTTAATTCTGCTAATCCTATTATGTGTGTGTGTGTGCTGGGTGTATAATCATATTAAAAATAGTCAGCGGCACAAAACTTGTGGCATTTCTAACAATAATTAGATAACAGAATGGGGCAAAAGCGATACCAGTTTCTTGAAAATGTACTATTTCTTACCATCAAGGTTTTTGGCCAGTGACACTGAAGTCCAAGGATTCTAAGCGTTTATTATTAACAGAAAAAGAGAGAGAGAGAGAGAGAGCTTGTCAATATGAGGCACTTATTCGAGCGTGACGTTAAAGGCAGACTCTGCGTTGAGCTGCTTGTGACGCAAATTCTTTTTTTAATTTCCTGTCGTATTAGTCTCGGAAAATCTACAAAGATCGTTTCAATAAATAAAGAAAAAAAAGAAAGACAATAAACACTACATTTTTCTTTTTATTATTTACTTACAGGAAAATCCATCTGGCAACTCGTCTTGGAACAATTCGACGACCTTCTAGTTAAGATTCTTCTATTAGCCGCTATTATTTCTTTCGTACGTATAATGTAAAATTTTGTATCCATAATTTCAAAATTAACTATTGAGAATTTGATCCAAAAAAAATTTCCTTACAGGTATTAGCTTTATTTGAAGAGCATGATGATGCGTTCACAGCGTTTGTCGAACCATTTGTTATTTTGCTCATTCTTATTGCCAATGCCGTCGTTGGTGTTTGGCAAGAACGTAATGCAGAATCTGCAATTGAAGCCCTTAAAGAATATGAGCCCGAAATGGGCAAAGTTGTCAGGGGTGATAAATCCGGTGTTCAAAGGATTCGAGCTAAGGAAATTGTACCCGGCGATATTGTTGAAGTATCAGTTGGTGATAAAATTCCAGCTGATATTAGATTAACGAAAATTTTTTCAACCACCCTCAGGATCGATCAATCAATTCTGACCGGTGAATCAGTCTCAGTTATAAAGCACACGGATGCCATTCCAGATCCTCGCGCTGTCAATCAGGTTTGTATCATATAATTAGTCTAATGGGGAAATTTTAAAGAAGTATTATTAATTTTGCAAAGCTTGAAAGACAAATTAATTTTTATAACGGCTTATAACAATGTTTGAAATACATTTCTGTTGTTTTTTGAAATAAATTAATTAAGCATATTCGGTGCTATTTCTAAAATTGATAGCATCATTAAAAAAATAGAGAATCAAATTACAAACATCGCAATTCTCACTAATTATCACTTTGCATTAATTTCAAATCAATTGTGTAATTTGACTATTCATCTGACTCAATTTTGCAAATATCAATTATTTTTAGGAAACTAATGCAATTATATTTCTCTTTTTTTTTAATTATCTATTAGGACAAGAAAAATATTCTTTTCTCGGGTACAAATGTTGCTGCTGGTAAAGCACGTGGTGTTGTCATTGGAACTGGTTTGAATACTGCCATTGGTAAAATTCGAACTGAAATGTCAGAGACAGAGGAAATTAAAACACCATTACAACAGAAATTGGATGAATTTGGAGAGCAATTGTCAAAAGTTATTTCTGTGATTTGCGTGGCTGTGTGGGCTATTAACATTGGACATTTCAATGATCCAGCACATGGTGGTTCATGGATTAAGGGTGCAATTTATTATTTCAAAATTGCTGTTGCTTTAGCTGTCGCCGCCATTCCAGAAGGTTTACCAGCTGTCATCACAACATGTTTGGCTTTAGGAACAAGACGAATGGCGAAGAAAAATGCTATCGTACGTTCTTTACCATCAGTTGAAACACTTGGTTGCACATCCGTTATTTGTTCTGATAAAACTGGAACTTTAACCACCAATCAAATGTCCGTCAGTCGGTACGTATTTTTTAAAATTCCATTCCTTAAAAATTGAAGATTTACACCCCTATTGACTTAAACATAATTTTCTCTAATGAAACCCCTTTTTTAAATAGAATGTTCGTGTTTGAAAAGATTGAAGGTAATGACAGTAGTTTCCATGAATTTGAAATAACTGGCTCGACATATGAGCCAATTGGAGATGTTTTCCTAAAGGGACAAAAAGTCAAGGGCCAGGATTATGAGACACTACATGAAATGGGAACAATTTGCATAATGTGTAATGATTCCGCAATTGATTTTAATGAATTTAAACAGGCTTTTGAAAAAGTTGGTGAAGCCACTGAAACTGCATTGATTGTATTGGCTGAGAAGGTAAATCCCTTTGGTGTACCAAAAACTGGCCTTGACCGTCGTGCAAGTGCAATTGTTGTTCGTCAAGATTTGGAAACAAAATGGAAGAAAGAATTTACACTTGAATTTTCGCGTGATCGTAAATCAATGTCGTCTTATTGTGTTCCATTGAGAACAACGAAACTTGGTTCTGGACCAAAATTGTTTGTTAAGGGAGCGCCTGAAGGTGTTTTGGACAGATGTTCACATGCACGAGTTGGATCACAAAGATTCCCACTTACAACGACATTGAAAAATCGAATTCTCGATCTTACACGACAATACGGTACGGGTCGTGATACACTTCGTTGTCTTGCTCTTGCAACCGCTGATCATCCAATGAAGCCCGATGAAATGGATCTTGGTGATTCGACCAAATTCTATACATATGAGAAAGATTTGACATTTATTGGTGTCGTGGGAATGTTGGATCCACCAAGGAAAGAAGTTTTCGACTCAATTGTTAGATGTCGGGCGGCTGGAATTCGTGTCATTGTCATCACAGGTGACAATAAGGCTACCGCTGAAGCTATCTGCAGACGTATTGGTGTTTTTGGCGAAGACGAGGACACTACTGGAAAATCTTATTCGGGTCGTGAATTTGACGATTTACCAATGAGTGAACAAAAAGCTGCTTGCGCTAGAGCGCGACTCTTTTCCCGTGTTGAGCCATCTCACAAATCCAAAATCGTTGAATTCTTGCAAAGCATGAACGAAATTTCTGCTATGGTAATAATTTTTTTATCATTTATAATTTGAGGATGCTAATTAGAGTAATAATTATAAAAAAAACAAATTTCCAGACTGGTGACGGTGTAAATGATGCGCCGGCTTTAAAGAAAGCTGAAATTGGTATTGCTATGGGATCAGGAACTGCTGTTGCAAAATCAGCATCTGAAATGGTTTTAGCTGATGACAATTTCTCTTCCATCGTGGCTGCTGTTGAAGAAGGTCGTGCCATTTACAACAATATGAAACAATTCATTCGTTATCTTATCTCTTCCAATATTGGTGAAGTTGTCAGGTAAATTGTATTTCTAATTTGATTTTACAATCAATTTTGCATTTGATTTCATTTATATTTGGGGGTTTTTTTACTTGCAGTATTTTCTTAACTGCTGCCCTTGGTCTTCCTGAAGCTTTGATCCCTGTTCAATTATTGTGGGTCAATCTTGTCACTGATGGTCTTCCAGCCACGGCTCTTGGTTTCAATCCTCCTGATCTCGACATTATGAGCAAGGTAGCTTTTTTCTAATTGTTGAAAGTTGAAATGACCTTCTAAAAATTTAGTTTTGAAATACAATAAATTATTTGCAGCCACCACGTAAAGCTGATGAATCTCTCATCTCCGGCTGGTTGTTCTTCCGTTATCTCGCTATTGGTTTTTACGTTGGCGCTGCAACCGTTGGATCAGCAGCTTGGTGGTTCTTGTACAGTCCAAATGGACCACAAATGAACTATTATCAATTGGTAACAAACATTTTTTTGAAAAAAAGTTAATATAAAAATAAACAATGTTAAATTTTAAACAACATTGTTAAATTCTTGTTTTCTAGACTCATCATTTAGCTTGCATTGGAGGTGGCGAAGAATTCAAGGGTGTCAATTGCAAAGTATTCCATGATCCTCATCCCATGACAATGGCTCTCTCCGTTCTTGTTACAATTGAAATGTTGAACGCGATGAACAGGTAATTTTTGCTACTAAAGAAAAAAGGAAACTTATTTTTATTTCGAGACATTAAATGGAAATAAATTTTTAGCTTGTCTGAAAATCAATCACTCATCACGATGCCACCGTGGTCCAACTTGTGGCTCATCGCTTCGATGGCACTATCATTTACACTCCACTTTGTCATTCTATACGTTGATGTTCTTTCGGTAAGTTTTTTTAATTTAAAAAAAGGTCTTATTCCATAGAATGTATAATATTTTTAACTTTTATTTTCAGTCCGTATTCCAAGTGACGCCATTAACAATCGAAGAATGGATAACAGTAATGAAGTTCTCAATTCCCGTGGTGCTTCTTGATGAAACACTTAAATTTGTTGCCAGAAAAATTACAGACGGTGAGAATCCAATTTACACCGTTCATTGGATTGTTCTAATGTGGGCCGTGTTTTTTGGACTTTTACTTATTTGCCCCATCTAGATCATCCAGGAAAAAAAATTTTTTTCATTCTTATAAAAATTAGTTTAATTAAGGGATACTTTTCCTAAGGAAAAGGCATCCGTCTTGGACTTGCAGTTGCATTTAACTAAATGAATTTTCTCTTCGACTTGCGCATGAAGAGAGAAAAAAAAAACAAAACAACAACAAACAAACAAAGCCTAAAATTGAATTAATTAATGAAGTGTGTCTAAGTCTGAGATTTTTAACCGATTTGACCGTTACGCATGGTGTTAGTCAGTGCAAAGCAAAAAAAAAAAAAAAAAAAATATCGATCAGAACGTGGTCCACCATTGCCTGGTCGCCCATCACATCGTACCCCGGCAGATGTCGCCGCTAACTCAAATTTCACATTGTGATATTTTGAGCGATTCAAAGTACCCGCCCAATCGTATAATTGACAAAATACGATAGATGTTATTATTATTTTATACGAGTGCCTTTTAAAAAAAAGAAGAAGAAGCATTACTAACATTTTAGCACTATTCGGTTTAGACAATAAATTCTCCAAACAATTCTCTTAAACTTCAAGCCGTTCATGCCAATAATGTTTTACACGCTTATTGCTTTTCACATTTTCTAGGCTGCTCTTTCATGAACAATTTTGGCGAAGGTAAAAAAAAATAATACGATGTTCATTCACCTGTACAATTAGTGGGCATTATTCTCTTTCTACTGGCAATCGCATATTTTTATTTTGAAAAAAATATCACGTCATCTTTAATTGATATGATAAAAATAATATTATATTTCAATAAGCATAATGAGGTTTTGTAAATTCAATAGTAAATTGAATAGTAAAATTATTTTCTAGTCAATTATTTTTTTTTTTTATCACGAGAATATTATTTATTAGTTGACGAATTTAGATGTCATTTTTTGAAAGAAAATATATTCTCTTTAGTTGTAATATAAAATAATTTAGTTTTCATATTGTGCAATTTTGAGAATGATTCGATGATTATAATAAGGGAGAGAAATTTGTGGTAGTTTTTTTTGTAGATGTACAAAGAAAAAGAACATATCAATTAAAATGATGTGCATCATTTAATGAGTTGACATATAAATTTTTAAATAAGTAAAATTTTATTAACATTTTTCAAATAGAAATATTTGGATGCGAGTATGAAATGAAATATTGAATAAAATACGCTTTTTGCCCTTTAATAATAGTGAAAAAAAAATTAAAATGACAAAAAGTGTAGTTTAGAATACACTGACTAATTGCATGTTCCATCCACCGATTCTCAGCCAATTCTCAAATTTCGTACGGTGATCGTGTCTTATATCTCTATATATACAATAAATGTTTCCAACTGGCTGCTCCTTTGCATCAGTTGATCTTTATATATATATAAATATTAAAGTGTAGTGAAGATGTTAAGAATTTTTATTCTAATGTCATTTGCACTTAACGTATACTATTCGAATTTCGAGGAAGTATAAACACGTTACGCTAGCTTATATATATGTAATAATAATATAATTAGTGAGAAACGACTCGAAACATCTATTTATACGATTTTTCCTAGAAAATAAGAAAGAGGTTTTTTCTATAAAATATTTAATTGTACATAACAAAATAGCGATTACAATGCTGTACATAATGTTACGAAAGCCGTTGAGAAGTTTGTTCGTTCGTTCGCCGTGCATAATTTGTTTTTTCATTTTTCCCTTTTTTTTTTTTTTGTCAATTTAAATGGCGAAATCGTTGGTGGGAATTGGAAAATATATTTTATTTTAAATTTCGCTAATTAATTGCTGTATCTAATTAGCCACTGCTTTTAAATTATTATTTTGCCTATATATATTGTTTCATAATCCGACTGTTGAAAAGTAAATGTTTTCTGATGTTCTTTTTGGAAATATTAATTTGTCATTGTCTCTATAAGCTTTTTTGGTTTTCATTATATGGCTTTACTCGTATTCGCTCTATATATTAGGCTTTGGATGCACTTTTAGTAATAAAATGAAAATGTGAAACAAGAAGTCACTGATGATATTTCATTCACTTGTGACACATCAAAGATTGTGCATCAACTTTGAATTAATGTGCTCTAGGCTTGTAAAAACAAAACAAAAACCAAAAAAAAACGAAAAAAAGAAACCTGCATGTCTTCCTCTATTTCAAAACTTTATGCATGTATATCTTTTGATCACAGTGCGTCTCTCTCGCTTCCTATCACATCCTGACAAAGAATTTGCAATGTACTTTTTTAATAGTGTCAGAAAAATGACAAAAATTCATAAATTTTGGTAAAAATAAAAAAAAACTGTTTTTTTTCATTGAATTTTAATATAATGGGGAATTTCTATTTACTATAATTTTTATTTAGTCTGACTAAATATTTCTTTGACTACTTATAATAAATGAAAGAATTTTTTAATTTTTTTGTCATTAAATATTTTTTTTAAATAGTGAGGATTCAAAAAATTAATTCTGTCTGACTAAAATTTACTTCTACTACTGATACAGAAGTTTACAGAAATATCAACAATTATGTCTGACTGGAACTGACTGTTACTACTGCGAATTTTTAAAAACGTTTCGTCTGACTAAAATTGACTTGTACTACTGAAACTCAATATTCGGCAGATTTAAACAATATCTATCTGACTAAAATTTAGTTCCACTACTGACAGTAAGATTTTTATCAACATTTTTGTCTGACTGAAACTGTCTGTTACTACTGTTGAAGTTTTCAATCGATTTAAAAAGCTTTGTCTGACTGAAGTTGACTTGTACTACTGAACAACAAAAATTCGTTATTTTTAAAAAATATTTGTCTGATTAAAATTTACTTCTACCACTGATACCAAGACTTTAAGGAATACAAAAAATTTTCTCTTACTAAAAATTAATTAATATTATAATTAAAAATATAGTAGAGAAATTACAAATAAGTCAAATAGAGATTTTTTTCTTTTGATTTCGTTTTGTGTAAATAGAAATTTCGCATATATTATTTTTTTTGGCTGAAGTTTTCCTTTCAATTTAGAGTTTGCCTCATTTCTAAAAAAAATCAAGACTTTTAGCGCAATTAAAATATCTCAACTGAAAGGAAAAGTTTAACTCGTAATGTGTTGGAAATTATTATTTTCATCTAAATCAATAATTCATTTGTTTGAATTTTTATTTTATGAAAATAATTTTTATTTCCTAATATTTGTAATTACTGGTTATAAAAAAATAATTTTCAATCTTTTCTCTCGATCTATTTGCATGCTTGATAATTTTTAAGTGCTTGATAAAATTATCGTAATATTATTTTTTTTTTTAATTGTATGATATATTTATTGCTCAATCATAATGGCAACTATTTAAAATTCCATTTGCAATGTTTTTTTCCGAGAATTTTGTAAGATTTGGTATATATCGAAATTGAATTATCTTTTTAAAAATATCTTACAAAAATTTATAAATATATTTAAAAAGGAGAATCTTTTCGATTTATCGAATCTTCTATATGTAAATTTATTATTACACAAAATTGATAAATTATTTTGGGGTAGAAAAAAGGCGTGAGTTTTTCAGAACGATTTTTGATGAATTTTTTAGTGAATGATTGGTTGTATAAGTGATTGTTGGAGGAAGAAAAGAAAACTATATGAGTGTGTAAAGTAATTAATTTTTTTTGTTTTTAACTTTTATTTTCGTCAATTTTTATTTTTCATTTCGAAGTAAAATTTTTGGAAATAATTTTTTTTTCATCAATTAAAAAAAAAAAGTTTTTAAAGACTTGTACTCATTGATATTGTTACAAAAAAAACGAGATAATTATGTGTGAAAGAGACGGTTGAATTTTAATTTAACTCAGCCGTGAATATTATCTGGAAAAAAAGTTTTGAAAGAACACGCGAGAATTACGCTTTATGAAAAGGAAATTCCGTTTTCTCTTCACTTTGCTTTCAAAATTCCGGAAAATTATTTAATCGGGTTTTAATTACTTCTGTCTTGGAAATATAAATTTTTTTTTCCCCTTCTCTTGGAATATTTTTTTCTTTTATTAATGAACAAGTCTTTTGAACTTATATTTAAAAAATTAGTAGACAGTAATTTAGTACTTGCATTTGTGCGCTTTGCTTGCTGGAATCTTTTTATAAAAACTGGTATATCATTTTACATTTAATATATTTATTGTCTCAAAAAATAATCGTGAAAAAAATGAACTCTTTTTTTATTTGTCAGTACTGCATTTTTTTTTTGTATTTACTATTTTGTAAAAAATTTTTTTTATAAATTCGCAAAAGAAATTAAAATTCGAGTTAAACAAAAATTTAATGACGAGTTTTATTTTTATTTTTTTGAGAAAGGAATCTTTGTAAAAATTGACAGAATATTTTTGCGTGATTAAGTGAAATTTAAACGTGTGTAAATTTTACATAAAAGAGGATTACTGTTTATTCGTTGACATATTAGACTTGGTAATGCAGAAAATGTATTAGAACTCGAGCATGTAAATTCACTTTGAACTTCCGAAGGTGCGTGACCTAATTTTGAGCCCCAGTAAACGTAACAAGACTGATGACGGGGTTTGAGGAATGGGTCGACCACACGAGACACATTCGCACGAGCAATGCGACTCAAAATGTCTCATATTCTCAGCTCGAATTGAATTTCGAAAATTAAATTTTGCCGAGTTCGCCAATTTCAACTCGAAAATCAAGCTAATAAATGCCCAATTAAAACGAAACTTACACATTAAAAATTTTAAGTATAACACTTGCAGCTTATTATCAGTAGCTTATTATATCAATCCTATTTTAGAAAAAATGTCTCATAATCTTTTTTGGTTTTTTTCCTTCTTTTTTTTGGGGGTGGAAAAATGATTGAGATTTTGAGTACCGCGGTTATAAATAGTAATCGGTACAAAGATTCTTCAAATCGATATAGTAAATTTATAATATTATTGTGAGAAGCAATTTATCGTTTTTCATGTATATTTAGAGTTATAATAATAATAATAATGTTAAATAATTAAGGCATGATACTTTGGCACGGCCAAAACTCAACTTAATAGAGGGGGGGAAAATTGAAGAAAAATCGCATTATTTTTTTTTTTTGCAAATGTCGTCTACAGAAAAATCTTCATTTTTTTTTATTTCATCTCTTGGACGGGAGGGATTCGATTTTTTTTTTCTCTTTTTAAATAGCTTCATTCGAACAATTTTTATGAGCGTTTTGACACATTCTTGACGTCACATGTCGAGACATTTTTCCTATTATAGAGAAAAATAATCATTTCTCGAAAGTGAAATTCCAAAAGGAATATTGAAAATTTTTAATGTCTTGAAAGGTGACGTTTTTATGTGTCACGTGATCATAAAAAAAGTTTAATATTTTTATAAATATATATTAGATTTTAGATTGATATTATGAGTCAAAATAATTTTCTGTTTTTTTTTAATTTTAGTTAAATTTTGAGAAAAGAAAAAGATAGTTTTAGATTAATTTGAAAATGAAATATAAGATTGAAATCAATTTGCGAAAAAGGTCTCCGGAAATGAAAAATTGGGGTAGACAAGTTTTATCTGAAAAATTGAGAAAACTAATTTTAGAGCTGCCTGCGGATAAAAACGGTAGCAGTACTGAAGACAATATTGTGATTTTATACAGAGCTACGAATTTTTGTATAATCAATTAATTAAGCATTAACAAATAGGGAGTTTTTTGATAAATTTCTAGGAGGAAATATCACATTTTTTAAAACAATTTTAACAATCTGATCGTCCAAGAGGGGGAAAAAAATAATTAGAATATAGACTAGAAATTTTTTTTTCTGTTTTTTCAAATGTTTGACGATAAATTTTAACAAAAAAAAAAAATCTTTTAAAATGCTGTGCTCAATTAATTGCTACGAAATGTGTTTGATCGAAAGCAGACACATTGTGCGTTCTTGAGTCCAGGAAGTACCTATTATTACAAAATATTAAATAAATGAATAAATATATAGATATATTGAAATATAATAATATATTTATATATTATATAAAAAATATAAATTTATTAATTAAATATGTAAATTTATATTTATATATTACATAAATATATAATTATATGTATATTAGTTATTACAGAGTTTGGCAAAAGTGCGATATGTGTGTATGGGTGTGTGTTTGTGTGTGTGTGTATGTGAGAGAGAGATTTTCTGTAAACGTCATCAAAATGCCAATAATGTGGCTCCAAATGATCCGAGCCCGGTGTCAAATCTGAATTTATTCAATGACCTTTTACCTCTCAACGGGATCGTTAGTACCCGATTTAATTATTGTAATTTTGTATGCAGAGCACGCATCTATAATATTACGAGATACCAGTCAAATTGCCTCTTATCAGCCAATTATTGAGAAAATGCTTTTTTTGCGAATTCCAAATTAATAAATTCTAAAATAAATTATATCTTTACAAAACAGTGATAACATTTTTTTTATTGACAAAATTCTTAAATAATATAAACAAAAATTAATTGTCATTAATTGTTTTTATTTTGTGAAATTCGATTCGTAAATTAAATTATTTAACTAATTTAATTTATTTTTTTTATTTATATTTAATATATTGACGAATAAGATGGCTTTTTCGACTAAATCATGATTTGAAAAAAGATGCGATCTGTATTGTGTATATATACATATATATTTGGTATGTATTGTCATGGGATTCATTGATGAGTCAATAGCGAGGCTCGACGAATTTTTTTTTTAAACTAGCAACGATTTGTTTATTTATCGTCTTATTTATCTCTAATGTACATCATGGAATGCCAGGATTAACTGGAAAAATATTATAACAAGTGAAAGTATAAGGATTATTCCTCTAGTGCATTGCCTACTTGTTATAATAAAAAATAATAATAATAATAATAATAATAATAATAATGTGTTACTAATGCCTGTTTTTAGTCAATGATCGGCCTACTAATAAGTTCATGCGGCTATTTTAAACAATCCTTCATTATACCTGCTGGCAACAAACTTCAATACAGTTATGAAATTATTTTCCATTTTTTTTCTACTTTTAGCTCCTATCAATAATTCAATCAATATCCCAAGAAAAAATTTTTGTTTTCAAATTTTTTTTTTCATTTTTTGTTTTATACTTTTTTTTATTATATTTTTCTCTACTTTTATATAGTTTTTGTTTTGAAATATGTTTAGGTATTTTATTCATTTAATCCTTTGTTTTAAATTTACTACTGCCAACTTTTTTAACCTTTCGTCCACCTAAAATTGACTTGTACTACTGAAACTCAATATCTGACAAATTTAAACAATATTTGTCTGACTAAAATTTAGTTCTACTACTGACACGGAATTTCATAATTGATTAAAAAAAAATTAAAAAAACATTCTGAATATTAATGACATTTTTTATTAATCAAAAAAAAGGAGAAAAAAACTTGTAATATAATTTGCAAAAATAATTTTTTCTTGGGAATTATATAGAGGCGTTGATTTTCTTTTCGTTTGAATCTTTCTGCTTTCGTGCGCTCTTCCTTTATCCTTGATACCATATAATTATTCAGGTGTGGAATTACTTTATCCAGTCTCATCAATTTTTATTACGACTAAAAGTTTCTAAAGTCTCATGTAGCATTTTTAAAAGTTTTTAAAACCATTGTTTTATCATTTCAAAGAAAGAAACGGATCTTTCTTTTGAGACTTTTTATTCTCCCTTTATATAATTATTTTTCTCAAATTATTTTCTTAAAAAGAAGAAAATAAAATAAATTAATATCACTTTTATTTTTTTTTTTTTGAATGATTCTGGATTTTGTAATGTCAGACGAATAATAATTCGAACAATTTTTAATTTTTGCTTCGATTTAGTCATTTATTTTAAAAATTATTGTCTATTTTTATAAGATAACATGTTGCGCAGCTAATTACATACAGATCAGGGGTCACATTAAAATGTTATTCTTTGCCATATTTTAATCAAATTTAAATGTTTTCTCACAATTTCAAATGTTTCAATTATTTATTGAATGTTAGTTAATGGTACATCTGTGTCTTTATTTTCTTCTCAAATCTTATTGTTTTTTTTCATAATGCATGAACAGGGATGTAAGTTTATTGTCTAAAGAATTATTTTTTAAATATTATAAAAAAAAATAATTGAATTACATTATAATTTGTAATTTTTAAAAATTTGCAAGAAATTAAATTTAAACAATTTCTTTGCACTTACATCTCTGAAATCAATTGAATTAATGTTGAATATACATTTTTTATTTATATACATGGTTACATGAAAATCCCGAATGGCAAGATTATCCAAAAGTTGACCCCGATCGTAGCTTTTCGTTTTTCTTTGCTATATTTCCTGCCTGCTGAACTGTTAGTCCACTCCGTCCAAAAGGAAAGCAAGACTTCGAGGTCGTAACTCTGGATTTAAAAAGGTAGAGTATATTTATTTCTATTACGTTTAATTTTTGGCGCTGCTATATTGTAAATTTTTGTCAATTTATGCTTTTTTTTGCATTTAGAAATATTTTTCAAAATGATTATTCACAAATATATCATATATGAAATATTTCTGCTTTAAAAATTTACATTTACTTATATAGAGAAAAGTTTTCTCATATTGTTAATAAAAAACAATTTTTCTTTATTCCATCATTCCATATTGGAAACAAATTGATTCATATCGATTTCATTTTTTTAATTTGCAAAAAATATTAATTTTTTGTATAATTGGAAAAATTTAATCACATTTCACTTTTTTTTGTAAAAAAATTTAATAAGTATAACTTTTTTAAATTTTATTAATAATTAATTTTTTAATTTAATTAATAAATTTTGTAATTTTCTATTTTATTGAAAGTTAAAAGAATTTCAGTAGTGGCAACGAATTCGAGCTTTAATGAGATTTGAGAAGATTAATTAGAATGGATTCAATTTTCTTTTGCAACTATCGTTTCACATAGTTCTTTTTGAAAAATTAGTAATTCTCTATTTATACTCTAATGATAAATGATTCACTCCACTTGGAAAATGAGAATAATTTATAAAATTACCCGGCTTTAACTTTATAATTTAAAGCGATTTAAATATAACTTGAAACATTCTCTCGTAGAAATATATAGAGTGAAATTTGAAAAAATTTTCCACAAAATTTATATACGTTTTTAATTGCAATTCATTCACGATGTTCTATATAAATTTTAATTTGAATAAAAATGAAAATTGTGAGAATATTTATTTTTAATTGCAAAAAAAAGTTTATATATATATATATATATCAATTAAGAAAAAGAAACAAATTTTTAATTTAATAAAAAAATTTCAAAATCTCAGTATAATGAAATTATGAAAAATGTCATAAAATTATGAATGAGTAAAATAGTACAAAATTTTTTTCCAGAAATTCATATATAAAAAAACTTATTTTCCAGTTGAATGTTTCTGGTGCTCCATCAAAAAATATATTTCGTGTATTATCAAAATTTTCTAGATTTATGCATTTTACAAAAACAGTAATTTTTGTTGATTCTGGGTTCTTGTTAAGATACGAGTATACACTACTTTTATTAAAAAAGAACAAAGGTTCATTTATTTCAAATTATGCAAAAGAAAATTGAAGTTCGAAAAATCGCAAATTTCTAATTTGTAAATTAACAATGACAAATTATAGAAATTCAATAATAAGTAATTAGTTATTAATACTTTCATTTATTTTCATTTTTACAAAAAAACGAAAATAGAAATTCCGTTAGCTGTCGAGAAACTTTGACTTTCATTTTTACATTCCTTTTGATTTCGATTGGAATTATTCACTGAGAAATGAAAAATGAAAATGAAAGTGAAAACGAAAGTGAAAGTGAAAGTCAAAATGAAATTCGCATTTTTTTCTTTAAGACGTGGTTCATAATGAAAAAAAATACGATTGCGATTTTCACTGACACGCTAGGCAACTAACGAGCCGACACAAACGTGAGCAAATAAATTCTATTTCACTCAGAGAATTCAGTATAGCTTTTCGCTTTTAGTGCCAAAAAGGAGAAATGTTAAATAGGCCAGTCAAGATAACCCAGTTAAAACCATGTGTTCACAGTTGCACCAGCCGTCAAGCCAACGAAGTAAACTCCAAGCCGCCGCTTGATTCGGCACCTGCAACCACGCACAGGAGATAAACATATATTGTCAAACAATTCACAACATTTGCGTGTGGCAAACTGAAAAAAAAAATTTGCGAAAAAAAGAAACCAATCCCTCTTTAAACAATAATCTCCTCGTCGTCAAATAATGACTATCCTTCCAGACTGAATATGTCCCTTAAAAAAAAATTTTATAATATAAAAAAGAAAACAAAGGCAAAGAGAGAAGGACAATGTTTCTTTTTTATTTATTTTTTTTCAATTTTAAAAATCATCCTTCCTTTAATTTCCCACATTTCTCTCTTTTCCTTCGATTAAAAAAAAATAATAATAATAATAGCACAGGGACACTTCAAGTGGTGATATACAAGCAAAGACTCTCGCTGATCAAGGACCAAGAAGGGGCCGAGGATTGATGGAAATGTTCAACTCAAAATAGTATTTCTATATATAGATTACAATTGTAATTACAATTATTGATAAATTGTTTCCGGAGAATAAAATTAGCGAATAGAGTGGGGAGATGAGAATGAGACAGAAAAGGCAAGTCTATCTCTCTCATTCTCATCTCTCCATCTTAAAAAACTACTCTCCATTTAACACTGTCAAAAAAAAAAAAAAAAACAAAATACAATTTATTGTATACAATTTTATTGTAATATCCAAATAATCCACAAGTGTATAATAATTTAGATAAAATGAGATTTTTGGGTCCCAGGACTGTTTTCTCTCTCTCTCAAAAAAAAGATCTCATTCTTTCCCGAATTGATCTATTTATATAAATATTTAATAATAATAATATATAGATATCATTTGTGGTGTCATTGATTATGGCGTTTGCAAATCATCCTGAGAGGTTTAATTCAATCATTGTGTGTGTATATTATGTGTGTTACAGTGGGCGAGGTTGTGGTCGACAAGTGGTAAAGCCAACACGCAATATCATCCATGCCAATTATTGCACACTGTCAAAAGCTTCCCCGTTATTCGCAAGGGAGATAACTCGCGCCATGATAGGCTACAGCTACTGTCGCCGATAATCACAGCCAACACGATAATCCAACAAGCAATATTCTAATGTTATATAACCATAATAATCGTATGCGGGACGCTAGACGCGGGAGAAATAACTCCTATTTTATGTCTAATAAGCTTTTTGATAAAAAAAAAACATTAATCCTTTAATTAAAAAAATTCCAATTATTAATTTTTCTTCTTCACTGCAAAAAGAAGGTACTAAAACAGTACCGATTTTAGGTATCTAAATAGAACCAAATAACAATTTAGTACCTAAAGTTGGTATTAAATTAATACCTTTCGTTTTACAGTACTAAGTCTGCTTATCTTCTTTTTTTTGCATTCTCATTTGATCTGCAAAGCAAAAAATTTTAGGTTATGTTTATGATAGTTCTACATTCATCATAAGCATAACCTATAATTTTTTTTTTGCATTTTATTCTTTTAAGTTTTTGAAACTTTTTGATTAAATTTGTTTTTTTTAATATCTTTTTTTTCATTTCTTGTCCTCTTTATTTAAGCAATGTTTTCTCGAATTTTTTCTTTCCCTTCTTTATCCGCTTACCGTTATATAACCACGCAGCTTTCATACAGACGTACATGCAACCCGTACACTTTACAGCTTTTTCCACTTTTATAAGCATTATTTTTAAGCCACCATAGTCGACCAACCACATCATCGACCGTCGCCCTTCTTTTTTTTTCTTTCTCTCTTTTTTTCAGTAAAAAGTCCTGTTCGTTGGATTTTGCAAAGTAACACCATTTTCACAAACTCTTCACTTACTTTAAGTTTACATGGGACTTTTAGAACTTTTTTTTTCTTTTTCTTTTTATAAACGAATAGTTTTTTTTTAAAGAAGAAAATTTCGACCAATATTGTCATTATAGGATAATAAAAAGAAAACTGATATTTAAATTTCCCCGCTTAAATTTTGGCGGGAAATTCAAATTAAAGTCGATCGAATTTATTTTTTACAAATGACAATATTATTATTAATATTTTGTCAATGAATTATATCGCAAAAGAAACCATACGTCTCAGTATCATTTGTGCACATATTCGTTTCATTATAATATCAAGATTATTTATAGTTTTCGAAATATTAACATTGCTGATATCCAATCGTTTCCAATTAATTTTGGCCTTTGGAAAACGAATGATGTTCAGTTATTAATAATAATAAAAAAGAAACCTATAGTTGACTAGTGGCCGCGTGGATTAAAGGAGTCGATTGTTCTCTCAAACACATCAATTGAGGTTCGAGTCCCCAAGGCTGACAAAATTTTTTAATATAAAAAAAAATGATAACTATCGTTCATATCTTTGTTGTTCCGTCTTGTTCCTTTATCAGAGGGGATATAATAAAGACGTATATATATATAAATAATTAATGAAATCATGGATTCGAAGGAGATGTCTTCTTTCAACTTGTAAAAAAGGATGGTTACAATGGTTTATACGAGAATGTTTTAGTCACGCGAGAAGTGTACCAACGAGTGCCCTTCCCCCCCTTCACTACAGAAAAACTCGTGTGCAAATTTGATAATCTCCATCTTATATATATTATTAGTGATATTTTCATTTAAATTAATGGAAATTCTAGACGGATCTCGCGCATCAAGATCCGTCATGCGCTGGAAAAGACCATTTTCACATTTTAATAAAAAATAAATAAATGTGAAACATAAAATATCCGGGGATTATTTCCCCCCACCCCCATCAAAGGTCAACATCAAAGAGAAATAAATAATTAATTGTTAAATTATAAATAAATAATTAGGCTCGAAAGTTTTATCTTACAAGTAATGTTACAATGATAACAAATCTTGTACGAGACAAATTATTGTAAATATATACATAATATATATATATTATATATATATTATATGAAAAAAAGTAGAAAGAAAATATATATTTTAAACCAAGCCAGTATAAAAAGTATACATACAACGTTGTTACATATATTCTTTCTGCTACACTCTGATTACTGCACTCTTATTATTACTATAATTATATTTATTATTATTATTATTACTATTATTATTATTATTATTATTATTATTTACTATTCTTAATTATTATTAATATTATTCTTACAATTACGATTATCATTCTGTCAACCAGGTGAACATTACAGTAGAATTAATACATTTTTAGCACAAAGTTTTTATAATTTAACTTAAAAAAAAATAATTTTTTTCATAAATAAAAAATTATTTTTCGAAGACATAAAAATTTTATATTTTTACATTTTATTTTACATTTAATTCTTTGTTACACTTTGTTATAGTAAGTAACACTTTGTAACTTGTCATTTGTTTTGCTTTATTAAATAAATTTCTAAGTCTACAAAAATTTTTGTTATTGTTAAAATATAAAAAAAAAAATTTTTAATTGATTCCTCATGCAGAATTACATGATCTGTGATTTTTCACTTTGTGTTTGATTAATGTAATAATTGACTGTAATGTCACATATAATAAATAAAATTAATGTAATGATTTCTGCTAAATCATTAAAGAAAAAAAAAACGTCCCATTAGTGCGGACGTTATAAACGACAAAAATTCAAGGAATAAAGTTATGTTGACATTTCCTAATTTTTTTTTTGAGTTTAGTGACCTTTCTGTAAAAAAAATAAAATTAATAACCAATAGAAAAATTTTTTAAAAATAACATTTAAAATCTTTATCTCTTTCTTATAGAGTTAAAATAAAAATTAATAAAAATTCAATGACAATTAAAATTTAATTAATTAAATAAAAATTATATTAATAAATTATTTGCGTATATATCTTGACATGTATTTTTAATCATAAATATTAAATATCATATTTGTCATCAAATTTTAGTAATAATTATATATTATTATTGAAAAAAAGTTATTAAATCAATTTAATAGAATTTAATAAATTATAAAATACATATTTTATATAAAATAATATATAGAAGAATAAAATATATAAATCTGTATACAGAACAATAAAATATAAAGTTATACAAAAATTTGCTTATTATTAGTGACAAAAAAATATAATTTCGCGAATTCCGTGACCTAATTTCGCGAAAACTGTGATCTAATTTTGCGAATTCCGTGTCCTAATTTCGCGGAATTCGTGGAATTTGATTACGGTTCTGCGAATTTCACTAATTATATATTATTATTAAAAAGAATTTTTATTTTTAATGAAAAAATTAAATAATAGAACAATGAAAAAAGAGATTGTTTTTTCCCTTTTAAAGGGAAGTTACACGAATAGAAAAAATAAGTCATTGAAAAAATATTTATCGATTTTAAGCGGCAATGCACATTTTACTGAAACTGAAAACTTTTTGAATTTTTCCAATATTCAGAGATCTTATTATATTGACAATATTCTTCAAGAGCATTAATTAAAGAACGATAGCTGAATTACTTAAACGTTTAAAGTAAACAAGTCACTTTTTTCTCTTTTAAAATTTCGAGAATCATGCTTCCATTTTATATTCTATTGATCTTATTCCTTTTAACTGTTTAAACATTTCATTTTTAATTATAATTCAATAGAGAGAAATATGCTTTATTATTTATATATGTTAAAAACAAAAAAACATAATTTTAAAAATTTCGTGATATTGAAATTTGTTATGTTAATTATTTTTTTTCAATTTCACAGAGTCGATATTCACGTAGTCGTTCAATTGTTTTTGATAGTCTCTCATTTTGTCGTGTGAGTTCTTTGATTTTCTGCTGATTTGAATTGAATTGCTGCGTCATGTCTACTTCAGGGTTATCCTCAGATTTCACGACTGACTTCATTCGTGAATAACTGTTAGAATTGGTTTTTGTCAACTTTTCAACACTTCCTGTGCATCTGCAATTCTGATTATTCCTGTTAGTCAAGGATTTTCTCGACACTTTCTCTTCTAGTTTTGCAATTCTACATTCAAATTCTCTTTTTATCTGAAAATAAAATTTGTTTCTCATCAATTTTTTTGTTCCTTTTTTTTGTCACATTTTCATAATTCAGAAAAATTGAATAATTACTTTTTCTTCATTAAATATGTATAAGGTTTGTACTCTCCACTAGAAAGTTTTGTTACTTTCTGAGTGAATGTAACTTTTTATATATATCATATTATTAGAATTGGAAATTGATTGTAAAAACGAATTTTAAAATATTTTATAAATTTCAATATTTTTTGTTTATTACTGAACTTACATTTATATTTTCCAGTTGTAAATTACTTATAACATCATGTAAATTTTGAATCTCGAAATTTGATTTCTCTTTATTAATTTCTAATTGATTGTTCAGTGTATCAATTGTTTTTTCCAATGAACTTTTTGTAATAATCACTTCTATTAATTGTTTCTGTATTATTTGATTACACTCTACTGTAAAAAAAAAAGAATAGAGATGTAATAATATTTTTATTTGAATTAAAAAAAAGAATATTTTAATATTATTAAGTTTGTTGTTGTTTAAAAACTAATTATGAAAAAACTGAAAAATTATTATTAAATAGCAAAATATATATTGTTCTTTTTAAAGAGAACAATTTTTCTATTCGTTTGTACGAGGAGAAAAAGAAGACTGAATGAAATCGTAAAAGGATTAAAGTAAAGCTTGCAACAGGAATCATTTGACATATATATATTTTATATCTCATAATGTATGGAGAGTATAACTCATAAAACTTGTGCATTTTACATTTTTACTTTACATGCAGCATAAATATTATATTCTCTCTCTTTTTTTTCTCTACCATCTTGATTTTAAGACAAACATAAATTTTTTTTCTTATCATTTGACACGACAATTCCATTTCCTTTTTTCAATCTAAAAATTGATCTTTTTTGGGAGGATTTTTTTTTAAGAAAAATACTTTTCTTTTTTAAATAAATTTTTTTTCTAGAGATTTATTAGTTTTAGTTAGATCCTCATTAGAAAAAAAAATGTTTAACCCAGAGGTTTAATTTTACAAACCGAGACTAGACATTTGTCCTCTTGTTTCCTGCAATTCTGTAATTAAGTCAATGTTTTTTTGCTCTGTTTCGAGTTGATTGTTTCCCACTTTTTCCATTTCAGACACAACTGTAAAAGTGGGTCAATGCGAAAAGCGTTTTATAAACTTTAATCGATTTTCTGATTAGGATATATTTATTTTAATTAAATTAAAAAAAGAATTTTTTTTTAATTACCATTTTGTATTTTTTCTTCAAGATTAACATTTTTCAATTTTAATGTGTCAAGTTCAGATATTTTGCTTTTCAAATTCACTTGTAATCTCTTCATAGTGTTATCGTGATCCCTTTTCACCGATTCGCTGATTCGCGCGTTATCTTGCACGAGATTCAGAATGATCCTCACGTCCTGGTTTATTGCTTCCGCCAGTTTGCTCATTACAGCCCATTGGCTCTTATCCCAGAGACCAAACTTGCTAAGTTCCCTGAAACGGATTTTCATCAGTTGATCAGTGGAACTTCAATTTATTACCTTCTTCTTTTTTGTCCTTCTTTTAAAAGTTTAAAAATTTCAAAAACTACTTTTATAATGCACAAAAAACTAATAAAAAAATTTTTTTTTTTAATTTTTAATTATAATTTTAAAGTTGTCTATTAAAATTTCTATTTCTATTAAAATTTGATTTTTATTTAGCCCAAAAATTTTTACTATTCACAGTAGAAAATTGAATTTTGTTTTTTTATTTTAATACCTTTCCTTGGCAGCAAAAGATTGGAGTTTATATTCGTGAAACGTAATTTCGATTTCTTTTACCAGGTCGAGAATCGTAGACGAGGCGAGGGAACAACTTCGACAATCTTTGAAACAACCGCTGACGGCCTGGGAACCTCGTGAGATTTTCTCGGTGAACGATTTGTCGTCCATGTCTTTCATCTTCGCCTAGATATGCATTCCACTCGAATAAATGCACGGCATAAGAGTCTAAGTGGTTCGTCCCTCGAAAGACTCAAGATTTCAAATTTTATTTTATTTTTTTTTACTCCTGAAGACTTCTCCAGTCGGTCGTAAAAAAAATGTCAGAAATAAAAGCGCAATTTTTTTTTTTATAAAAAGGCATTTTCCATCGATATATGAAAAATTTTAAATTTGATTTTTGAAAAAAGAGAAATTTGTTTTTCAATAAAAAGAATTTTTAATGTGTAAAGAATTTATTGATTTAAAAAAAATTGATACATACAATTTTTATGGACTCGGGAAATAATTTGAGTCGTTGCCAAACGAGTTGAATGATAGCGGCTATTGACATAAATTTAGGCCTCTTAAAATTTTTAATTTCTTTTGTATAATCCTCCAAGGTATGATAAATATCCATGAATTCAACGATAAGCCGCAAGACAAAATTAATTCTGCTCATAAAACATGTCATATATGTGTAAATATATTGCACATAATTTAGCATGAAATTCAATAGATATTGTTATTGGTAATTTTTTTTCAATATCGCGACAAAATAAATTAATGAGTTTATGTTAATTAAAGGGGCATTTATTATCAAAATTCATGATTTTAATTATTTATAAATTGTTCTCTATTTAAAAAAAATGAACTCGAATAGATAATATAACTTGAATTTTTACATTTAAAAAAAAAATATATCTGATGAGTACTCGAGGGAAATGAAAATGTTATATCACTTGCAAGATATGCAGATGCAATAATGAATTGCACTTGTTATAAATTACAGTATGTACAACGAATCTCGAGAGTAACATTTCTTTTTTTTTTCTCCCACTCCCTTTTTCACTTATTAGATTCGTGGAATAATTAGAATCTTCTGGATTATACAAAACGAATGAAAGGGTTAATTAGGTGAAATAACGTTGTACATTTTGAATAAGAGTTGGAGTACTAGGAAATTTTTCATTTTCATTATAGTTTATTAACTTTCAACTAGATTCAAATATAAAAAAAGGTTCTGAAGAAATTATTTTACTGAAATATTCATATTTTCTTTATTTCTGAAATCTATAAATTTTTTTAATATAAAGAAAAAATGATTGAAAAATTTATTAATAAATATTTTTATGGAATTTAATTTAATATAAAAAAGCGCATAGGAAAATTTATTAAAAATATTTATGTAATAAATAAATTGCTAATAAATGTTATGTATATAGGAAAATAAAAAAAAATAGAGAAATCAATAAATTGATTGAAAAATAGTGATTGAAAATCATAAAAAAGAAAAACTTGATATGGGCATTTAAAGCGTTGAGTAAAGGAAAATAGAGAGAAGAGTCGAAATCGAGTCATAAAATACGAAGTAAAGCACCTGTCGTAAGCAAGCTCAAGGAGCAGGATGTACATTTCGCCTGCGGTTCCTTTGTGAAGCTCTAAAATTTCCAGGACGTTAATGTTCCTACAATTTTTTTTTGGGAATTTCCATGACTGATGTTCGATATTTCCAATCAATGGATAAATTTCATTACTAACATTAACTAATTCTTTCAAATCACCAATAATTGACATTAGAATGTAATTATTTAATTTTGGCATTATTATTATCTAATATTGGTGGAAATATTAAATTTACACTGGAATTACTTTTAGGTTGAGTAAACAACTGACAGTTTAAATTTTTAATTTGTTACTTCCTTCATAATTATAAAAAAAAAATCGAAAAATGTCAAAGGAATTAAGGAAAAGGAAATAATTATTGACACTAATTTTACGATTTTAAATATACTTTTTTTTAAGAAACAATATATGATACAGATATATATTATAACTATATATATGTATAATAAAATTCCATACATAGTAATAAGTGTGCATGTTATTTACAGTATTAATAATATGTATACATGAGTATATTGTGAGCTCATTTTTTTTTTGTATTTTTCACATTTTAAATACAGGCTTTTATAGACTGATTGTTATTTTATTTTATATATATATAGAATAAATGACATTTAGTACATTCTTTTTTGAATAAAAATATGCAATAAACTTTTTTTTTATAAATATTATTCACGCAAAATTTCATACAATCGTAACAATTCTTATAAATTCTAACCTGGATTAAAAATATTTTTTTTTATATTGTAAATAAAATAAAAATAGTAAAAATTACGAACAGTAACATTTAATTAGAATTTTTTTTAGAATTTTTCTGAAAAGGCAGTTTTTTTAAAATCAATTAACAACCAGTCCAAAGAGCAATAAAATTCTGTAAAAGTTTTTTTTTTCATTTTATAACTTCAAGTAGTGTGTTAAATATTTTAGATAAAATGCGCATTCAGAAAATAATTAAAACTCTAATAAATTGATTGTGCAAAATTGTTTTGAATAAACTAAATATTTTGAGCAAAATTTTTTTTTAAATTTTCATTATTTATTAATTTTTTTATAAATTTTCTTTAATTTCTATAATCAAAAATAGTTAACATTCTTTTATTTAATTAAATAGAATTTAAATCATTATTTTCGCCAAAATTTTGGTATTTAATTGAATAAATTAAAAGAAATTATTTTTTGCGTTAAATTGTTAATTTTTACTTATTATTTTGCTAAGAATTCAAATATTTCCTAGTAAAAGTTAATATTTGTATTTTTCATGAAATTTATTTAATTACATGTGTTTATATTCTCATCAGACAAGAATGTTTTATTTTAATTAAAAAGAAAATAATAATTAATACCTATAAATTTTATTGTACAAATATAAAAATCTCTTTTGTTGATTAAAAATTTTATACATAATGCAAATAAGCAAAATTAATTAATATTATTATTTTATTTAATGATATAATCTTGTTTACTATCGAATCATGTTTCATAAAATTTATAACAATATTTTATTGGAATAATAATATTATAATAATGATTTAATAAATGAAAGGACCTATTAACAATGATAATTATCGGATAATATTTTTTATTTCGAAAAGTGCTACAATATTAATTTATTTTTTATTTAAAAAAATTAATGTTTAATTTTTAGAAAAGGATAATATAAAAAAAAATTCAATTAATAAAACTAATAATAATATAAATTACGTATATATTAAAATTGCAGTATTGTAAAATATCTATTAAGTTTTGAAAAAGATGTCTTTTAATTTAAATTACATATACACTTTATATACAAGTTTCTATACGATTACATTTTCACAAACATCGCTTTTCTTCTATATCACTTAGAAGAAGAAAAAAATTGGATGTTGTTGGTTTTTTTTTCGATTCGCTCGTTATCGCTTCTTTTCTACCGTTTAATGCACTCATGAGTAAATTCTTCAATTGTACGGAAGTTCTTTTACAAATTTTTCCCTTTACACAAAAGTATATTCGCTCATGTATTATTTTTTTTTTCCTTTTGAAGAATTTAATCACTCTTGCGGGAGTCTGAAATGATTCACAATAGGGGAAGAAGAAAAAAAAATTAACTCTGTTTTGTATAATAGAAATTTCTTGCTGATTCATATTTTTTTCCCCAAAAAGCTGTATATTAAATTAAAAAATATTTTAATAGTAGTTCAAAAAAGAATTTAGGGTAATATAATTGAATAAAATAAGATTTATTTCATAGAATTAAATAAAAGAAAAAGTTTCTCAGAAATATTTACCTAAATCTTAAAGATACGAGATAAAGTATTTTATATTTTATCTTTTTATCTGTAAAAGCAGTTTTCTTTTGTTCCAACACAGATAAAGGGGTATATTTTATTTTCATTAAAAGCATGAAAAATTCTGTTTGACTAGTAAATGTATATTCCATGTATTTGATATTTTTCCTTTTTTTTTTAAATAAAAGTTTCGGTTATAATAAATTCAGTGACTAAAAGTTCATTTTTAAATTACTCCATTTATTTTTTTCACAATATTTTTTTATTATTAACGCTGTGTATAATTAAATATTCCTCGTATCAAAAGATTTGGTATAAATCCCTGAAACTTTTATTCCCTTTTTTTTAAATTAAAATTAAATGAACATTTTCTAGATTATATTACAAATATAATTAAATAAATTTCATAAACAATATCTTTTATTTTTTTGACAATTGAAACAGGAATTAATTTTTCTATTTTACATTTTTTTTAGAATCTGAACTTTAAGAAATTTTATTTTATTCACAATACTTTATTTGTAAATAAAGTATTATGGAAAAATTATATTATTAGAAAAACATTCGTTCATTATTATTATTGCTTTAATAGCACATTAAAATTTTATTCTTTTTAGAATTTATGATAAAATTGACAGAGTGCTTTTAATGAAATAATTAAAAGAAAATGGAACAAGAAATTATAAAAAAATATTCTTTTGTGATAAGTTTTTTTGCAAATAAGGATTTAAATAATAAATTAAATAATTAATGATGAGATCATTTGGTTTTCGACTGGTATTCTTTGAGAAAAGTTTACAGTAAAGAAATAGTAATTTAGAATGTTGTGATTTTTAATTTTATGGAATTTATTTAGTTTTTAATTTTCAATAATAAATAATTTGATTTTCAATAATTGTTCTTATTGAGTTTTTGTTCTCAAAAATTAGTTTTCATATGCAAAAAATGTAAAATCTCAAATTATATCTTTGAATATATGGGAGGATATTAGAGATTGCGTGACCTTTCATTCAACAGTGCAAGCAATCAGCATTCGCACAATCTGCCTGATAGGTGAAATAGTCAATTAGCGAATCGCGTAATCTCTCCAATGAACTGGACAGTCAATCAGCGTTTGCGTATACTCTCGAGTGAACAGAGCATGCCTGAATGAATCTTAAATAATGATTGAGATGCGCGAACGAAATCATTAATAATAATAAGTGTTTAAAAATTAATTGAATTTTTAATTATTACAAATCTAATAAAAAATACCAATAATTAGAATTATACTAACCTTAAAAAGAACATACAGCCATATTTGTAAGTGGAAGAATTTTCAAGGTTCTTGATTTCCCAGTAAGAAGCGAGAAATTAAGAATTATTTCTAATACCATTTTAGTTCCATTTCTGTCCAATTAATGGAACAATTGAAAATAATTTTCTTTAAAAATCGTATGCAGAAAAAAATGGTTGGTCCGAGGATTCGAACCCTCGATTATCATTGGGGAAATTGAACAATTTGTCCGCGCAACTATACTATAACCGTCGAATACAACATTCTAAATAATATCTTTACCATTGCCTTTCTCTTAAAGTATATATTTTATAGAAAAACTGATTACTTCTAGATAGATTCTAACTATTAACACCTCTGGTACTAGATGCGCGTAGAACTAGCCAGAGTTTTTTTTTTAGTCACAGTTCTCCTTCAATGGGTAATACAATTTTTCTTTCTTTCTTTTTTTTTACAAGATTTATCTTATTGAGTGATCACTTTGGTCCACAATGAACATTAACTTTCCGTTAGCGATAGTAACAATAATAAGAGTGTTTTTATCAGTAGGGTATTAGTGATGAGATGATTACGATTGGCGGTGGCAATTGATTTTGTTGGTGGATTGCGAGCCTGGTCGTTCATCACGTCACTAGATATAGCAGCACTATTTGGTTCAGCAGAAGGACAACTGATTGGAGCAATAGTATCGTTCAAAGCGGATTCTCTAGAGCAACGACTGGCATGATGATCGAGGCATGCGGCATACGAAATTGCGTGTGGAATGTAACTCTGATCCACACTACCAGAAAATAAGACTGTTGCCAATGGTCCAATTGCAAAAATTGGCACATCCTCACCGCCATGGGTTGCCCATGTTCTTGGAACACCAGAACTCTGAAATTTATAATAAAAATATTTTCTTAATTTTTTTTATGAAATTTAGTTAAAAAATTTAAATTTATTGACGCAATATAATGACAGAGGATAATCTCAAGCATTATATTAACATTAGTAAAATAATTAAGAAGATTGAATTATAAACGAAGAATATAATTAACGATGTAATTATAATTTAAAGTAACTAAGTATACATCGATCCGCTTTGGTTCTCTGACCGACATTAGGATCCATTACCGCAATTCCCAATAGCTCCTTAATGCAAGATGCCAGACGAAATAAATTATTCATTTCGAATTAGAAAAGTCTCGTGCAAGTGAGAATAAATTAATGTAATTAAAAAAAAAATTCTCCTTTGCTAACTTTTTGACATGTGCTGCTTTTACATTATTAAAAAAAATTACAAAAGTAATTGTATTTAATTAATTTTTCATTTGGTGTTAATTATATAATAGAAAGATAAATAATTTAAAATTTTTATGGTATTTTACTGTCTTCAAATAGAAATAGGTGATTATAAGGATATAAGGATCATACAAGGATATAAGAATTATAAATATTATATAGAAAGCTTCTTTTTGGGGAAAAGAAAGAAAATATATACTTTTTCTTGCTTTTGAAAGATTTTATAATTTTTATAAAATATTATGAATGCCCTTAAGGTATATAGATGAGATTTAGCTATGCCTTGAGTTTAAAGAAGGAGTTTATTGAAATAAGAGAATATATAGAGAAGTGAAAGAGACAGTTATTTACACCCTGAGCTCGTTTCTTGAAAACGTTTGCGAAACTTTTGCCGAGCTCAAAGCTTTGCGGCGACTAGAGCTTCGCCTTTCCTAAATGGATGGGTAATGTTCGGCAATCCTGTGAAAAATTGCTTTTCCAATGACTGCTACCTTAAAGATCTCTCTCTCTCTCTCTCTTTCTATCTTTCTCTCTACGTTAGTAATGAAGATGAAGAAAACGGTTTTTGAATAGCATAAATTCTTTGCACCTTGTTTTTATTTCCAATGTTTGCTTTTTTTATTTTATTGCAAATAATTCAAAAATATTAAAATTTTGCCTATTTTCTTAATTTTCTTCGTTTAAAAAATTAAATGGTTATAAAATCAAAGATAATTAAATAAAAATACATACTTTGTGCTTCTTTTTTATCGATAAATGAAATAGATTTGTGTTTAGTTGGATAGAAAATATCAGAAGATAGTTCATGTAGAAATAAATATTAGAATTGAGGTCGCTGAAACTCTCAGAGGTATTAAATCTATATACGAATATAAGCGTAAGAGAATCTCTTCACCTTCACTGGCTTATCAATAAAATATTTTCCAATAGAGTGTCGAAAACCGATATTTGCACATATACACATACAATTATAGGTATTTTCGACATATACGGTTGATGGATTAAGCGGCAAGTTTAATATCGCGATTCTCCATGTTTCGTCCCCGTAAAACTAGAGCGATTGATTGTCATGAAATTGGAAGGAAAACCGTGCGAAATTTTTTTTTTTTGTTTTTTTATTCATTTTACCTGAATGGAATCTTTCCCAGCTTCCCGCACAATCGATCTTGGGTCTGTATGACCTGGACCATTGCTGTATAAAAGAGTTGTATAAGGTTTGCCATCGACATCTGAAACTTTGCTGTCTGATCCTGAAAGCATATTTAATTTCAATTATGGAATTAATTATAATTTAGTATTGAATTTAAAAAATATTTTTTTTTAAATTTCCAAAAAAAGGAATTTTTTTCAGATATAAAAATAGAACAAACAATTGAAATAAATATTCAACTTGTAATACAACAATTGTTATTCAATTGACGGTGAATTGTCGCTGCATTTGACCTCAATGACAATTCTCATTCGTAAAAAAAATATTAAAAAAATCTCCAAAAAAGATTAACATATTATTATTAAAACATTTTTCCGATTTTAATTTTCTTGGGTTATTATTGTAGTGCGATTGTATAATTTTATTTTGTCTGTCACTTTAACTTTCATTTTCACTTTCACTTTGATTGTCACTGAAATTTTCCGCTGGAAAATGGAAAGTTAGTCAAAGTGTAAGTCAAAGTGAAATTAAACATTCGCACCACTTTTTTTTTGTTTCAGGTGTTATTTCAATGACTTTTTTTTTTGTTTTCATTCGTCAACTTCATATTCTCAACTTCTTGAAGTGAGTTTCAAAATATGAGCTATGGTTTTGAATGTCGTTTAATTAAATTGGTCCTTGGAATAAGTCTTAATTTTCCAGAATCCTGTAATTATAGTTAGATCGGTTAATGCTGCATGGAGAACCGATTCGAAGAAATAAACTCTCAGCAATGTCAGACGGCGCCAGAAATGTTCTCGAAGGAATGAGTGGCTTCACGAAATCACTTTAAAATTTCAAAGGAATCTACGATTCCTCAGGGATTTTTTCTTCTTCTTTTTTGCAAAGTGTGTTTTAGATAATTGGTTTCTTTAGCTTGAAAATAAAGTTTAGAGTTTCGAAGAAAAGCCATCAAGAATAATATATATATATCAGGGACTGTCTCGAAATATTTGTGTCGTGTCCGTGTAGTGTCGCGACTCGACACGTTTGAAAACAATTAAAAGTATCGTGGTGAGACCCGACACTTTTAAAACTTTTCAAACGTATCGTGGCACGACCCGACACAGTTAAGAAATTCATAATTGTATCGTGGCGAACCACGATACATTTAGAAATTTGTAATCGTATTGTGGCAGGACTGGACACGTTTACGAATTTCCAAAAGTATCGTGGCGCGACTAGACACAATAAAAATTTGAGAATCGTATCGTGGGGCTGAACTACACGACACAATATAAAAATAATTATGAATTTCGTGTCGCATACAATGAAACTTGTTGATCAACATCTTGACAGTTTATTAATCCTTCAATAACATTTCAAGAAATAAAATTAAAATAAAATAGATATAGATTGAATATATATCAAATGTAAATTATTATATTATATTATATTATATTATATTATATTATATTATATTATATTATATTATATTATATTATATTATATTATATTATATTATATTATATTATATTATATTATATTATATTATATTATATTATATTATATTATATTATATTATATTATATTATATTATATTATATTATATTATATTATATTATATTATATTATATTATATTATATTATATTATATTATATTATATTATATTATATTATATTATTTCCACGAATTTCTGTTTTCATCCTATACTGTTTATTTTCATGTATTTCTTTTTGTATTATCAACAACTTATTGTCTAGTATGTAAACAAACCACACTTAAAATTAAAAATAATTTTGTTCAATAAAATTAATAGATTAATTTAATTTATTAACATTTGAATATTATTATGATTTAAAGAATTGAAAAAAATGTAAGACTTGATTACGAATTCAATATCAGTTTTTTAAAATTCAAAATGGCGGATCCAATATACCGAATCAAAATAACTAAAAATGGGCAAATTCGTCTAAACCATGTTACCCAGGGGTTTTCGGGGTCGCTGATTACGAATCTGACATCAGTTTTTCAAAGTTCAAAATGGCGGATCCAATATGTCGGAAGACAAAATAAAAAATTAATCGGATTGTATTAAAAACCTATTACTCGGGGGTTTTCAGGCTCATTGATTACGAATTGTGACAAAAGTATTTCAAAATTTAAAATGGCGGATCCAATATGGCGGACGACAAAATAAAAAATTAATCGGATTGGATTGAAACCGGTTACTGAGGGGTTTTCAGGGTCGCTGATTACAAATGTAACATCAGTTTTTTAGGGTTTCGTGGCCCATGGCCGAAAGCCTTATAGTTTCACTTTGGCGTCCGTCTGTCCGTAGTATATTTTGGGGCACCACAACTCCCAAAATCAAATTTTAGGGCACAGATCCCAATTTAAAATTTTGGGGCACCACAGATCCCAATTTAAAATTTTGGGGCCCCACAGATCCCAAATTAAACTTTTGGGGCACCACAGATCCCAAATTCAAATTTTGGGGCCCCACAGATCCCAAATTAAACTTTTGGGGCATCACAGATCCCAAATTCAAATTTTGGGGCCCCACAGATCCCAAATTAAACTTTTGGGGCACCACAGATCCCAAATTCAAATTTTGGGCAAACATAGCTTCCAAATTCGAATTTTGGGGCACCACAGATCCCAAATTCAAATTTTGGGGCACCATAGCTCCCAAATTCAAATGTTGGGGCCCACAGATCCCAAATCTCCATTAACTACTGAATGGACATTTTCCCGAATGGACATTACATAAATGGACATTACATGTCCCATTAGTTAACATGCCCCTATAATTGACATGTCCCAGTAGTTGACCTGTCTCAATAATTGACATGTCCCAATAGTTGACATGTCCCAATAGTTGACATGTCCATATAGTTGACATGTCCCTATAGTTGACATGTCCCTATAGTTGACATGTCCCAGTAGTTGACATTAAAATTTAAAGCGCCACGAAACCCTAAATGTAGGCGCAATTGCGCCTAGTTCTTTTCCTATTTTTAATATTCAAAATGGCGGATCTAATATGCTGAACAATTTTTTAAAAAGGATCGGATCTTTTGAAACTTGTTACTCGAGCGTTTTTTGGGACATTTTGAATTTTGAAATACTTTTGTCACAATTCGTAATCAATGACCCTGAAAACCCCCGAGTAATAGGTTTTTAATACAATCCGATTAATTTTTTATTTTGTCTTCCGCCATATTGGATCCGCCATTTTGAACTTTGAAAAACTGATGTCAGATTCGTAATCAGCGACCCCGAAAACCCCTGGGTAACATAGTTTAGACGAATTTGCCCATTTTTAGTTATTTTGATTCGGTATATTGGATCCGCCATTTTGAATTTTAAAAAACTGATATTGAATTCGTAATCAAGTCTTACATTTTTTTCAATTCTTTAAATCATAATAATATTAAAATGTTAATAAATTAAATTAATCTATTAATTTTATTGAACAAAATTATTTTTAATTTTAAGTGTGGTTTGTTTACATACTAGACAATAAGTTGTTGATAATACAAAAAGAAATACATGAAAATAAACAGTATAGGATGAAAACAGAAATTCGTGGAAATAATATAATATAATATAATATAATATAATATAATATAATATAATATAATATAATATAATATAATATAATATAATATAATATAATATAATATAATATAATATAATATAATATAATATAATATAATATAATATAATATAATATAATATAATATAATATAATATAATATAATATAATATAATATAATATAATATAATATAATATAATATAATATAATATAATATAATATAATATAATATAATATAATATAATATAATATAAAAATTATATATTATTGTATATTATTTTGTATGCATATTATTATTAGTATTATTATTATTCTATATATACTATATTATAATAGATAATACATAATAGATAAGTTTAAATTAATTGAACAATTTTTTTTCATGCGACACGACATATTTATGCAGAATTATCGTGTCGTGGCAAGTCATGATACGATACGATTCTCAAATTGTTAATGTGTCCAGTCGCGCCACGATACTTTTGGAAATTCGTAAACGTATCCAGTCCTGCCACGATACGATTACAAATTTCTAAACGTATCGTGGTTCGCCACGATACAATTATGAATTTCTTAACTGTGTCGGGTCGTGCCACGATACGTTTGAAAATTTTTAAAAGTGTCGGGTCTCGCCACGATACTTTTAATTGTTTTCAAACGTGTCGAGTCGCGACACTACACGGACACTTTCTTAAAATTCAACAACATTTCGTGTCCGAGACAGTCCCTGATATATATATATATATATATATATATATATATATTATTCTTTGAGATAAAACTTTAATATAATGAAACATACAAATTTAGAACAGGCGATACAAATTAAAATTACTGTATATAGACTATCTTTACTCTTTTCTATTATTTCAACAATTGTAAATACGTCAGTAATTTGAAATATCAAAAACTTTTAGAACTTCGCATTTCAATGGAAAGTAAAATAAAAAAGAAATCTGATCACGTTTAAGGTCGTACGCTTTTTATATTCGGACCAAGCAAATCATTCTCAATTTCTCATTTAAACTATGACTCAACCTTTTTTTTTCTTTCATTTTAACTTCTTTTTTTACACTTTTATACTAATATATATAGTTCACCTCAATAAAATGGAAAAAAAAAATTTCGCTCGAGGAGGTACGGCTAGTAATCGCTTTTCTACTAAGTGTGGCGGCTTTTTTTTGTGGATTTTATGCCATTGAAAAAATGGTTCATTTTCTTCATTATATGGCGCTTTTTTAATCAAAGGAAATGAAAATAACAGCCCGCAGGAATAAAAAAACAATGAATTAAAAAAAATGATTCTGAAAAAAAGATTTAAAAAAAGAATGATTAATAAAAAACATATGACCTTATTTTTGATTTAAGTCTATAAAATAAAAAAAAATTAGAATACTTAATTTTTTTTCTTTATATACTCTTTTGTTTGAATTTTTCTTATCATAAAAAAATTATCAGTTTTCGTATGCAAAAAAAAGGCAACACAAGAAGATTATGGCTTCACGTGTGTTTAAAGAA